CTAGGTGACGGGAAAAGAGAGCTGCCAGCTACGGGGCAGGGACGAACAAGGAGGAAGAGGCTGAGTGAGTGGCCTCTGCAGGCTGAGTGATGACATAGGTCAAGGCGGCTGGAGTTAGCAGTTGTTTTGAATGCTGATGACACAATGAGAGAGACCCTGAGAACTAAACTTGGAAGTCACTGCTGACCTTGACTAGAGGTCTTTCAGTGAGATCATAGGGCCACACCTACCGGAAAAGGTTCAAGACAAAGGGAGGCAATGAAGTAGGATCAAAGGCACATGCCCTCCAAGTCTTGCTGCTAATGAGAACCCTGGGGACTGCTGGTGGGGAACAGAGTAGAGAGAGTGGTTTGTGAGCTAATACCGATGTTTCTCTGCTTATGAACAAGGCTGAATCGGGAGGAGAAAGGAAGACGATGCCTGGGAAGAAGTGAAAAAGGCAGGGAGGCTTCCCGAGTCCCCAAAGGGGATGGGCTGCACGGATAAGAGGAATGGTACTGGACAGATGCACAGAATGTCACCCCCAGAACCAAAGGGGCGGCGGAGCACACCGGTAAGAGTCGACAGTTGCAGATTTGATGGTGGAAGCACTCACAATTTCTCTCGGTGACACTGGCCGTAAATCACACAAACTGCTGAACAGCCTCCAGCCTCTTGTACGTACATGACACACCTGCAAACACTGTCTTATCACTGCAGGCATCCATTCTGCCAGGGACGCTAACCTCTCGTTACCATGCCGTCTGTGCATGAAGAGTTGTGTTCAATTAGCCAACTGGTAGCTAAGACTTCACAAGCAATTCAAGTACATCAGAGTCCCTCACTGCTAGCTCTTTCTGGACGTCTCCAGTACTGAGCAGGAGAGCGTGCACTGAGGAATGAAGCATGTGCTCTACGGCAGTGTCTTCTTTTTAGGTAGACACATGTATCACACTTACTGTCAACATAACAGCAGTGCTTTTCACAATATAAAATAGAGCATTATTATGCAGCCATAAAGTCTATCTTTTTACACTTCAAAAGAAATTACCATAAAGACAGAGATCATATCTATGCTGAATTTTGCTATGAAAACAGAAAAATCACAGAAAATTTACCCAACTTCCTGGTTGTTTCCAACCCTCTCTCTTTCACTGCCAGAGGTCTCGTGGGAAAACCAGAAGCGCCATCCTAGACCCACGGGCGATGCAGCAAATGCGCAGGCTCCAAGTGCGAGCAGGCATGGCCCTACCTGGAAGCAAGACTCCGTGCTTCCCGCCTCTAGAAGGAAGAGCCTGTTTGCCTGCTATATGCTGGTTGTATGGTGGCTCTTCTCCCCCTTGCGTTAAAAAAAAAGAGCCCAGAAAAAGAAGTGAACATACAGCTAAGTAGGAAAAGCAAATATTAAATTAAATATTCCAGCCCTTGCCAGTGTGATTCCGTGGCTAGAGCATGGGCCTGCGTACCAAAGGGTCATGGTTTTGATTACCGGTCAAGGGCATACATGGGTTGCAGATTCAAACCCCAGCTCTGGTCAGGGCGCATGCAGGAGACAACCAATCGATGTGTTTCTCTCTCCACCCCTCTTCCACTGTCTCTAAAACTCAATTGAAAAAATATCCTCCAGTGAGGATTAACAACAACACATTCCAACCACACACACTAGACTAAACAAAAGGGGTTTGATATATTACAGTCAGGTAAAATACACACATATTACATCCTTTAAAAATGTACACACAAACACATATAATTTATAATGCAAATAATGCTTAGAGAATTAGTTTTGCTAACATAAGTCAAAAGAGAAAGTGAATAAAATGAATACCTTTGTGTTGAATTAAAAGAAACAAAACAAACAACCAACCCTTAATAATGTGTCCGGAACTGCCAATGGGAACTCTGTGCTTCCATCTCCTGAAACTACTGACCCTATTCTCGTGTTCTTCTCCAAGACTCCAAGCTGGTCTCCCTAACCCTTAATTCCCACAGAGCCAGAGCAGCAAAGGCCTTCTACCCCATGTCTGGCCTCTCTAACACACAGGGTCTTTGGTCCTGGACACAGCATCACATCTGGGGAGCTGACTGGAAGCACCCAGAACGAGTGAAGTGGACCGGAACAACGGAGACTCCAGCGTAGCAAACACACCTACAGAGCTCTATTAGCTTAACGATAAGACAGTCTTCAGTGTCTTTAGAGAGTGACTATTTGGGGAGGAATAAGGCTTACGTAGAACAAGATAGTCTTTGTCTTTAAGAGAGTATATTTTGGCAAGAGAAACATCATAAATTAAAAATGAGCAAAATAATTACAAAATTTTAGAAGAACCCTTCAGGAAATAAACAGAGCTATACAAAGAATAAAATTAGGGAGGGCAGGAAAAGATGAATCTAGCTGGGGAGTTATGAAAGACCTCCCTTGGGTGACATTGGAGCTGAGACCCAAGAGACAAGGGCGGGCTCTGTGCTAAGCCAGGGGAGGCTCTCGGCCCCGGAAGTACAGGGTCAGAATCAGACGGAAGTGGCACGTGTGGAGACGGAAAGGCAACCGGGACAGCGAGGGCACAGCAATCACCAGGGCCCGAGAAAGTGGGATGAGAGGAGGCCGGAGAGGGAGGCCAGGGCCAGGCCATGCCGGTCCTCACTGGTCCACAGTAAGGAGTTTGTTCGTTTTTTCTTTTGTAGTTGTATTTCCAAATGCAATGAGAAGTCTTTGAGAGGCTTTAAACAGCAAAGTTATCTAATCAGACTCAACACTTTAAAACGCACGGCTGCTGCTAGAGAGCAGAGGACAAGGAAGCAAGAGCAGCTGCGGGGCCAGCAGACCGGAGCGGCGGTGGGGCAGAGGAGCAGGCCCACAGGACTCGCCAGCAGACGGCCTGGGCCACCAGGACAGCGCACAGCCGGGAAGGCTGCTCTCAGTGTGCCACGATGTCCCTCCCTACTCAGTGACTCGGGGCACTGCGAGAAGGCAAGTGATTAGGTCCAGTCAGAGATGGGGTTTTCCAGGCAAGGTTCCACATCCCCCACGGCCCCTGCCTTCAGCCCAGCAGAAGTGACAGGAAGTGCAAGGGACGCGAGGAAGAGCAGAAAGAGCTTCTGGCAGCAGGGCAGGAGCTGCTCTTCCTTCTCCTGCGGGGCAGCAAGAGAAGTCACAGCTCTAAGATGACGCTCCCCCACTCCCGGACAAGTGCCACCATCACAAACAACTGGACTTAAAAGCCCGTAAGAGACTGGGAAAGAAAGCGAAGCATTAAGTCTTCATTGTTAAAATGTTGGGCTCTGGGATAACGAAAGGCCAACTGTCAAACAATTCCAGACATGATCTTTAGATGTTATATCTAACGTTAAATCGCCTTTCTCAATAGCAAAACTATCTTGGTAACATGGAAGTACTGTCACTTTCCATGGTTTAGTTAACCAAAATTCTCTGAATAATCTACCAGTTAAAATAGAAAAATTTATAGGCAAAGTGTCAAGTAATGTTCAAACAATGATCACATGATCATCACAAAGTTTTTTTCTATTTCAATGATTCAAATGACTGTAGTATTTAATACATTAAATATGGAAAGGGAGTTAACAATTTCAAATGTGGTATTAAAATGTGTTAAATACCTATAACAAAAAAAGAAAAATGAAACTCCACACTAGGTACTTTACAAAGACATGCTTTATAAATAGGTGTAATGAGCTGAGAGTCAGCAGAAGGTGAATGTGAACTAGGCAGTTTTCTTGTTAGTTTTTTCTTGATGACTTATAATATATTACAATCTTGAAGACTATTTCCAAGAATGCTATCACTTTAAAAAGGCTTGTTTTTATCAATTTTACCTGATTTGAAAAGCAAACTTTTAACTGATTCTGCCCCTACTTCCCAAACCCTCTAAAATATTTTACTTTCCCATAAGTTGTAATGCTAACTATGCTGATTAGAGAATGGAAACTGAATTTCATAGCTCAGCTTTAGCTTATTATTATAGATAAATTGTACACAGTGTTAACAGTCAGTGTAATAGACTCTGGCTTCCCATACATGCTGAAAATGAATTACTAAAACTGGGATATACTGATAAAAAAAAAAATGCGTCATTTAAAACCCTCTGTGCCTGGTGCTCCAGCATCAGGTTCCAGAGGAGGGGAATGAAGTGACCGCTTGGCATCAGGCAGTCAGGAATTTTTATGGGTCTGAGCTGGGCCTGCCAGCTGCACTTGCAGCTGCTAATATTTTGGTGATGTGTCAAGTAAAAGGCTTCCTTAGAAAAACCCAAGGAAAATATAAAAAAACATCTTACCAGTTATTGTAATTACACATATACAGTTAAAATGCCAAGCAAACTGCAGACATGGCTGCTGACAATTACTGTTATAAATAGTACAACTCATAGTTTGAGGGGAAAAGATACTAACACGAACCATTATAACATTCAGAAAAACAGTATTTTCACAGAATTTAGGAGTAAATTTATCACTAATATCAAGTACCAAAAGGACACAGAATTGTTAAAACAATTCTTTTTCGTGTAAAGATAGAAAAAATAATTCTTTTAGTTTTTGTTGTTGACAAGAGACCTTATCAAATGCACTATATAGTAATGTATTGAAAGTGCTTCACGATTTGAGAAAATATAGTAAAAAAATATAAATACAAAGGAACCAGTAACGATCAAGGCTATATTTTCACCATTGCTTTAATACAGATTTACAACCAAATAAGTTTAGAAAGATATTTGGTCTATAATGGACTATAAAAATCACTCTAAGAGAAGTGCATTAAACTAAGCGCACTGAACTACCTCCTGGTTCTGTATTTTTAAAAGCTGTCTTATGTAAGTAGGAGATTCCTGCTACTTGTTTCCATGTCTCAGTTGTATGTTCACACATTACGTGTCACTGAGATCATCTGCTGCAGCAGGAACAAGTCCATGTGACTTAGTATCTTTCCAAACAGCCCTCAGAGAATTTTCATGATCAGAAACCATCAGACGACCCACCGCCTATTTAAAGAGTAACATCCTCACCAGACTGACGGTGCGTGTGCGGTCCAGACGCCTCAGCTGCTGGCCTGCGTTCACGGTCTGGAGAGGACAGCGGTGGAGGCGAGGGGGGGCTCGCTGCAGGAGGCGCTGCGGAGTGAGCCTGGGCAGGCGCCGTGCTGGATGCGGAAGGCCGCAGGAACTGCTCAGCCGACGTGTCCACTTCCATCACAGTGTCCCCTGCTTCCAACACAGTGCCCGACGGGGCCGCAGGAAGAGTCGAAACATCTGACTGACTCGCCCCACCTTCAAAAAGCACATGTTTAATGCAAGTTCAAATAACAAATGCTTTCTAAAACCATCTACTCAAAAGAGGTATGTTTAGGGAATACAGGCTCACTTGTACATGTGTGTGCACACACTGATGCACATAAGTATATAATATACAGGAAATGAAAAGCACCCAGTGGTGGTTTGGTCTACTTGACTAAACAGGCTAATGAATAGGGATAAAAATCTATCTACAGAACATTCTTGTTAAAATAACCAGTCTTTCAAGCAAAATGCTCAATAGAACACTTCATTTGGATGAAGCTAAATAACACCTTGTGAGAGGCCTAGAAACACTGATTAGTCCCTCACATTTATTTATTTTTCCTTTATTGGTTTAGAGAGAGAGGAAGTAAGAGAGAGAGATAGAAACATAGATGAGAGAGAACATCGATTGGCCACCTCTTGCATGGCCCCCACTGGGGATCAGACCCACAACCTAGGCATGTGTCCCGACTGGGAATCGAACCGGCGACCTTTTGGTGCATGGTTCGACATTCAACCACTGAGCCACACCAATGGGACTAGTCCCTTAAATTTAAGGGTGATGATTCTGATGTAACAGCTGGATAATATGATAATGGATTTACAGCAATATAGCTCCACTCTGTAACATCATGTCCATGGTAAAATATTTAATAAACATGTTATTAGCAAGAGTAAAAAGACAAACAGGCCAGAATGGGATGAAGTGCCTCATTCCATCTCATTATCTGTAATGTTTGAACCACTAAGCTAACAGGACGCAGGCATGATTTTAAAGGTTTGAGTGTCCACTATGTGCCGTGCTCGGCCTCCTGCTATCTGCAAAGGAATAATTAATAGTCAATAAACTTTTTTTTTTTTTTTTTATCCTCACCCGAGGACATTTTCCCATTTTTTGTTCAGATAGACCGGGAGGGAGAGAGAGGAAGAGAGAGAGAGAGAAACATCGACGTGAGGGGACACATCGAGTGGCTGCCACCCGCACGACCAACCAGGGCCGGGGACAAACTGCAACCGAGGTACGTGCCCTTAGCGGGAACCAAACCCGGGTCTCTCTGTACCGCAGGCCAACGCTCCAACCGCTGAGCCAAACCGGCCAGGGCTCAATAAACTTTTTAAATTTCCCTGATTGTGCTTCAAATCTAGATTTTATTAAAGATGGACTAGACAAACCAAGTTCATGTTTTGCAAGATATAGATACCATAGAATATAAAGATTCTTCTTTTAATCACCATGATTGAAATATTTATTTAAATGTAAGTACAGATTCAGTAACAAACAAAATTCACAGTCCAAGGAATGTTTTAAAAAGTTAATTGAGCCCTGGCCAGTTTGGCTCAGCGGTTAGAGCGTCGGCCTGCGGTCCGGAGAGACCCGGGTTCGGTTCCCGCTAAGGGCACGTACTTCGGTTGCAGTTTGTCCCCGGTCCTGGTTGGTCCTACGGGTGGCAGCCACTCGATGTGTCCCTTCACGTCGATGTTTCTCTCTCTCTCTCCCTTCCTCTCTCTCCCTCCCACTCTATCTGTACAAAAAATGGAAAAAAATATCCTCGGTTGAGGATTAAAAAAAAAAAAAAAAAAAAAAGTTAATTGATATGTATGAGTTAACAAAATCTAATTACAGATAAAATTCAACAGAAATCTTTAATTTTGAGATATAAAATATTTAGGAGTTAACTTTTATATGCCTCATTTTTTGACAGAGATAAGTAACTTGCTAAAGACCATGAAGCTAGAAAGTAGTGAACAAAGAAATGAAAACAGGTCAACAAACACCAGAAACAGTAATCAGTAAGTAATGTATATAAATAACCAAAAGGAGAAACTATTCAATTATATAAACTTATTTATCTACAGTTTTATATATTTCTACTCTAATAAAAAAAAAAAAAAAAAAAAAAAGGTCTTTAAATGAGGAATATCAGATGCTCTTACTGTTTTTGAAATTGGCAAAAAGTAAGGGCCAGAACCGGTGGAACCTGAGGGACAAGTTGCACCTGAGACCCTGCCCCCTGCTCCACAGACTGTAGGGACCGTGCATCACTGGAGACCTAAAACATGATGGGATCAGACAGTATAAGCTGACCCCACTCAGTAGTTGCTGCCAGCCTCCTGATGACTGTCATTAATACAAACACTTACCAGTGGGTCGAGGTCTTCCTCTTCCTCTATTGCTTTGTGCAACCTCACTTGCTTCTTCAAACCATCTTGATAACATGTCAGACATTCTCTGCATCAGTGACACATTGGGACTTTGCTCTCCTATGACAACACAGGTCTTATCAGTGAACTAGTAATGTCAGCATCTTCCATTAATGCAAAAAAAACCCCAGATCTGAGGGCCTTAAAAATGAAAGCAATTTAAAAAAAATCAAAATGCCCAAGTAAATCCTACGAATGCACACAGGTCCACTAGCACCATTACGCCTTTCACAGTAAACGTGCAAATGAATGACTCGCCATCTGTGTTTGAGTTCCTCAAGAACAGGATTCACACTCCTACCTGTCTGCTTGCTCTTGGGGGCCTCCCAACCCTACCCCAACCCACACCTTCAGTTCCAAGCACACGTGGCTAGGAAGGGCTTATGTGTTGTGCACAGAACAGATGAAAAGAAAGGTTTGCCCTCTCACTTAAATGTCTTTAAACTGTATTTGCTTTCATCACTTACTGTAAGTAAATTCCACATCTTAGAAATTAACTAAAACCACAAGAGTTTTGTCTCTTCCCTCCCTGCTTTTCCTCTTTCAAATAAATGAGTTTTCTCTCGAGCATTTTGAAATTAAGTATGACATCGAAACTGTGACACTTCATCTCTACTCTACAATCATATAATTAAAAATGGAAATCATTTGCTCTTGAATTTTCTGTGAAAACAATTTATTTTACACTTTATTGCCTTTATATAATGTAGCTGTATATTTAAATATTATAAAATAACATCAAAGATAATATACTGGGAAATATGCCTTTGATCTTAAAAGATTTCATTAGAAATCTCATAAGTCATTAGAATAAAATTTTGACTACAGACCCATTTATTAAAATACACACAGATTAATTCTATTTTAAAGTGCCATCTTAAAGCTCCCAAGGTAGCTTCTCACACTTGTCAAAGGCACCTGACAAAAGCAAAAAAAATGTATATTCTGCCGTGGCCGGTTTGGCTCAGCTGTTGGAGCGTCGGCCTGCGGACCAGAGAGTCCTGGGTTCGGTTCCCACTAGGGGCACATACCATAAAAAAAAAAAAAGTGCTATTATAAAATACTCTGGCTGGAAACTGAGGGTTCTGATTACATCTATTTCTACTAGAAAAGCAAAGATGAACAGCCTGGGATGCGGTGTTTCTGGGGCAGCGCGCACTCGGTGCTCAGGGGGAGTAGCAAGCAGTGCTTCCGGGGAGGCGACTCGGTCACCATCCGAGTTAAAGGCACTGACCCAGAGGCCCTGCCGCCCCACTCATGGGAATTTACCCGCGACCCATTTGCACCAGGGCGCTGAGAGACGTACGAGGATGCCTGCAGCAGCATCACTAACAACAATGAAAACAATGGACACAGTGAAAACACTCATTTTAAAATACCACATAAAAACTAAAATGCAGTCCTGGCCGGTTTGGCTCAGCGGTTAGAGCGTTGGCCTGCAGTCTGGAGAAACCCAGGTTCGGTTCCCGCTAAGGGCACGTACCTCGGTTGCACTTTGTCCCCGGCCCTGGTTGGTCGTGCGGGTGGCAGCCACTCGATGTGTCCCTTCACGTCGATGTTTCTCTCTCTCTCTCTCTCTCTCCCCCTCCCACTCTATCTGAACAAAAAAATGGAAAAATGTCCTTGGGTGAGGATAAAAAAACAAAAACTAAAACGCTGCCCAAAGCACAGTTACCGTCTCGCTCTCGTTCACTCTCCGGCCTGGCTCGAGGCCCAGTGTCTGACCAGTCACCACGAAGCCTCAGACGCTTCACTGGAGGCTGCCGTAGCTGAAAGGGAAGAAGACCTGCTGGCTCACCTCTGAAGCACACTGCACGTCTGCCAGGCTCTCGCCACCGCCCTGCTTTCTGTCCTGCGCATGCAAGTGAGCAGCTGGGTCGGACTGTGAAGGACACAGAGGGAACCAGAGCCAGGGCTGCCCAGCTTAGTGGCCAGCAGACAGGCCGGAGACAGAAGCCAGGAGAGCAGGGCAGTGTGAGAGCTGGACGACACGGTCTCGGAGCCACTGAGGGCCTCATGAGGCTGAGACAGAGGGACCGTTGGCGAGCTGATCGGAGGAGGGGCACGATCTGATGAGGACCGGGGGTGTGCAGCCGGGGATGGGTTCCCAAGCCCACCGTAACGGGGGGGGGGGGCGCGATGCTGGCGCCTTGCAGTGGGCAGCAGTGGTGGCCAGAGTGGGGAGCAGTCCTACAGATTTGAGATGTGTATTTTAGAGACAAACTACGGGGACTGGGGAAAAATGAGAGATTGGATTCAATGCATCAGTCCAATAATGAGGTGAAACAGGTGCCACCCCAATAAACTCAATTTAAAAAATTAGAGGAAAAAGAGAGAAAAGACAATGATAAGAAAAAGAATACGAAAATAAAGGAAAGTGAGAAGTAAAAAGCAATGAAATGAGACAAAAGAACATACTAAATAAAAAGGGAAAATATAAGAAATTATTAGAGGATATGAGAAAATACAAGAGGTCAACACAAATTAAGTAAATATAAAAATATAATGGAATCATAAGAAAACAAATCACATATGCCACATACTAAACTTTTACTCATACTTTAAAACCCTGTTTAAGCTTGTCTCATGTTCCCAATGAAAATCAATTATGTACTCCCTCCTTTGGTCTATTTATATAGAACATAACTCTTACATATTATTTATATCAGTACTTCCACTGAACTTAATTCCTGAGTGAGGGGCCATATCCTCGTCACAGTCACCCTTGGCTTCCTAAAGTTTGGTGTATAGTGTACAGCAGGCATCCAGTAAGTATTTGGTGAGTTAAGTTTGTCTGAACCCTGAGGGCAAGGGTTTAGCATAAAAACTAAGAGCAAAGATGATGGGATAAAGATGGAAACAGAATTTTAATTTCTTCTTCTATGTACACCTGAATTGTTGGATTGATGACAATAAGCATGCTTTATGTTTATAATTTTAATCCATTTTCAGAATTATTTCAATAAAGTGTACTGAGAAAAACACATTCAGAAGAAAACCAAAACCAACCCTTCACGACTGACTCAGCCTCACTGTTCACATGGACGCCCTTGGCTGAGCCTCGACGGAATACAGGCTGGCCAGCCCACTTAGACTGTCTGCCACTGGGACAATCACAGAGGCTGACTGTGACACACATCAAGAGGAAATCACACAGCAACGAGAAAAATGTCAGAGCAGTTTCATGTTTTCAGACAAACTCACAGCTCTCGGTCGCCACCACGCCCTCATCTTTGTCAATTTCCTAAGTCGCTTAAATCCGTTGCCACATTTAAAGTTCCAAAATATAGAGTAATACTATTTTTTTCTAATTTTAGAGCCCTCTAAGCCTATAATTTTACTCCTCACCCGAGGACATTTCTTTTCATTTTTTATTCAGATAGAGTGGGAGGGAGAGAGAGGAAGAGAGAGAGAGAGAGAGAGAAACATTGACGCGAAAGAGACACATCGAGTGGCTGCCACCCGCACAACCAACCAGGGCCGGGGACAAAGTGCAACCGAGGTACATGCCCTTAGCGGGAACCGAACCCGGGTCTCTCTGGACCGCAGGCTGACGCTTTAACCGCTGAGCCAAACCGGCCAGGGCTAAGCCTATAATTTTAATAACTGAGTTTAGTTTGGCATCTCATAGCGATTACATAATCGTGTTCTCTAGTACTTTAAAAATGTGTTTGTTGGGCCAATACCAAAAAGTCACTAAGAATTAATAAAAACCAATGGTTAATTTCAAAAGACATTTTAAAAGCCAGAGAATAGTGAATAAACACAGAACACCATAAAATAAAAAAGTCAAAGTAAAAAACATGTCCGGGAAAGCTGAGCAGGTGAAAACGAGCACTTTTCTACTATTATGTACTGTAAAGGATGTATTCTTTCTGGTTTTTCCTTTTAGAAATAAAAAAAATGGTTAACCCAATTCTGTATGTATATACACAAAATGTGTACACAAAAAAAGTGTAATTACAAAGTGTTTATTGAAATATATTTCATTTTCACCCTGGCCAGTTTGGCTCAGCGGTTAGAGTGTCAGCCCGTAGATCAATGAGTCACGGGTTCAAATCTGTCCAAGGGCATGTACCTCAGTTGCTGTTCATCCCTGGCCCCGGTCAGGTCATGTGGGAGGCAACCTTAGTCAATGTGGCTCTATCACATTGATGTTTCTCTCTGTCTCTCTTTCTCTCCCTCCCTCCCACTCTGATGATAAACAGAAAAATATCCTTGAGGGAGGAATAAAAAATAAATTAATAAACGAACCAAATACGTTTCATTTCCAAAATGTAACAGAATCTACAGACACGCTGTATGTACACTTTCACTTACTTTTTCCTCGCTCATCTGTATTTTCTGACATGAACCTAGAGATAATGTTATAGGCTCACCACTGTGAAAGAGGCAGGCTTGAGAGTGGAGGGGACTGCTGTCCACACAGGAACGGGCCACGGCACCAGCTACGGGGCGTGAGCACGCACACCTGGTCTCCTGGAAATCCGCACAGCACGTGCCCGTCGCCTTCCCGCCTTCCCCGCAGCTGTCAGACCTGCCGCTCTCTCTCGCTGCTGCTGTGCACCGTGGTGAGCCTGACAGTCTGCTGTTAAATATTCTCTCTTTAAAACTATCCCACACTACTTCCCTCTGGAGCCTTTCCTTAGCTACTAGTCCCTGCCCTTTCATGCATGTTTCATGTCCTTGTCTCCCCGCTGTAAATGCCTTGAAAATTTACTCTCTTTTCTGAAGCCCTTCAGGCCCCAGAAGTCACTGAATTTGCATTTTCTGAATAAAATAAAGAAGATAGTTTTGAGTGAACTTACCTCTTCTCTTCTCTCTTCTGAAGAAGGAGTTCGAAGTTCTCGTGCGGTGTCATCTTTGGGGTCAAAGAGATAGATGTAATCGGAAGAGTAGCTGACGAGAACCTCCTGCCCGTCCTCGCTGTAGCACAGGGACGTCACCCTGCAGGACTTGGCGTTGAGATGAGCGGGGAGGAAGCGGGCCACCATGCCAGCAGTGCCCCGGCCCGCGTAATTCCCTAGAGTAGGAGAACAGGGCGGTGCTCAAAATTCACCTTTTTGAAGAAAAACATTTTTAAGACTCTTAATCAGAACACGGAGATGTGTGATTTTATGCAATATAAATCCAAGTTCTCATATTCTATTTCTCAAAGAGGCTCTTTTTCCAATAAATATACCTTTAAAAAAATTCATGAGTGTCTGGAATTCCAGGTTATCTAAATATTTTACTGGAAACATGAGTTATTTAATCAATTAAATAATTTAAGACTATAGTCATACTAAGTCATCCATCAAAAATTCTCCCCAAATTAGCCCTAGCTGGTTTGGTTCAGCAGTTAGAGCATCAGCCTGTAGTCCGGAGAGACCCGGGTTCGGTTTCCGCTGGGGGCTTGTACCTAGGTTTCAGTTTGTCCCCGACCCTGGTTAGGTCGTGCGGGTGGCAGCCACTCGATGTGTCCCTTTCACGTCGATGTTTTTTTCTCTCTCTCTCTCCCTCTCTCCCCCTCCCACTCTATCTGAACAAAAAATAGAAAAATGTCCTTGGGTGAGGATAAAAAAAAAAAAAAATTCTCCCCAAATTAGCATAATTTTTATAATATAAAAAAGAAAGCTGATATTTATTAGCATACTAGATAAAATAGTACAGTATCCTTTTAAACTGATTGACCTTTTACTTTAAGTTTTTTTAAAAAATTTCTGGCCCTGGCTGGTTTGGCTCAGCGGTTAGAGCGACAGCCTGCAGTCCAGAGACCAGGGTTCGGTTCCTGCTAAGGGCACGTACCTCGGTTACAGTTTGTCCCCAGGCCCAGTTGGGGTCATGTGGGTGGCAGCCAGTCAATGTGTCTCTCTCATATCGATGTTTCTCTCTCTCTTTTCCTCCATCTCTCCCTCTCACTCTATCTGAAGATGAATGCAAAAATGTCCTGGGGTGAGGACAAAAAAAAGAAAAAAAAATTCTGACCGTCGTGAAATTTCCCAGGTGAGACAAGAGTGGGGATACTGTTCCAGCTTTGATTCAGCTGGGAAGTCATTAGCATAATGCAATAGGACAGAGTGGGTACAATGAGCACTCTGTGCGGGGGACCTGCAATGCTCAATTCTAAGAATCTAAATTATACTCCAAATTATACAGTCCTGCACAATGAAGTCTTGTCCAAAACGTCAATGGTGTCCTATCTGCTGAGAAACAATAATGAAACCTATCATGTATTTTTGTATTGTTTCCCCAAATGTGCATATCCACGTAGACAATAATCAATCACTGTTCAGAAAAAATAATCCCCTCTGGCCTTCCTGTTTCAATAACCATTTTTTTTTTTTATTTAATCCTCACCTGAGGACATTTTTGCATTTATCTTCAGGTAGAGAGGGAAGGAGAGAGGGAGAGAAACATCAATGTGAGAGACATCAACTGACTGCCACCCACACGACCCCAACCGGGGCAGGGGACAAACTGCAACCGAAATACGTGCCCTTAGCGGGAACTGAACTTGGTCCCTCAGGTCCGTGGGCCAATGCTCTAACCGCGGAGCCAAACCATCCATTTTTAATGGACAGAAACTGACAATGAGAGTGACACTGTGTTCATTTCTGGCCAAGCCCACTTCTACTTTTAACAATATAATTTATGTGAATATAAAGAAATATGCAATGTATTTGATGTCTGTGGTGTGTGCGTGTTTAAGTATTCCTGGCTTCCTTTACTGAGAAGATGCCGATGGAGGGTGGCTTTGAAATGGGACCTTCAGGGTGGTCTGACCCACAGCGGAGGAGGAGAGTCTGGGGTGAGCTGCAGGCGGACTCGAGTTCAGCACTGCACATGGCTAACAGCACTCTCCTCGGCAGCTGGCATAAACAGATGCTATGCACTGACACACAACCGTGTCACTGTTCTTCCTAACTTTCTCTCCGTCATCCTTGCCATTATCCCCTTAATTTAAAAAACGGCAAAGAGAAATCAGGAAAGCCAAGTGTTGTGGGCTGCACAGTGTCCCCCCCGACCCACAAATTCTTGTCCACTCAGAACCTCAGACTGTGACCTGACTGGGAAATAACGTATTTGCAGATGGAATCAGTACAATGGCTTAGGGTGGGTCCAAAACCCCATGTGACTGGTGTTCTCAGAAGGAGAAATGTGCACAGACACACACAGGGGAGAAGGCAGTTAAACGTGGAAGCAGAGACTGAAGTGACACATTTAAAATCCAAGGGATGCTAAGGATTGCTCGTGGCCCCCACAGGAAGCAAGGAGGTCCCTAGCCGGTATCTCAGTTGGTTAGAATGCTGTCCCCATAGACCAGGTTTTGGGTTTGATCCCTGATCAGGGCACATACAAGAATCAACCAGTGAATTAATGTTTCTCTCTTTGCCCCCATTCCCCTCTCTCTCTCAAATCAATAAGAAATAAATTTTAAAAAAGGAAGCAAGGAGAGAAGCAGGCAACTTTCTCCGCAAGAGCACAAAACAACTGCAAAAACTTCCCTTCAGCTTCTGGATTGAGATAATCAAGTTCTGTAATTTTGAGCCACCCAGTATATAGCCCTAGGAAACCAGTAGGCCCTCGATATCCGCGGGTTTCAAACCTGCGGACTCAATCACCTATGGAAGGAAACGGTACTTTCCATCCGCAGAGGGCTGGATGTATGCACTGTTCTAAGCCTTTTATAATGGACTTGAGCATCCAGGAATTTCGGTGCCTGAGGGGTCCTGGATCCATCCCCTGCGGATACTGAGGGACAACTGTACATTAAGTGTTATAACTTTCTAAAACGATAAACTGCAAATGTATCACCTGATAGGATCATAAAAATGGTGAAATGCTGTTTTGTTTTGTTTTTACAATAGATATTATTTAAATACATTCTACTTACTGAATTTTATGACAAACTAATGAAAATGTAAAATCAGACGTGTCACATTCACTCTGTGAACTGGCAGACTCTCTTTCCTTCAGTGGAATTTGGTACCTGTGGCTCTCGTGCCCAGCATTCTCCGATCATATATGCGGACCGAGCTATCTGAACAGCCCACGGCGAGGTAATAGGGGATCGGTGGGCAGATGGCGACGGAAGTGGCGGCGCGGCGGCAGTTTATCAGAATGTCCTGCGGAGATAAAGTAAGAGTGGTTGCTAGAGCTTCCAGTGGAGGTGACACTGCACTGAAAAGTGTTCTCTTCAACGAGAAGAAAACAAGCTTCCGCAGAAACCCTCATCCAATCAGCAGGACAATGAAGGGAGGGAAACCTCGAGTTTCTTCTATGTTTCAGATTTCTTTCTATCAGTGTTCCTAATACATTCAGCTCATGTGAAAGTAAAGAAACACACAGTCAATATTCCTCCTCAGCAGTTTACCACTCTAAGAAAAATTCTGTTTTCTTCACAGTTTGCTATAGACTCCAAAACTGACTTCCAATACAGTATCATACGCTTTCCTTATGAACTGAAAAAAATAAGAAAATATATATGGAAATACTAACTTTAATTAAAGTAGAGGTTTAAAAACAACCAATACTTGAGTAATGCAAAATACATTCTGAAGAGAGAAGAAAAAACTGTTTCCAAATATGACTCAAACAGCAGTTAAATCAGCAGTAGCTACAAAAAAGCCAGTGATAATTCAAAAAAGTCATCATTTATATTATCAAGGTTTAAACCCTTTTTCAAAACTAGCTGCATTTCAAATAATGATATCATACAACTTGAATTATTTCTCAGAAATGCGTCCTAAGCGTCCTCATGCTCATGAATAATGAACATCTCTAGGAACGTAAACACGCACAGTGTATCGTGCCAGGACCCCGTCACCCACATTAGGAAAGCCTGCTGCTCTGGGTCCACTGGACAGTACAGATGGAGGCAGAGTCTCCCTTGGTCTATGATAAGTCCCCATGGTTACTTTATATGGTGCTCCTACTCTGTCAATTCTAACTGTTGATGCTAACGTATTACAAAAGTATTATTAGCTGCTTTTAAACTTTTATGCTTTCCTTAACTTGTAAAATCTTTTTTCTTAACAGTTCAAAAACAAAGTACCCACACACATATATACAAACCCTACAAAAGACAGGTTTTACTATAATGTCACTACTTATCTCTATATAAGCATTAGAAAATGTAAGAGCTATGACCCAAATAAATATCCTTAAGGTGTTCTGTTAACTTTATACTATTTTGTCCACGATGCAAGCTCCTCACTCTTCTTAGTACTGCCGTGTTTTTAGAATACATTCACCTTAGGTTTCACTTATTTATTGACCTCAGAACATTACTCCTATTATACAGAATTTGCACCAAATGCCTTCTATAATTCTGTTTTAGCAGTTAAGGATTGCTTTGGCTGCCAGTTTTTCTTCATACTTGCCTCTATTCATTTTTATACATAAATAAATAGTTTTATTAAGGAAAACTTTAATATTTTCACTTATTAGCTTTGCTTTCATCTTTATTTTTACCGTGTTTTTGGTTATAAAAGCACAATCAAATCTTACTTCATGTACACTAAAATATGTCTACAAAGGATTTAGCCTAACTCATTTTAGCAACCTACCATTTACTAAGAAATAGGGATCCCAAACACCCCTAATAAGCCACCTGATACTTGAAACTTATTCTCCCTTTTACTTATTTCAATGCTTTCCCAGTTGTGTTCATGTGTGTGCACATATATATAACATAAAAACTGCCTTAAATATCATACATTTAAAGACTTTTAATTTTTCTTTTCTCTTTGAATACAGAAAACAATCTCTTCCTCACCCCAAGAATGTTAACAATAGTAACAAATTTAATTAGCAAGCACTTAACCTCATTACCAGTAATTCTTCTTTGGGGGTAGGGACTTTCAGTAAAAATATATTTAGCAATACCTTCTTATTTCACTTAGTAGTTGAAAATGATTAGAGAAAAAAGCCACTGTCTCTAAATAACATTTGGGGTTAGCCATCTGGGGCCATTATATGATTTCTCAGGCCTTTTTCACATTTTTAAAAATACAATATTGGTAGTGAAGCTATGTCTTCAAAGAAGTGAGCTAAATCTTAACGAACACATTGATAGAATGGTATCTTGTTACTTAAAAAAACAATTTGTTGGTTTAAAAGTCAGGGTAAAAGCAAAGAGAAGACACTGAACTGCACACACTTTCATCACAGCTATTGGTGAGCCAAAACTGTCTCCATGAGTAAGCGGGATACACTGATAAACAATTCAAATTTTTATAATGCTAGAGCATATACTGAACAACCTCTATATATACATTTGAAATGTACAATCAAACTGCAAGTTCCCTAACTTCACTATTAACATTTTAATATGAAAAATTTGGTTGTGAAATATATGCTATTGAAGATTTTAGTACACAAATGACTCATTATCTCATAATCCAGAGATAATGTACTGTTCAATTTTAATTATAATCTTAAGTATTTTGCATCATTTATACAAAAATGTGATTCTTACATCTTTGCAATCTTCTTTTGTGCAGCTAGTTTTGATGCGCGTATCAAACCACCTCACAGTTCCGTCTTCACCACAAGAGAGGAAAGTATGGGGGTCATTGGGTACAGTCATGATCTGAAGGTGAAAGCAGAAGGCCAGGTACGCTCACTGAACATGCACACAGCTTTGAGGAGCATTGCTACCGTCTCATAAAACAATTAAGGCAAAAGCAACTAAGAACCACTTATTTTAATTATTTATGAATTAGCCATACCATAATTCAAAACAGTACAATGCATACAGAAGTATGCAAGAAGTAACTGTTAACTTAATGACTCATTACTTTGAAGTTTGAAATTAATGTTCCTGCAGATAGAAAGTTCTTCAAAATTATAAACTTCTAACAACTTTGACCAAAAAATTCGGCCCTAGGAAACTTGTTCAAACTATTCAAAGCCTAATTTTTATGTTTTCTGGATGTAAATTTACACTTGTACTATAAAGACATTATAGTTTTCCTCTATGATAATGTTTAAGAAAACTATAAGATGCTGAATTGATTAAAAGATTTAAACTGACCTCTCAAAAATTTTGACAAAATTTCATGATTAAGACACTCAACAAACTAGGAATGGCAGGAAGTTACCGCAACATAATAAAGATCGTATATGAGAAGCTCACAGCTAACATCGTGCTCAGTGGAGAGAAGCTGAAAGCTCTCTCTAAGATCAGGAACAAGACAAGAAGGCTCATTCTCATTATTTCCACTCAATACAGTACAGGAAGTCCTAGCTAGAGCAATCTGGCAAGAAAAACGAAGCAAAAGTCATCTAAATTGAAAAAGAAGCGGCAAAATTATCTCTACTTGAGGATGACATTATCTTATATGTAGACTATTCTAAAGATTCCACAAAAAAACCCCACTGAAATTAATAAATGAGTACAGCAAAACTGCAGGTTAGCAAATCAACACAAAAATCAGTTGTTTCTTCAATGCACTAACAACAAACAATCTGAAAAGGAAAAGAAGAAAACAACTTCATTAGAATAGAAGCAAAAAGAATACAACACAGGAATAAACTTATTCAAGGGGGTGAAAGCCTTGTACACGGAAAATAAAACATCACTGAAAGAAATTAAAGAAGACAAACAAATGAAAAGGCATCTATGTTCGTGAATTGGAAGATTTAATATTATTAAAATGTCCATACTACCCAAGGTAATCTAGATTTAATGCAATTTCTACCAAAATCCCAGTAACATATTTTACAGAATCAGAAAAAAAAACAATCTTCAAATTCCTATGGAATCTCAAAGGACACAAAAGAGCCAACACAAAGAAAAACAAAGCTGGAGGCCTCACACTTGCTGCTTTCAAAGCATGTTACAAGCTACCATATTTCAAACATTATAATACTGGCATAAAGACAGACACGCAGACCAACAGAACAGCCATGACTTTATGCAAAACAGTGATCAAGTGTGTTAGAGGTTAAAGCCCAGTAAAGAGCCACAAAGCACAATACAGCAGCATCTTTTAAAGACTGACACTTGTTTGCCGAGAGTGGGTTGCTCATGCAATTATAAACGCTACGACTCTTACTCATATCTTACTTAACTTTATTCACAAGTTTATCAAGACCCATTTTCTCAAATACTTGACTGAAATCTAGACATTCTGTCAATAATTTCTTTGCCTACAAATTCATGAATGTGTACACACACACACACACACAAAAATCTCCACGTGTGTGTACATACGTGCACATATACATACACTTACACAAAAACACACACGTATGTATCGTACACACAATCAGAGTAACACTGTACCTCATAGGTAGTCCCATAGTGGCACGTGAATTGGCACTGTCTGTTGGTCTCTGCGTCTTGCTCCACATTAGTATAAAAGATGACTCCATCTCCAGAGCAGGAGACAATCTGCTTGTCGTTTGTGCACGGTAAGAACTTCGCACTGAATATATTTGCTCGGTGCCCTGAACGAATTGTGGTCAAAACCTGAAACACAAAGAGAAAATAGTTCTTGGTGATTATTATTTCCTAGAAACAAACATTAATAGTGAAATAAATGCTCATTAACATGCTCATCTCAATGAAAATTATCATTTGATTCCAAACTATTCTAATTAAGAAATAAAATCAGAATCACTCATATTTTGTTCTTCCCTGAGATGTGAAAAAGATTGATAATCATTTTGGACTGATAACTCACTATCAAGGCAGTTATCTGTTACTTCTAGGACTATTTGAAAAGTACTTAATCACGCATTTTTCAGTTGCCTTTAGTGGGAGGATAGGTACAAAAAAACTAGCCCATAGCTTTTGGAAAATAAAACTTCTCTTTTCTATATATTTGAGATTTATGATATATATGATGATGATATATAAAAACCACCTCTAATCTCTTAACTCCATATGTAGTAAGTGCTTTGAAACTTTCAATTGCAATAAATTAATCTTTTCATGAACTCACAGGATCTAAAAAAAGTGAAACTGTAAGAACAGATCTGACTCAAGATTAAAAAACTATTTTCCTATATAATAAATCATCAGTGTTTTACAATAAAGAAATATTCCTGTATGATACCAAATTTGAAACTATTAAAACCACTATGTGTAAAAGATAGTCTTGTTATACTTAAAATCTCTACAAGTATTATCTGAGTAATCATCTCTCAAACTGGAAATAGGATGGGTGATGAGTGGTCACTTTTCAAATATACACAATCTACCAGGAACCATGCATAAAGCAAATGCCATTTTTTAAGAAAAACTGAGCAGTTAAAAATTGCTCTTATAAAAATTATGCCATTGGGCATTTTCACAAAATAAATGAAAGCAGGGATTTGAAGAGATATTTGTGCACCTACGTTCATGGCAACATTATTCACAATAGACAAAAGTAGAAGCAACCTGAGCGTACACTAGTAGATGAAGGGATAAGCAAAATGTGGACTATACACACAACCGAGTATCATCCAGCTTTAAAAAGGATGGAAATCCTGACACCTGCTGCAACATGGACGCACCTTGAGAACATTACGCTGAGTGAAATCAGCCAGTCACAACAGGGCAAATGCTGCATCCACACACACGAAGTTCATTAACATCCAACTATGCCCAACAGCACCTGCTGTTGTACCCAGAAGTAGATGCAGTCCCTAGTCAAATTCATAGAGAAAGAAAGTAGAACGGGGGTTCTGGGGGTGCGGGGAGGGAGAATGGGGAGCTGCTGTTTACTGGCAGAATCTGGGTTTTGCAAGCCGGAACGAGTGCTGCAGCTGGATGGCGGTGACGGCGCCGACAGGTGGATGTATCAGTGCCACTGGGCCCAACTCCAAAAATGGCCAAGATGGTTAACTTTATGTTATGTGTATTTTATCATAATTAGAAAAAATAAACCTCTGCATCTTTTTCTAAAAACTCCATTGGTGCCTAGATGAGTGCTTCGTGTGTTATAAGCACTGAATTCTGAGTGGTGATTAGAAAGCATTGCCACACATACGTTATTTCAGGAAAATTTCACCGCTGTAAGAAAAATGTCATCCTGCCCTGGCCGGTTTGGCTCAGCGGTTAGAGCGTCGACCTGCGGTCCTGAGAGACCCGGGTTCGGTTCCCGCTAAGGGCACGTACCTCGGTTGCAGTTTGTCCCCGGCCCTGGTCGGTCGTGCGGGTGGCAGCCACTCGATGTGTTCCTTTCACGTCGATGTTTCTCTCTCTCTCTCTGTTCCTCTCTCTCCCTCCCACTCTACCTGAGCAAAAAAAAAAAAAAAAAAAGGGAAAATGTCCTCGGGTGAGGATAAAAAAAAAAAAAAAAAAAAAAGAAAGAAAAATGTCATCCTGGTAATTACAGACCTAAGAGAAGAACTTGAAAACATCAAGTTTCCCTCTGCTAAGTCAAGACAATTAAATAAAGCTGTTTCTGAAATAAAATTATGACCTATCTTTTTAATCAAGGACAGCCTCAATATGAACCTCTTTTTTAGGCTGAAGGACCACAAACATTTATTTAAATAACTGTTTGTGGAAAAGTAAGAAATACATGAACCATTTATTCTATAAGAATGCCAGTATTAAATAAGACTGCCCATCCACCATGTTCTCATTGATAAAAATAGCTGCGTACTTCTATATAAGAAGCCAGAGGAAGAGCCAATAAAAGCCAGAACACAATGCTAGTCCACACCTTATGGAACTGGATGTCATGAAGTATGTTACTAGAACCTAGCCACTGTCTGTACTGATAAAATCCAGTTTCTTAAACTGCTTGGCTGATAATTAGACTGTGAGCATAAAAGAAAAAAAAAAGATCACAATGTCTCCCCCACTTCCACCCCTCAATGAATGTTTTATTGAGACAATGTCACCTTTGGCAATTTCATCCGCTTGAATAACTTGATGCTTAAATATTGTAGAGTTAAAAGGCTGAATGGAAATCTAACATTTTCCTAAGGAAACTAGGGGAACCTGACTGTAATAACGTCAAATTATATAAGAAACTTTATCAAAATAAGACTATTCTATTACAAATGCCTGGTCTATGATTATTTAGATTTTCTCGATTTCTAGTTTTTTTATATTTTTCCCCCCTCACTTAATTGTAGATTTTTAAAAAACCACTTACCTTTCTGCTGTAAGGATTACTAATTACTAACTTGGTGTCATCTGAGCCAGATAAAATATATTCTCCAGTCTCATTCCAACAGATTGTATTAACCTGAAAAGAAACCAAAAAAGGAAATGCAGTAAACTGGACATAAAAACAAGAATGCATCTTTTACTTAACTGATGGCTCAAAATTTTATCACTAATGAGATTATGTCTATGGTAAAGAATACTTACCAGTTTACTTATTTACCAGTTTACTTATTGAAAGTACATACTGACTATCATTTAGTAAACACAATGTTCTAAAAATTCACAATGAAATGTATGTCTTTCTTAAATTTTACTATTTAAATTATTTTAATTAATTCATTTTATATCCAGAGATACAAATCCAGGTCACCTAAAGAGGAATTAGAAGAGCTTACTACAAAGTGCAGTGGTCAAGGCTGTGTGGAGCTGTCAGGATCATCAACACACACATCAACAAATGGAAATGAGTCAAAGCAAACCCTTCTATTCGTGGCAACATAATTTTTGTCAAGGGGTCTAAGACCACGCAATGGAGAAAGAATAGTCTTTTCAACAAATGGTGCTGGGACAACTGGACATACACAAGAAAAAAATGAATTTAAACCCCTCCTTCACACCATATAAAAAAATTAACTGAAAATGATCAAATATCTACCTGTAAGAGCCAAACTATGAAACTTTTAGAAGAAAACATAGGTGTCAATCTTCATGAAGACTAAAACCACAATGAATTACTACCTCACACTTACTAGGATGGCTATAATTATTAAAAACAAAAAAACAGAAAATAAGAGTCGGTGAGGATGTAAAGAAACCGGAGCCTTTATACATTCCAGGAAGGGATGCAAAGAGCATAGCTCTTTGGAAAACAGTCTGGCAGTATCTCAAAAACCGACAGAGAGTTATGCTGTGACCCAGTAATTCCACAATGTCTATACCCAAGAGAAAAGAATACATGTCACACAAAAACATGTACACAAAAGTCCATAGCTGCAGAATTCATAAGAGCCCACAGGGAAACCAACTCAAATATCATAAACAAAATGTGACTTCTCATCTGCTCATAACAAATTATCAGCATAATGAAATATTATTCAGCCACAAGTACTGGCACATGTTGTGACACGGATAAACCTTGGAAACTTACTGATAAGTGAAAGCAGCCAGTCTGAACGGCCACACAGTATTCCATTTACATGAAACACCCAGAAGAGGTATATCTATAGAGACAGAAAGCAGACTAGTGACAGCCACCAGCCGGGGGGAGGGCATGGGAATCACTGATAAATGGTATGAACTTGCTTTTTCAGATGTTAGAAATATACTGGAATTAGATAGTGGTGATGCGGTACCACATCATGATTATATTTTTAAAACCACCAAATTACAAATGGTGATGAAAGGAAACATGACTGGGGGTGGTCAACACGCTACAATATACAGTTGGTGTCTTATAGAATGTACACGTGAAACCTGTATGATTTTATTAACAAATGTCACCCCAATAAATTCAGTAAAATAGATAAGTAAATAAATATAAAAAATAATAAAAATAAAAAACACTGAATTTCAAGTTAAAATGGGTGAATTCTATGGTATGTGAATTATATCTAAATTTTCTCTTTTTTTTTTTCTTAAAATGTGTTTTGATTTTTTTAGAGATTGGAAGGGAGAGAGAGAAAATCGATCAATTGCCTCCTGCACACCCTGTACTGGGGATCAAGCCTACAATCTGGGCACGTGCACAACCCGGGCACGTGCTCTGACCGGGGATCAAACCGGGACCCCTCAGTCCATGGGACGACACTCCATCCACTGAGCCCCACCAGCTGGGCAATATCTAAAGTTAAAACAAAAGAGTAAGACTTCCACTTTCATCCACTTTCAGATGCAGCAACATAAAACATCTGCACTTTAAAAAACAAACAAACAAAACGCATACTTTCCTAAATTCAAAATCACTGTTTTAATGCTAAAGTTTATTCTGCCAATTTATTGGTCAGTCACAATCTCTTCAGGGAGGACTAGGGCATTTCTTCTTTATCTTTTTTTAAGATTTTAAAAATATTTTTTGGGCCCAGGCCAGTATGGCTCAGCAGTTAAGAGCGTCGGTCCGTGGACCAGAGAGTCCCAGGTTCAGTTCCTGCTAAGGGCGCGTACCTTGGTTGCAGTTTGTCCCCAGCCCCGGTTGGAGTCATGTGGGTGGCAATCAATTGATGTGTCTTTCTTGCATGGATGTTTCTCTCTCTTCCTCTCTCCCTCCTGCTCTATCTGAAGATAAATGCAAAAATGTCCTCGGGTGAGGATAAAAAATAAATAAATAAAAATATTTTTTTGAGAGAGAGGGAGTGGGAGAAACATCGATGTGAAAGTAAAACAGCGATGGGCTGCCTCCTGGTAGGCCATGTGCCCTGACCTGGAATCGAACCAGCAACCTTTAGGCACACTGGATGACGCTCAATCAACTAAGCCACACCACACGGGCTGGGGCAGGACTGCGACATTTCATCGAACACTTGACCACTCGGTTTTAAAGTCCTTCATGTTTGAAAATTAATTATTACTTACACAGCCATCATGCACATTCAGGGTTGCTTCAAGTTTTAATCTTTGGATAAATTCTCTTCTTCCTGTATAAAAACAAGAAAGAACTAAATAAATCCTACCATTTATTGCTGAGGAAAGTAGAACACGGAAGTTAAGAGCCTAGTATCTGGCATAAGTAGATTCAAGCTCTAATTTCAACTCTTCCACTTATAAGCTGAGTGATATTGGGAAAACTGACCTCAGCATCTGCCCGAGTTTCCTCGTGGGAACACCGACTACCTCGTGTGGTTACTGTAGGACTGAGTGAGTCAAGGACTGAAAGGGCTTAGCAGTGTCTGGACACAGTGAACACGCAAGTGTTCCCTGTGTTCACCCATTCATCCAACAAGTACACTGAGTACCCACTCTGTTCCAAGTGGTATTCCAGGAACTAGGAATACAGCGGTCAAACAAGACAGAGGTCCCTGTTGTCTAGTGAGGGGTGGAAGACAATAAACAACAGGGCACTTGGCGAAGGTGCCACATGGGAAAGTAAAGCAGAAAAAGGGGTAAGAGAGGCCTGGGGTAGAGGACAGCGTTTTCCATTTTAAATAGGGGGGCGCACAATGTTTGGTGGATGCCACCTCCATTTAAACCCATCTCAACTTCAGAAATGTTAAAATATTTCAAAGCTCATTTCACAATGATGAAATGCAGCAGCAAAAAATAGAATCAACCTAAATGTCCATCAATAGCAGAACAGTTAAAACACTACGAAAATTGAATATGCTCCTTCTTTGAAAAAGAGAAATACGTTTCCCTTTATGAAATGAATCATCTTTACCAAAGATGGATGAAAATGCTTCATGTTTATTCAGAAGCTGTAATGAAAGGAAGCTGAGCGTGTGACAAAGAGCGATAATTAGCTAGGTAATCAGGCCGATGAGATCTCGGATAAAATTAAATTGGACTGTGCTCTGTGTGCGGTCATGTTTTCTGGCCTTCCACACAAAGGTCTCGTCGTGAAGCCAAACTGTTTTCTTTTTCCTTGCTTACACCTGGCAAGATGGCTAAGTAGAAGGTGAACATATGGGTTAAAAATAATTTTATTTTTGCGTGGGGGTAATGCTCTATGACGCCCAAACTTATTGGAATAAGACAATTTACAGAAATTCAGTAAAGCATTTTCATGAACTAGGTTGTACTTTAACTTTTCAAATCTGATTTTCAGTTATAAAAAGATGATAATATCAAATAGATAAATTTTTAAAAATATTTTGTCTTTGGCCAATGGCAGGCTTGGTAATTCTACTGGGTAATAAATTAACAGTTAAGAAATAAATTACTCAAATTAACAAGATGATAACAAGTGATTAAAATGCTTTTTAAAAAGTACTAGAAACATTTCCAAACTTTAAAAATTGGGTTTTGAAAACACTGTCTACAGAAAGCAGTGGTGGCCTGGGACAGAGGACAGAGTGAGTCCCAGCGAGAACTTTCATCTATGGAATCTGCACATAAAACAGGCTCTGAGACGTGACAGTTACACAGGTACCTCCCGAATATTTTTGAATGTGACTTTGGAGATCAAGATGGGTGTACGCCCACACATCCCATAAAAGGGGCTTCTAGAGCTAACGAGTGTCAACACCCTCTACCCTTTTAGTAATGAAATGCGCTACCGAGAAATAGGAGCTGAAAGCCACCAGAAAGATAAGACCTTTAAGTTAAATAAACAGAACCCCCTCAAATTAAAATACTAATGAAGTCATGTCTGTTAGAGAACTGGAGCCCTGGCCTACTTGCAAGCTAACAAGTTACCTGCCATTTCATGGTGCTGGCAGAGGACACAGGCTCCCAAGCCAGAGCAAAGGGTTTCACTACTCTCAGCACAGCAAGCGGTATGGGCTCAGGTTCTCACTGTTTCCCTTGTCCCCCAATTCCCACTGGGCAATGCGGGTGATACGCTGGGTGGGTGATACGCTGTGCAAGCAGTGGGTCTGAATCCCAGCCAAGAGACCCCTGAACGTCAGGGACCCAAACATCAGATCAAGCAAATCTGCCTGATATAAGGGGCACATCCTCATTACACGGAACAATAAATAAATCTGCCCTCTGCCCCAGAGGGAGATACCGCATCTCCCAAGGCTGTTCGCTGCGTGAACATTCCTGGAGAGATAGTCCGGAACGAAGCAGCCAGTGCCTCTGCTCACAGGATGTGCAGAAATGTAACAGAGCCATGGAAAACTCTTCCAACAATTACACACTTGTTATGGACGAAATTACTTATCACTGTGGCTTCCTACGCAAGTCTTTCTGCAACCCAAGCCGCCTCTTCTAATTCCCTCTCTATCTCAACTTCTATTCAGTATTAACAGACTGTAAGCTCCATACAAAGAGGAACAAATGCCTAGAACAGCACCTAGCAGGAAGCAGACACTCAATCCATATTTGCTTAATCCAATGAATAAATGAAAGGGGTCAAAGTCTTCACTCTGCTCTGTAATGTGTCCCACTCAATAATTTGGCATGACCATCTTTCAGTGACAAAAACTACTGAGCTACTGCTCATTTTAATGGCTGTGTAACTTATTAAATAGCTTTGTAACTTATTTATTCACATACCCAGCTCCCTTATTAGAATATGAGATGCTTGGGACAAGAAAGGTCAGACCTGGGTTTAAATATCTAACTTGGAACATACTACACGTACACTGGGCAAAACTTAACCTCTCAGAGCCTTAGTTTTCACATTGGTAAAAGTTTTACATTTGATGGAAATAATACCATCAATTTTACAGGTTTATTGTTGAGAGTAAATAACTGGCATATGCAAAACTCATAGATGTGCCTGATATACTGCAGACATTCACGACTAGTACGTAGTCTCCCTGTGTACACTGGGATTGTCCTAAGTCAATGTTGTCTGAAAAGAGAGAAATAATTTTTTAAAGACTTCATTGAAGGAGCTGAGATAACTTCAACTGGTTAGGAGACAAAAGTAAAGCTAGTGATAAATACTGAAGAGGAGGCAAGTACCTTAACAGAAATGTTCGCTTTTCTTGAGCCTATTGTCCCTTTCAGCTACTTCTTAATGCCAAATTTCCCGTCATCTACATCTGTTACCCTCCCCAGCTCATGGTCAGGTCTTCCTTTTCCTGCATTGTCCTTCTGGTCCCCTCCTCTTCGCTGGTTTTTTCTTGGAAATCATGGGTGATCAGTGAATCCAATGGTCTTTTTCAAGACACATTTCTCATCACCTCCTGGCTCTGTCACAACTGACTGCTGTCTCCCTGAAGTAGCCCCATGGCATCTCATCACATGAGCAGAACTGAGAGCTAAGGGTGAGGAACACTCTGGAGAGACAGAACACTGATCTATAGGGATAAACAGACAAAATATGTGTAAGATTTGTACACTGTAAAATATAAAATATAAGACATTGCTGAGGGAAATGAAAGAACTTTTTTTTTTTTAATCCTCACCCGAGGACATTTTTCCATTTTTTGTTCAGATAGAGCGAGAGGGAGAGAGAGGAACAGAGAGAGAGAGAGAAACATCGATGTGAAGGGACACATCGAGTGGCTGCCACCCGCACGACCAACCAGGGCCGGGGACAAACTGCAACCGAGGTACGTGCCCTTAGCGGGAACCGAACCCGGGTCTCTCTGTACCGCAGGCCGACGCTCCAACCGCTGAGCCAAACCGGCCAGGGCTGAAAGAACATTTTTAAAATACAGAGAAAAACCATGTTCATGGACTGGAAGGTTTAATATTGTAAAGATGTCAGTTCGCCCTAAAATAATGTGTAGGTTCAATGCAATACCAACCAAGACCCCAGTAGTCTTTATTGGAGAAACTGACAAGTTGATTCTAAACTTTATATGGAAATGCAAAGGACCCAGAATAGCCAAAATAATTTTTTTAAAAAAAGGACCAAGTTCAAAATATCACTTTAGCTGATTTCAATACTCACTATGAAGAAGGAACTACTGTCATAAAGACAGATACCTACATCAACAGGACATGGAAGCGAATATGACTTACATACACAGGGTTTGACCAAAGTAGGTTTAGAGTTGTGATTTTATTCCTGTATTATTATTTATAAATTATTATTTATTTTCCATATGATCAACTTCAAACCTAATTTTGCCTCACCCTGTACATGGTCAAGTAATATTCAACAAAGAGCAAAGAACTGTCTTCTCACAGATGGGGATGGATCAACACATTCATGGGCAAATAAATGAAACTTGACCCTTAACTCATACCATAAGTAACTCAAAACTGTCCACAGACCTACACATAAGAGTTAAAAATAGAAAACTTCTAGAAAAAAGCACAGTAGAAATAATTTGACCTTGGATTACATAACGATTCTTAAACAGGACACAAAAAGTATGAACCACAAAAGAAAAATAAAGGAAAAGGCAAACTGGGAGAAAATATCTGCAAAATGAGTATCTGATTAAGGACTCGTATGGAGAATATGTGAAGAATTCTTACAATATTAAAAAGGTAACTCTGAACATTTAACCGAAGTGTATGGATGGCGAATAAACCATGAAGAGACATTCAGCATCACTAATCATGGTGTTAAGTCAAATGTACGTCTACATACCTACCAGAAAGGCTCAAGCGGGAGGACTCGCGAGGCCAAGAGCAGCTGAGGACGTGGGCGAGGGCCCGCGAACACTGCTGGTGGCAATGCAGTGTGCTACAGTGACTGGAAGATAGTCTGGCAGCTTCTTGCAAAGTTCAACACACTTCTACAACTCAGCAATCCCACTATAGGCATTTACCCAATAAATAGGATTTAAAAGTGTCCTACTCTGGTTTTCTTTTCCAAGGTGTAAATTAAAAGTTTCATATTTATATCTTCCGTACTAGCCATCGGCTGTACGGAACAGCACTCAAATAATAAAAAAAGGTTTCTTAATCAGTTGTAAGTACTTGGGAACCCCAACCACCCTAACCTTGAAGTCAATGACATTCAATTACAATTATTAAAAAATACACACCATCTAGTATAGTTTTGCACACCTTAAGCCGAGACTCATTAGTGGATATTCCACTGGGTCAACACCAACATTTCAGCATGATACAGAAATTAGAATGCACCCCACCGAGTAAGGCTAAATTCCATTTGTAGAACCTTTCATTTCAGTTGTGTGTGTGCATGTCAAGATGTCATTATATGTATTTATACTGTGGATCGTGGCCAAACATCTGTAAAACACTCCATAAAACATAACTGTAACACAAGCTCTGATCCCTTCTAAGCATGTTCATTCTATACCAGAGAGGGATGAAATCCTCAGCAGAGCAATCCTATCCTGCTGCCTACATTTGTGATTGATAATATGCCTTTTGATGGTCTTATCATCAAGAATTAGCATATTCTATTTGTTATGTTTTTCATATTTGACATTTTCATTACTAAAATCAGACATTTTTCAATTTTCAGAGTTTCAAGACTAAAGAAACAAAATACAGATTTCCACTTTTTCCCAATAGCTAACAAGGAGGTAAAAGTCAGAATTTACTGACCCTCATATATTTTAACTTGGCGACACATTATGGATTTGGTAAATCTCAATCTAGATGTTATTCAGGATGTGCCCAAAAGAGCAAATGCAAAATTATCCATTTCAATACACACTAACTTTAATAATATCTAGACATCATCTTCCTAATCCCTTTACCAAAATATTTCAGTCTCCACTGTAAAGTTTTCCCTGGCTGCCTGCTAGACCCCCAACCCCAAATTTCTCTGTTGAAATCCTGATCCCCAAGGTGATGGTATCAGGAGGTGGGACCCCAGAGAGACAAGGAGCCCCTCTGCCAGAAGAGGCCACAGTAAAGAGATGGCTCCGCACCAGGAAGCAGGCCTCCCAGACATGGAATCTGACCATGCGGACACCCAATCTCATCGTCCAGCCTCCAAATTTATTAGAAATCAGTTTCTCTTGGTTATAAACCACCCAGTTTATGACATTTGTTATAGAAGCCAACACCGACCAAGACACTGCCTAATTATAATTTAAACATTTTATGTATTATAGCAAACAGCTCCCTGAAAAAGTGCCTTAAAATTACTTTTGTCAATTATCATCTTTTAATTTAGAGGAGTCACAAAGTGTCAATTCAAGTTGTAGACAAGTCTGTCTAAAATGAGAGAAATATAGATAGAAAGAGGAAATGTACAGAAGTGACAGTTCCTTTTATAAGCAACATTAAAATAGGTGTGGCTAATAAGTTATTATAACAATCACTGAATTCCAAAAGCACTACCCTATAGCTGTATACAGTACGTTGAGAAACTCTGAAATACTTAAACCTATAGATGTCTCTAACTTGGGACTTTGACAATTAGTGTTTAAAAAAAAATAAATCCTACAATGCAGTTTACATCAGGCTAACAGAGATGACAATCCCTAGCCTACTGTCTAAATCCATGCTCGATTGGTTCAGGTGAATTGGGGGCTATAAGTGAACACACTCAAAAAAAAAAAAAAATATATATATATATATGTAAACATACTTTTTCCCCTAAATAAGATATGACAAATTATCTTTATTCTCACAATGTAAAAGTATGTTTTGTGAACTGCAATTTTCTTTTGTGGGAGAAAAAGAGATAATTAACCACATTTAGATAAAATCAACAACAAAGCTTTTGAAAAAGACGTTTTATGGTGAAATAATTTGAAATACAAATGTCACAAGAAAAAAATCAATTCATTTTATCCCAATTTCATTGTTATTTAGCAGTAATCCACTATTTGAAATGGAAACAAATTAGAAATATAATTAATCTACAATACTATAGATAGTCAAAATGTTGGAATGTTGAAATCTTGAAAAAGGGATCTATTTACTTTCTAAAACTCCTGAACTCAGACTTTTTAAAAGAAAGGCTTTATAAGAGTACTTCAAAATATCATTTTTAAAACTCTCATTAATCCAGGCACTACTACTGTAGATGTTGCTGTTTCCCAAGTGCTAACCCAGATTAGCACTGCAGTGTTGAAGAGTTGGATAAACAAATGATGTAAATAAAGGTCTACAGAGGCCAAGAAATTACAAGCTATTTTCAAATATTTAGAAAACCACTCTTAAAGGAACTGTTCCAAGAATGTGCTAATTGTAAAGTATTTATTAGCACACTTCAAATATTATTTAAGATAAGGAACTCCCTGTATGCATATACACATATTTGAAAATCTATCATTTAGACTTTTTACTAAAGTCAGGAGACTCTGACTCTTCGATTTTCCTCCACCCAACACAAACTCCACTCCATCAGGGAGTAGAACAGGAAGGGGAGAAAAAAATGTAGGGGTTTAATCTTAATTGACTCTATGATAGATACAGCTGAACTAACGGAACCAGAGGAAAACAGCAATATATATATATACCTATACATGTTTCTATAGAATGAACAGATCTATTTTACTGCCACATGAAGATCTCCAAGATCTACTGTTGCAAATCAGTGTTTACAGTGCAACACCATATATGCTGGTCAAACACACACACACACAAACACGGAATTATAGCATCTCTATGTGTACTAATGTGCTGGTAAGAATGCAAAGAAAAAGGTCTGGACAAATACTCTGGAAACCGATGATGTTACCTCCAAGGATGTGTGTGTGAAAGGGGAATGGAAAGGATCGCGGGGATTTTGGCTTCACTTCTATGAAGGCTTTACAAGGAGAATGTATTCCCATGTCACTTGAAAACAAAACAAAACAAAAAACCAAGAATAAGGAAAAAAAAAAAAGATGCCCCCCACTTCTCTGAAATAATTAACCGACAAACCAGAACTGTTAGGTGTAAACGAGATGTCATCTTCTTTTATTAACTTGAAGTCAAAGCCAAAGGACACCCACAGGGGCTTGGCCAGCCAACAGTGACAAGGGTGGAAAGGAGGAAAAGAAGTCGAAACGCTCCCCTCCAGGGAAAAAGGACGGACAGGAACACGGGGCACAAGGAGGAAGGACGACAAACAGAGCCACACTCAACACGGCCACTTTCACCGAAGACCGCGGACATTTCTTCAGCGGGCGCAGCCATGAGTGACCCAGAAACCTCACGAAACCACTCTGTCCAAAACGGGAAAAGAAAACCGAAGAGAGGAAAGTGGAAGCCTGTTCCCTCCGGCTCCGAGGGCTGTTTTTAGAAGGCTGAACTAAGGACCAGAGAATGCCCGGTGCGTCTTGCAGGGGTGGGGACGCGAGCGTGAAACCCTACACCTCCTTGAGGCGTCGGCGCGACCGCGGGCGGGTCGCACGGGCGGGCCGCGGGGGTGGGGACAGCTCGGCCACCACTTTCAGGCTTTGGCTCGGGGCCGCGGGGCGGTCCACGCGGAGCCTGCGCGGAGCGTGGGGGCCCCGAGGGTGGCCGTCGCGGCGCAGCCGACACCAAGACCCTCCGAGACCGCCGGGGTCGGGGTGTCAGCCAAGGCTCGGGTGCGGGGCTGAGCGCTGGACGAGGGCGCGGGCGCCAACTCCTGCTCCAGACGCTCCGGGAGGCCCGACCAGCCTCGTCCCGAGCCCCACTCCAGGGCAACCCCAACACCTCCCTGGCCCCAGGGCCGGCCCCGGTCCGGCCCCGCGAGGGACACCCAGCCGGGGCGGCGGCTGGCAGCACGCAAAGGGGCTGGGCCGTGGAGGGCAGGGTGCGGGGGCCGCCTGTCGGGGTCCCCCCGGCGCCCCAGACTCTCGGGGACGCGCCGGCCGAGGCACTGTCCCACGGCCGCCAGCCCCCGACCGCGGCCCCCTCCCCCACCCCTGGGCGGCGACCTCAGCGCCTCCGCCCCGGGGCCCCGCTCACCCAGGTAGCGGCTCCGCAGCCGGGACGGGTCCTCCAGCCCGAGGGACCTTTTCCTCACGTCCCACAACAGGTGTGGGCAGCAGCCACCCCGAGACATGGCTCCGCCAGGCCGGGGTGGGAGGGGAGCCCACCGCGTGGGGGAGGGGACGGGGAGGGGAACTCGATCAGCCCCCGAGCCGCACCGGCACCATCCGCGCGCCGGGCCTCGCGGGCGGGCGCAGCGACTCAGAGGGCAGCGGCGCCTTCGCCCCCGACGCCCGGCCGCACCGGCGCCCGGGCTCGCCTCATACTCTGCTCAGACTCCCCAGAACATCCAGGGATCAGCAACAGGCCCCTCCCTCGGCCCCTCCAACGGGAGGCGGAGGCGGAGGAGGCGGAGGCGGAGGCGGCGCGGCTCCTCCCTCTCCCCGCTCTCGGCACCCTCCCTCCCGAGCGCTCTCGCGAGATGACGCCCATCCGGGGCCTGAGGCCGCGGAGCGCCGCGGCTGCCCTCACCCTAGAACCGCGGGGTTAGGCCCCCGGAGCCAACGTCTCCATTCTGTAGGGACCCACGAGGAAGACAGGCCGCAGCCGCCGAGATCTGAAGTCTCTCGCTCACGAGTCTCATGCCAGAGGCAACGAGACAGTCGCGCGCCGTCATCTTGAGTTGGGGCACGACGAGCCCATTTTCACTGCGGGCCTCCTCCATCAAAACGAAAACGGCTCGGAACGGGTGTGGCTTCACTTTCCCTTCTCCAACATGGCGTCGAGGGCAGGAAGGAGAAATGGGAGGGTCGCGCTGGGCCCCGCCCACCGCGCGGGGCTGGCCAATCGCGGGGGGCGGCTCCGCTTGCGCAGGCGCGCTGCCGCGGAGCTCTGGGAGGACGCGCCGAGGCCATTCATCTGGCACCTGTTGCTATGCCGCGTCCTCGTTGGCTGCAGGAGGGCGGAGGGCCGACCCGGGGCGTGTCATCGCCGAGCCTCCGCCTCCCCGGCCATCTCCGGGCCCCGGCCCCTGGGTGATTCGCAGGGGGACAGGCCGAGCGGCAGCGGGAAGAGCCCCGAGGGGGGAGGACGCGAGGCCCTGAGCCGGGAAAAGTGACGAGCTGTCTTTCGTCGTCAGCCAGGGACGAGTACGCGGCCACTCTCCCGCCCGCCTGGCCACGATCCCTCATCCGCAGACATGTCAGCCGCCGGCGTCCGGGGCCTCAGGGCCACCTACCACCGGGTCCTCGATAAAGTGGAGCTCATGCTGCCCGAGAAACTGAGGCCGCTGTACAACCACCCGGCAGGTAATGCACCTGGCATGGCTCCCGCCGACACCTTCCCTGGTGGCTGGAGGCGTCACCGACACCCCAGCCCTCCCCCTCGACTGGCTTCGTCTACTTTACTACCTCCCTGCTGTTCCCTTTGCCTCGCCGCCCCCCAGCTCCCAACCTAGGCGACCCTTGTCACACACCCCCATCCCTTAGGTGCGACTTACACCGGGACCCGGCCTCTGGGCTGGATCCCGTCCCATTTCCGCGACCCCCAGCCTGTCCCGGCCGCCGGGACGCCCTCCTTCCCCCCGCCTTCCTTCCAGAGCGCTTGTGGTCCCCGAGGGTTGGGAGGAAAGGTCACGCAGCCTTCAGCCCCGCTGGCAGGGCCGGGCTGCAGAGATGGCCGCCCCTCGCCCCGGGGGTCCAGCTTCAGTCTGTCCTTATTTGTGACATTTCCTGAGCGAGCGCGTCCTGCACCGTTCTTGCGTGGACACGCGTGGATTTCGTCCCGCTCTGCCCCTTACAGCAGGTGTGACCTTGGGAGAAATCCTAGATCTCGTCGTTTTTGTCAAATGGTCAAGGTGAGAGTTAAACAGAACATGGATGTGTTTGCTCAGCCGTGCTCGGTAAATGTGGACTCTCTCTTGTCCTGTAGGGACACCGTGGTCTTGTGGTTGGGGGAAAAATGCATTTCTGTAGGAAACGGGAAGATCCCAATCCCTCCCGCTCTGTACTTAAGATCTAGAATTCTTTATAGAGTGGGCAGTAATAGTACTTAGTTGGCTGGGGACGAAGAGCAGATCTTTTTCAAGTGTAAGAGTGTGTAAACAAAAATCTGTACATTGAAATATTGAGCTTCTCTGCACTTGGCCTCCTTAGGACAGTTGACAACCCCCCACCCCCACCTCAGGAAGTGCTCTCTGGAGTCTGAACTGGTTATCACTCAATCGGATTTCCAGTTTGATAATGGAATGAACTGTATTTGGGGATTATATCTGAGTATAATGTTACTTACTGCAGTACATATTGTACCCATTATAAAATTGATCTTTAAAGAGAAGTTTTTATTCCCGAAGTTTATTTAGTTTGCCTTTTAGTTCTTTTAATACCGAAATGTTTGGGCTTGTGCTGCATTTCGTGGCAAAGGTATCAGGAGAGAGGTTAGGCAATGCTTCTGTAATAGTCTGGGCTTTAGAGTTACCTGAATTCTGTAGTCAGTTTTGACCCTCTTCACCTTTGTGTCTGGGCTGTGGGAGGAGGACAGGTAGAGGAGGAGCTGTTTCAAACTACTTTGATAACAGGGTAGTGTTATAGGGATCTTTTCCAAGGCCTTGGCTTTACCTACCCCATCGTCATTGCTTACAATACTTTTCAACTCTCAGAGAGAAAAGGAGTTCCCTTTCATCTGTAGATTGTGCATTTCATCTGGATATTCCTGGCTGAGATGAGTTATTGGCATCCCTTGCCAGTACAGTAGAAGGAGCGTAGGCTTTGAAGCCAGCCAGAGGTTGGAATCTTGACTCTGTGACCTTGGCCTTAAATCTCACAAGCTTTAGTTTTCTAATCTATAAAATGAGGATAATAAATATCACCATTTAAGTATTGTTATGAAAAGTAAACGACAGCCCTGGCTGCTTCTGCTCAATGGTTAGCGTATCGGCCCGTGGACAATGGGTCACGTGTTCTATTCCAGCCAAGGGCACTTACCTCGGTTGTGGTTCATCCCCAGCCCTGGTTGGTAGTGCAGGAGGCAGCCACTCGATGTGTCCCTTTCACGTCGATGTTTCTCTCTCTCTTCCTCTCTCTCCCTCCCACTCTATCTGAACAAAAATGGAAAAATGTCCTTGGGTGAGGATTAAAAAAAGAAAAGAAAAAGTAAATGACATGACAGCCCTGGCTGGTTTGGCTCAGCAGTTAGAGCATCCCCTGTGGACCAAAGAATCATGGATTCAATTCCAGTCAAGGGCACATACCTTGGTTGTGGTTCAATCCCTGGCCAGGGGTCATGCGGGAGGCAACCAATTGAGGTGTCTCTCTCACATCAATGTTTCTCTCTCTCTCCCTCACACTCTATCTGAAGATAAATGGAAAAATATCCTTGGGTGAGGATTTAAAAGAAAGAAAGACAGTATCTTATAAAACATGTAGCAGAGTGTTGGCATGTAGACTATCAACAAATGTTAGTTCTCTCTCATCTGAGCTTCTAACCAATAAGCAGAGTAAGAAAGAATACCTCTCACTGCAAAATTATTTGTGACTAGAAAGTTGTAGGCACACCAATGTAGATATGGAAAAGCATGAAAAATATAACTGTTGATGCATTATTATTGAATATCTGAGGAAACACTGGTTATTGTTCCTAGACCTATTAGACTGAATATTCACGCTTTTATATACTATTTTATATAATCATCATTTAAATATCCACCTACTGGAGATTTTTATAAATCTATGCAAAGCTAGGATATTAACTTGACTAAGTTTTTGAGATTTAATTTTTATCTGTGACAAGTCATTATTTTACTGTACAATCGGAATAGCTTTCACACAAATAAAAATAAATAATTTTTGGCAGTCGGTATTTGTGTCAGTGAGTAACCGTTACAAAATCTAAGGGTTCGCAAGTAGTTTGTCACGTGATAGTGAACAGATCCACTTGCGTACTGTAAGGAACCGAGAATGTCAGGGATGTGGAAAGGGGGAGCAATGGTAGGAGGCATAGGAAGAGGTGATGGTGGGTATTCGGTTAGAAACTTGACCCTACACTGGGGCGTAGTGAGCGCCTCGGGGCAGTGTTTGCGTTTGTGCCTGCCTGTCTGTTTGTAAAAGCTCCTTATTATTCTGTTCCAAGGAGAAAATCTTTTCTTAGGGAATCATACATATTACAATAAGCGACAGTTCCTGGGTAGAAATTATATATTTCATGAACAGTAACTCCTCTCAGATACGGAAATTAGGGGGTAAATTTATGTCATTTTATCAACAGGTTCATCAAAGTTCATCAAGGCAACTGGATTCGTTAATTTGTTTAAAAATGTATGTCTGTTACAGATTTGGTTATGATATCCCCTTACAGAATTTCTCAAATTCTCCTCTGAAAATGTGAACTTTAAAAACTTTCGCTTTAAAAATAAGACAAACCCATGACAACACAAAAGAAAATGACCATTATGTTATTCTCTGTATTTTTCATTATGCTTGAACGTAGTTTATAGTTTTAAATATATGTGTATTTATTGAATACTTGTTTGATATTTTCAGACTGTCAGCATTCGAGGGCTTTTTCAACTTCCAGAAGTAGACTTCTAAGAAACAAGATAAAATAGGTTGTTAGTTCATTCTTTGTCTAAAAGAATGTACATTTATATCTGCTGGGGACACATTTGCCTCATTTTAGACTCCAAATTAAGTTTCTTATGAGGCGATTTTTGTTCAGTATAGTTCAGTTCAAATGTTCCACCCAGGAGGTTTTTTCATGCCTCATGTTGAGTGTTAGCTGGGCACCCTGTGGGTGTGCATTTCCGCTTATCTTGATGTTAAGGTATTAGAATCACTTTCAGGCATCATAATTAATTTCATTGTCTCACTTTTTAATGAGATGCTGTGTTTTGATGAATAGCTGTGAGAATGGCTGTGTCGTTACACAGAATATAAACCTGGTTTTCCCAGGTCTGGAATGACACGTTTGACATTGTGACGTCACTATTTTCTCGCCATATCCACTGTTGGGTGATTGATTTTTTTCAGGAAGACAGACAGCCTCTGAACCTGAATTCTTACATGTTTACCTTTATTTGACTCATTGACTCTAAAAAATGATTAGCCAAGATAAATTGGAAGGATGAGCTAAAATAAGTTTTCTTTGAAAGTTCTGTTTAGCCTTGGCTGATTTGGCTCAGGGGTTGGAGCGTCAGCCCAGGGACCAAAAGGTCCAGGGGTCAAGTTCCAGTCAAGGGCATGTACCTGGGTTGTAGGTTTGATCCCAGGCCCCAATTGGGGTCATGTGGGAGGCAGCCAATTGATGTGTCTCTCTTACATCAATGTTCTCTCTCTCTCTCTCTCTCTCTCTCTCTCTCTCTCCCTCTCCCCCCCTACCCTCCCACTCTATCTAAAAATCAATGAAAAAGTATCCTCAAGTGAAGACTAACAAACAGAAAGGAAAGAAAGTTGTGTTGGCCTACTGCTACGTTTCCCTTTTTCCGACAATGAAGACAACACTACTGCTTTGCATTTGTACATAGCCAACGCTGATTGCGTTTGTCCCTCGTCAGCACCCTCTCACATCTCAGAGAAATCAGAAATTTAGAATGTCATGTACATATTTGCTGCTGATATTTTTAAATCTTGTTCTTAGCAGTTGTAAAACTAATTTAGGGTTTGTTTTGTAATTTAAAATTATTCACTAAAATATTCATACTGTTCCTAGGCTAGGTTCTAGCAACTATAGTCATATTTGCAGTTTTTTTGGTTGGTTTGGTTGGCGGGACAGAGGCAGTTAATATTTTAAGACTGTCACCTAGCTCGGGCACTTAGTTACCTGGCAAACCTGTGAAGCCTGCCTATTCATTAACCCTGAACCGTCAACCCCAGTTAAGCTTGTAAAGAAACCAGAATCTAGCCCAGCTGGTGTGGCTCAGTGGTTGAGTGCCAACCCATACACCAAGAGGTCACTGGTTTGATTTGAGGTCAGGGCACGTGTCTGGGTTGCGGGTTCAATCCCGAGTAGGGGGCGGGAGGCAGCCAATCAATGTTTCTCTCTCATCGATGTTTCTAACTCCCTCCCTCTCTCTTTCTTTCTCTCTAAAAATCAATAAAAACATTTAAGAAAAAAAGAAACCGGAATCTAGAGGCATTGCTCAGGAAACAATCTTTGTTTCAGGTGGTTGAAGAGGAGGCATCAATTTTGAAATAGGAAGAGAGGAGTCTGCTAAAAAGGTCAAAGCCAGAGACCAAAACATATGCTGAGTTACTTTTAGTGAGGAAGCTATGCTTCGTGCAGGGGTAAATGAACTGCGTGACTGATCCTGCCAGAGGTTTTGTGTATGACAAGGCAAAGTGAGCCAGGAGTGGTGCTAGGAACCCAGAAGCTCGAGCTAGATAAGCTAAGCAGAGAGTATGGACAGGCTGACTGCCAGGATTGGTACATCACGGCGTCAGACTCGTGGGGAGAGCTCTGAGGAGCCAAACGGGGAGCGCCGTGGTCTAAGAGTAGTCGTGAGTGGAAATCGAGTGCAGCCTGGTGTAAAGGGACCCTGACGGCCCTGGAGATGAGGGAACACCATTCCTGCCTTGGGTATGAGACAGTGTCGAGGCAAATCTGCCATTTCCCCAACTTGAAGTTATCCATTAGTGAACTAACAGTAAGTTCTGCATCCAAGGCAAAGCACTGGGAATGGTTTCCAAAGCCACCTCCGTTATACTTCAGCTCAGTTTCAACAGTCACAAAAATACAAATAATTGACGAGATCGAAACAACTTGTATGAAAGATTGATATTGTGGTGACTTTCTGAAGGTTAAATTATATACAAAGTATGCAGAAAACATAGTAAAAATAATTAGAAATAGAAAAAGTGATTAGAAATAGATTGATGAATCTTTAGGTTTTTGAAATGTGACAGGTGTTAAAAGATATATATAAAATAGTTGAATAGTTGGTTTATTCCTAAATTTTTCTTTTCTTTTTTTTTTTCAGGTCCCAGAACAGTTTTTTTCTGGGCTCCAATTATGAAATGGGTAAGTTTTGAGTTTTTACAGAAGCTACTAAAAAAAAAAATTATCTGTCCGGCCGATGTAGCTCAGTGGTTGAGCATCGACCCATGCATCAAGAGGTCACCAGTTTGATTCCCGGTCAGGGCACATGCCCAGGTTGTGGGCCAGATCCCCAGTGAGGGGCGTGCAGGAGGCGGCCAGTCGATGTTCTCTCTCATCGATGTTTCCATCTCTCTCTCCCTCTCACTCTAAAATTAATAAAGGAAAAAACATTTTTAAAAAATTCTCTCACAGAAACTCACTAATTAGAAGTAACTTTGATGAAGGATGCACTTTTAAATGTTCATAGTGTGCCTCTAGTCCAAAAGATCTCATGCAGAGATTCCGAGACGTGTCATTTTCACTACGTAGAGCACACTCCCTTTTTTCTGAACTCCGTACATTAGGAGGCCTGGGAACATATTTGTAACAAAACTCTTACAGTTGTGAGCCCTAGGAATGTGAAACATCATTCTAAAAATTTATGATTAAGTAAAACACTAAACTAGTTAACTGTTACTGTCAATTTAGTATGAAAATTGAAGATACACCAAAATAGAGGCAAGGAAAGTTAGACTCAAAAAGTAGTGGGATTGAACCAAGAACGTGTATGAACATGTGGTAGGTGGTAGTCTGGGACTTCTGACGACAAGACCCCTGCTGCTGTGAACAGTGGTGGAAAATATTTGTTCTAGTGCCTGCTGTCCGTTCTTTGGGGTTATACCTAGAGGCGGGGTGGTCGGGTCATATGGTAATTCTGTATTTGACATTTGAGGAACTACCGTGTTATCCCGCCATCAGTTAACAAGGTCCCAGTTTCCCTGCATCCCTGCTTTGTTTGTGATAACCGACTCCGTGGTGTGAAGTGCCTCACTGTGCTTGTGTTTCCTTTGCGTTTCCCAGAGGTGGGTTCTGCGGAGCATGTTCCCGGCCTGTGGACCCTTCCGCGTCTTTGGAGAAACGCTCCCTACAGCCCTTTGCTTTCGTCGTTGAGTTGTAGGCTATTTTAATTCTCTAAGTGTACTATTTTAAATTGTTGGGACAATTTAGAAACTCAGTTGTAAATTGAAGTGGTTGAGACTGTTAGAGCTGGAGGTGGCTGTCCCTCAGTCTTACGGCCTTAGGGGGTTAGATCCGCAGGGCTGCCTCCTCAGCCATGAAGCCAAGACTCCATGAGGGGTTGGGAGCTGTGTTGCAGAGAACTCGGGAGCAGTTCGTTTTTATACTTACTTATTGAGAAGAGGTCCCATCAGATTTTTTAAAGTGTCAGTATATCACCTTTGATGATTATGTTCACACTCTAAGCTTTCAAATAAAAATTAAAAAAAAATGCCTGTACTAATGGAAGGTGTGTGATTAGTTCCTTCCTCTCTCCCTACCACACTTTAAATTATGTGGTAATTACATATCTACAAAGTGGAATTGATTACTGAACTATTATTTCCACCACCATTGTTAAAAGAATATGAATGATTTAATCTATCTACCATGAACTTGGGGTCCTCTTTGACCTCAACATGCCTCACTGGGGAGTTGACTGGTTTTATTAATAGCTCCCGTGTGTCTGTGATCCGCTCCTTCGGTGTTTTGCAACACTGACAGCATCACAGTCATAACTGCTCTCCTGTCTGTCTCCTTTGAAACATCTATTTTAAGTCCGTGTTGAAATCAGCATAGTCTCCTGATGACTGCATCGCAGTGGGAACTTGTGTCCCATGTGCTGCTGGGAGACTTCTTTTGCTAGATACTACTTTCTGTACAAGGTGTTTTCTTCTCCCAGAGCATTTGATAACTCATGTGTGGTCGTCTGTACAGGACATGAAAATTGCCGCTGACAGCCCTGTGCGCTCTGTATGCGTGTTCTGCCAGCCCTGTGCGCTCTGTATGCGTGTTCTGCCAGCCCTGTGCGCTCCGTGTGGGTGTCCTGCCAGCCCTGTGCGCTCCGTGTGCGTGTTCTGCCAGCCCTGTGCGCTCCGTGTGGGTGTTCTGCCAGCCCTGTGCATTCTGTGTGCGTGTTCTGCCAGCCTTGTGCGCTCTGTGTGCGTGTCCTGCCAGCCCTGTGCGCTCCGTGTGCGTGTCCTGCCAGCCCTGTGCGCTCCGTGTACGTGTCCTGCCAGCCCTGTGCGCTCCGTGTGCGTGTCCTGCCAGCCCTGTGCGCTCCGTGTGCGTGTTCTGCCAGCCCTGTGCATTCTGTGTGCGTGTTCTGCCAGCCCTGTGCGCTCCGTGTGCGTGTTCTGCCAGCCCTGTGCGCTCCGTGTGCGTGTCCTGCCAGCCCTGTGCGCTCCGTGTGCGTGTCCTGCCAGCCCTGTGCGCTCCGTGTGCGTGTCCTGCCAGCCCTGTGCGCTCCGTGTGCGTGTCCTGCCAGCCCTGTGCGCTCCGTGTGCGTGTCCTGCCAGCCCTGTGCGCTCCGTGTGCGTGTTCTGCCAGCCCTGTGTGCTCTGTGTGCGTGTTCTGCCAACCCTGTAGGAAGAATTTCAGACTGTACTTCAGACACTTGACTATGGTGGAGTGCTTGGTTTGATTGAAACAAAATAATCATAAAGATTATGTATGCATTTGCCAGTCCTCTGTTACAAGGCTGAGGCCTTCGTCTGTGTAAGGATCCACTGATTGTGAGGTGAACATCTTCTCTCCTGGGTGAATGATACCATCATGTATCCCATATAGTTTCCAGTTTAGTTTTCTTTCAAGCAGAACAAATTCATAGACACTTTCATAACAGTATGACAACAGAAGCCTGCTAGATTTTTATGGCTTTCCTTCACATTTTAAAATATCTGTCTTGGTCATGCCAAATTTGACAGGAAGTTTTAACAACTTGCCTTTATTCAGCCTTTTCAAAACAGTTGCGTGAGTTTTCATAGAAAGAACAACCCTCTTTGTATTTGACCTGTTTACCTTATAGTCCATTCAATTATATAGTAAGTAAAACTGGCATAAAATGGTTTGAGGACAAATACAATGACTTTATAACAACACAGCTCGGCTGGCGGCACTAAAACTGCACGTGTGTAACGCAGAGTAAATAGCCCACTCGCCGCAAATCTACGCCGTGGGCACGTTGGCCTGTTTCAGGAGTGGGGATCATTGACCAGTGGAGAAATTCTGATAGGAAGGTCAGTTAAGAGAGCTGCTTTATTTATTTGTTTATTTTTTATTCTCACCTGAGGACATTTTTCCACTTTTTATTCAGATAGAGTGGGAGGGAGAGAGAGGAAGAGAGAGAGAGAGAGAAACATCAACGTGAAAGGGACACATCGAGTGGCTACCACCCACACGACCAGGCAGGGCCAGGGACAAACTGTATCCAAGGCACGTGCCCTTAGCAGGAACCAAACCTGGGTCTCTCTGGACTGCAGGCCGATGCTCCAACCACTGAGCCAAACCAGCCACGGCGAGAGCTGCTTTATTTCTGTTCAAAATCTTGTTCAGATTGGGTTCATCTTAGCTCTTGAACAATATGCCATGTGGTATGGCTGACTTTTCTATTTTCTCTTCCCCTGGGGAATACACAAACTTTCAGATAACTGCATATTTTTAACCTGTCTATTTGTCCATTCAGCTGGAATTCTGCATATTAATTCATAGTTTAAAATGTCTGTGAGCATTTTGTAATTGGAATATTAATAGTGTTATTTCATTTTTTAAACAGTCCTCTAAAGGTGTCATATCACCTTTTCTTAATAAATGAAAAAAAGTACTGAAAAGAAGGAAGGAAGGAGAGAGAAAGAAAGTTGGTTTTAGACTATTGATGAGTATCCCACCCAGTGGAGATAATCAGATGACAGAAAGAATAAAACACCTAGGCTTCAAACATTTGAAAAATATTTTTAAATTTCTTTACTAATGCCAAGCCTGTATTAGGTTTTTAAAATACATTATCTCATATTTAATCTTCACCAAAAAATGCTGGAGAAATCAACGTTATCACCATTTTTCAGAGGAGGGCACCGAGGTGCAGAGCAGGCTGAGAATGTGGTGCAGAGTTGGGGTCTGGGCCCCCAGGTCTATTTGACCCAAAGTCTGTGCTCTTACTGTCCATGGCTGCCCTACAGTGGGCACTGTGGCGCCGCCTGTGGCCGGGGAGAGTCCGTGTAACATGCCATACGCTATGAGCATCTCCCAGCATGCAGTTCTGTTGTCTGAACCAACGAAGTTCAGAATCAGGAGGAAAAGGATCGCAGACCTTCTGTCCTTGATCCGAAGGCTGGTGATGCGGGAAGGATCTGCAGACTAATATGCTTTCATTCCGCTGCTCTGAACATGTGAGCTGCTCTTATTGTTACTATTTTCCAAGCACTGTGCTAGATTCTTTTAAGCATATTATCTCAGTTATTTTTATATCACTTTTGCAAGGCTAGCTATGACTATCCTCATTTCATATGTGAGGAATTTAAGACAGTGTTATGTCACTTGACCAAAGTCACACAATTAGTGACAGATTAGACTCACAAGGAGATTTTCTAAGATATTCGGTGAGAGGGATGTGGAAGTAGAAACAGACTTTTTAGAAGCATGAGAAAGAGAGCTCAAGATGTAATTGAGACGTTAGCTCAATTACTAACATGTCCCAGAAAAATAAAGTGTGTGCTGTGAGCACAAACAGTCGTGGCCGCTGGCTTCTTCCAGAAGGGAATGCAGCACACAGCCCACTGCCCTCCCAGATCTGGCCAGCAAGCCATGTGCTGTGTGGGCCCGGGAGGGGAGCCCCAGGAACCAGTGCCTCTCCCCCACAACGGCATGCTCCACCCTGCGGAATCCGGGCAGTGGGAAATGGGGAAGCGCACACGGGGACCTGGACCGATGCAGGAGGGATGACTAGGAAGCACTTGGGAAGAAAAGCAGAGGACCATGAGTGAAAGGTGACAAGGAGAAAGTGGTGTTGGCCATCTCCTACCTCTAATTATACTCCTGTGTGGAACCATTAACCCCTTTTAAACCGGAGTCCTTGCTTCTTTGAACTCCTGACTTCATTCAGTCCTAACTATTTGGATTTGATTTAAATTTGTGTATAAATTCACAAGTATATATATGTTCTGTTTAGGAGCAAAACCCTTTACTGATTTATATTTTTCATGCAAGAGCATCTTTTAGAAACTCAGTAAAACCTGCAAATAATTTTTTAGAAACAAGGACACACTTAGGATTTGATTTAAAATACTTAAAGGGAGGAAGAGAGGTAAAGCCAATGTGACAAAATCTCCGTGACTATTGACTCTGGATGATAGGTCTGCAGGGGTTCCTTGTGCTAGTCTCTCATACTTTGTGTAGGTTTGAATTTTTCTCCAGTAAGAATTATTATAGTACATACTCTAAGCTCCTCAATAGAGTAGCATAACTAACAATCTAGTGAGGACTTGTTACTAAATGTCGTGAGTGATGCTCGTGGTGGGGTGTGAGTGGGTGATTCCATAAAAGTCAGTGTTGAAAACAGCAGAGAAGAAATAACTGTCGATACTTTGACATTAAAGAAAAACGTATCTAACCAAGACACTAAAATTCTTGCAGAGCTTTTCCGATACTTCCCCTTAAAAAAAAAAGAATAACATTGACAAAAAAAAAAATGTTAGGAGGAATCTGCAAATTCCCTTAGTTTTCAGGCATCCTCCATACCAGTGGTTCCCGGCATGAATAAAGAATATATAAATTCACGTGTGAAAGGAGTATCACTTATAGAATATCATATATGTTATGTATATTATAACACACACACACACACACACACCCTACTGATCTTCAAATATATCAGGCTGCTTAATGGGGTTAACAAAATACAGATTAATTCCGAAAGCATTCCTGAATTCATTGTAGCTTTTTGTCATGATCCACATTTTTTTTTTTTTTTTTTTTTTTTATCCTCACCCGAGGACATTTTTCCATTTTTTGTTCAGGTAGAGCGGGAGGGAGAGAGAGGGACAGAGAGAGAGAGAGAAACATCGACATGAAAGGAACACATCGAGTGGCTGCCACCCGCACAACCAACCAGGGCCGGGGACAAACTGCAACCGCTGTACGTGCCCTTAGCGGGAACCGAACCCGGGTCTCTCTGTACCGCAGGCCGACGCTCTAACCACTGAACCAAACCGGCCAGGGCGTCATGATCCACATTTTCTTAATGCATGGACACTAAAAGTATAGCTACTATCCTGTGGAAATCTCTGAAATAGCGCTGTGTTTTAGTTGAACTGAAGATCCATCCCTTGACACTTAGGATGCTGTTCCCTTTCTCGGTGTATTTCCAGGGATTGGTGTGCGCAGGATTGGCGGACATGGCCAGGCCTGCCGAGAAACTCAGCACGGCTCAATCTGCTGTTCTGATGGCTACAGGTAAGTAAGTTAAGTGACTGTCCTTCACGTTCCATCTAGGCTATTCAGTGCGCTTGTTGTTGTACATCTGTTTCGTTGGCAATTCAATGTTGGGAACACACACAGGAATGCACAGTGTCCTCTTTGGAAGCTCTCAGGTGGAGAAGGCAGAGGAGGGTTGCAGTGAATAGGTATCTGTGTGGGTTTGTGGTTCTACATTTTCGTCACGAGCAAAATTGCATAAGTAGGAAAAAAGTTCTAATTATTTGTTTGCCCTGTAAAGATCCCCTTTGATGTAAGAACTGAGTGTTTTGTGTGACACTGAATTATAGCAACTTGACTGAAGACTCAGAGTACAGTTTTCTTTGTCCTCTATCCTACATTATGTCGTCATCATCTTATTTTACTCTGATATTCAGTGTTCCAACAACATATTGTAACAGCACCTATGCTTTTTAAAGAAATTATTTTATTTCAACAGGGCTTATTTGGTCCAGATACTCACTTGTAATTATTCCAAAAAACTGGAGTCTGTTTGCTGTTAATTTCTTCGTCGGCGCAGCAGGAGCCTCTCAGCTCTTTCGGATCTGGAGGTAAGCCTACCGAGGGTGTAAATCTGTCTCCCAAGCCACCCGGGTGGCATTGTTTGCTTTGCTTTTAATTCCTGTATAGTACTAAGACGGGATATGCCTGAAGCAGAAATTTACCATTTCTGCAAAAGTCTGGGGGTTTAAGTTAAAGGTGTTAAGCAGTATATTACCTAGGTTTTAAATTTGTGTATTATCTAGATATATAGCTCCTTTATAGAATATCTTTAATGAAGGTAACACATGTACTTTATGATATACTAAGTAATTTTCTGAATGAACCCTTTATCACTTTCAATTATATATAGTAAAGTGGAACTAACATATATACTTATTAGTTATGTAGTATTGGAAATGATGTTTCTGGTGAGGTTGCTGGTTTCATTGGAACGTGTTCTATGAGCACTGGAAATGTTAAAACTTTTACTCAGTCATTCACATTGGTCAGTGATTGGTTAATACTCTGCAGTGAGCTCCTCCTGCAAGACTCGGGCTTTGTTTGAACTGTAGAACTTTTCTAAATTATAAAAATTTAGAAATTTTTTATAAAGAAAAATTTAGTGTCATGAATAACAGCTTTCTTTGGCTAAAAAAAAAAAAAAGAATGATCTCAATAAAGAGAAAATATTAAGTCATAATGTACACATCCCTTTAGAAGGCATTCTGTTCCGTAGAGCGTAGTACACTTTACTCCATTCATCTCGACCAGTCGCAGGTGAATGAGTATCTACAATGGAATATTTCCTAGCACCTAGCACATCACAGATGGTGGGTGGACGGCTCGCTCACTGTGGAGCGTGCTCAGAGCCCTGCCGGGACTGCTGCTGTCGGTGTGAACTTTAGTGTGTACGGAGGTTTCCCTCAGAGCACTTTCTCCTGCTCCACCCTGTTTTCACCTTACACTGAGTCATGATAGTGGAGCTAAGGCCATGCCGCATTCAGAACTGTCGTTTCTCACATCAGAAATTCAGACGCGGCTCGACAGCAGGGTCTCGGCACCTTTTAGTTACACAGCAGATGGGCAGGCAGTTAGACTGCAGATGTCGGGCCTGGAGCGTGGAGCAGACACTATGGCCTTGTGCATCGGGGCCTTTGGAGACCTGGCGGTGGGCGCCAGGGAGTGCGTTCCTTCTCCTGCATGTCCTGCTCTCCACTCTGGTAGCGGGAGGAGAGCCCGGGGAGACGTCCTCGTGTTCCGCCACACTCTCGCGTGGTTCGAGAGTGACGGTGCTCATTGAAATGACACCCTTACACAGGACACTGTGTGTCAGCCCGTTCCTACGCAGAAGGCCTTGGGAGATTGTGTTCACAGCGGCATAGCCTGTTGACCAGCGAGAGGGAGGAGATGGTGTGGGACCGGCTGCCATGGCCTGACCCGCAGAAATGCTCCGCTCAGCTGTCTGCTGCTCTGATTGGCTCTGCCTCCCTTCCTCCCTTTTCTTCAGATATTTCCAATCAAATCCTGAATATGTCCTTATTTCTAAGAAATTGTTTGCAGGTTTCACTGGGTCTCTAAGAGATGCCCTTGTATGATTGCGTGTTTACCTGTTGTGGCCCATGCTTATTTTGCTTTCTGTTTTTTCTGTAGGTATAACCAAGAACTAAAGGCGAAAGCAAACAAATAGAAGGGTTCCTGAAAATCCTTACACCCTAGATGTAGGCATAGCCCCTGGGACCTGGTTGGATTTGTTATTTGGTTATTGGTAAGGTGATGTTCACTATACTAATTGGAACACATTAAAAAAATCTCACTTAGCTTGATTCAGCAGAAAAATAAAGCAAATTTCTAATAACAGTGTCTCTCTACATATGACTTAAGGAACTTATCTATGGATATTAGTATTTTTTCCTACTATTTGCCCATAATAAATTATACATACTCATGCATGCCCCTGGCCTCCTTCTGTTCTGGTCCACCAAAGTGTGTGTGTATAAGCGTACACACATTCAAGGAGTTGAAAGATAGTTGAAAGGTCAAGTAACCTGTTTTCAGTGAAGGATGATGGAGTAGCCAAAAGTGAATGGAAATAGAGCCGAAGAGGGTGAGACCTGAGGAGTAGAATGGCTGGTAAAGTGACTTCAAACTATTTTAAAATATGTTAACTGCAAATGAAGAATCTTGAATTATACTTCGCATCCTGTGCAAAGTTCTTTTACAGCTCAGGGTAATGAAGGATTTCTGAGTGTTTGAATTACACGCAGTAGCTGATACAGTGTGGCACAGACGGCTCTGGAGGCAGACAGAACTGAGTCTGCGTCCCAGCTCTGACTTACAAGCTGTGGCTTTGGGCACGTGAAGCAAATGTCCAGCAGAGTACCTGGGACATGCTTGGCTTTCTGTAAACGCGCGGGACCTTTGTCCCCTGTGAGGAAAGACGGCACAGATTGCTGCACACTAGAAATTATTAACAGCCTACTGGGTTTCAGCTCCAGGTTGGGGTATGGAGCTTTTTTCTAAACATCGAAGTGAAGCCAGTCCTGGTTAGAGCTGCAGTCGGGCCAGCTGAGCGAGTGACTTCTGAAGACGACGAAGCAAGGGCCAGAGAACTGTCAGGAAGAATATACCACAGCAATCACCATTTGGCGATGAGCGATTGAAAACCCTGCACTTTTTCATTTATCCCTTCACCACAGCCCACCTTGGGGGGGGAATTGACGCTCGCAAATCTGAAGAGTCCCGAAGAGTCGAACTGTTACTGCTCCCTTTCAGAAGCCACAGTGCCGCGTGGCACGTGTACATGTCTCTGAGGGTTAAGCACTTAGGAAAAGCATCTGAAATACAGCATAGACATACACACAATTCTTGAAACACACTTTTTGAGTGGGTGTCTCACTGCTCTCCTTCGAAGCCTGCCTTATAGGGCCTCCTGGGCCCCGCTTGCCAGTCTGATCACTCGGAGGGCTTAGCTGCAGCCCAGACCGGCCTCTTGGTCCGCAGCGGTTCCACTGATGGACCATCTCCCCGTGCGTCCTTCCGCCCCCAGACACGCCCTTCTGCGGCGAGTCCTACGGCTGAAGTGACTGTCCAGCCCAAACTCCGCTGCCCCGGAACACTCAGGCCAGCGGTCAGTTTCCCAGCTCCTTCTGACAACGTACAAGAATGTATATACTGGAAGTCCTTATACCAGTGTAGGTCCTGAACACTATAAAACTACCTCTCCTAGTAGCACAAATCCTGTGATCGGTCTAGCTGAGTTGCATTCCCATCCAGGTTTCCCAGGGAGTCCTCACTGATGACTGCGCTCGGCGCCTTCTGGGGTCATCGGACCGGTCCCAGCTCCGCTCTGCCCGCGCTGCCAGGACACCTTGTGAGCCTTGCTCTCGGGGCTTCAGTATTTCCAAGAGTCAAACAGGGATGTTAATAGTACTAACTGTACAGGATAATGTTTTAACACAGTGCCTGGTCCATGGTGGGTGTTAAATAAATGCAGAAAATTTCAGAAAACGGTAAGCCTATATGTTAAAGGTAGACCTGAAAAGTAATTTCTTACACAGAGGAGGTTTTAATATAGCTGCAAAAAATAGATGCCAGGTTAATCTATTCACACACCTGCCGTCATTCCTATGGGAACTCGAAGCTTCCACAGGTCAAAGCAGAAACGAGCTTGGGATGGGGGTGCCAGAGGCAGGGCAGAGAAGGCGCAGTAAGAGGTAAATCCTTTCCCTAATCTCTGCTGTGGTTTGGCCTTGGTCCCAAGGAAGCCTGCCCAAAGTGCATCAGCACCGTTATTTCTCCATAGTACACACTGTTTTTTCAGTTAAAATGGTGGTGAGAGGTTGAATCTTAAAAGGGTTGACCTCGAAGCCCAGGCTTCTCTCTGAAGCAAAACTGTTGCTACGGGAGCTTGTTTATGTAATGACACAGAAATAGAAAGCACTTAATTGCCTGGCCGGTGTGGCTCAGTGGTTGAGCGTCGACCCATGCACCAAGAGGTCGCCAGTTCGATTCCAGGTCAGGGCACATGCCCAGATTGTGGGCCAGATCCCCAGTGGGGGGCGTGCAGGAGGTGGCCGATCGATGTTCTCTCTCATCGATGTTTCTATCTCTCCCTTCCTCTCTAAAATCAATAAGGAAAAAAAAGAAAGACTGGCTTTCTCCCTTAGGGGTCTGTTTAATTATGAGACATGAGTCCAGTTATATTAAGACTGGTTTCCACAACACCAGAAAATTCACTCAAGAAACAATTAAATGAGCCCTTCCCCCCCCCCCCCCCCCCTTAGGACAACTATGTTTTAAACGTTTCGAAACAGTAAATTTAAGGACAGGGTGGGGCTTTCTTAGCATGGTTGCTGGCTTTTTCAGTTCAACTCTTCTACGTCCCAGTTCCACACGTGTCCGGACATGCAACTGTAGTTGGATGTTCACGTGACCAGCTAGAAGCTCAAAACAGGGTTTCAGCTGGTAGAAAACATGCCATCCTCTTGAAACATTTCGCCAGTGTCACACTGGGTAAGAAACTCAGCCAGTGCCACACGGGATTGCAAGTCCTCCTGGCGGCACTGTGGTTAGAAGTCTGCACTTGACCGCTCAGAAAGGGTGAGTCCAAACTTGACCTCAAAATACTTTGAAGGTAAGTACTGAACGCACTGTAACTGGTACGTTTCATAGGCCTGGGAAAAGCCATAATCATTACTGACCCCTAAAACTTGGTCTGTGCTTACTCAGGAGAGATTTGCTTTAGTGATGGTCACCCACCAACTAATGCCTCATTTCATTGACCCTTAACCCGCATGTCCAGACAGCGAGTCCAGGTGTGAGCCCCAGGCCCCCCGGGCTGGCGGGGGAGGGGAGGCAGGGCAGTTCCAGCCAATCAGAAGCACAGTCGGTACACATGACACAATGAGCTTCTGATGAGGGTGTGGCCAGGAAAACGGCTTTTAGACGAAACTGCCATTTTATGGGTCAACTATCAACAGACAGGGTACTTCTGCTGTCTTTCAGAATAATGTCACCCAGGCCCCTTTCCTGTTTTCTCCACTCCTGAAGCTAGTCCCTGATCTAGGCTCTGGCCTTCCCCAGCCTAGGAGGAGGACGAGGTACGTGGACACGGGAGTCTCGGCAGGAGGGGCTATCGGGCGGCCCTCTGGGAAGACGGCAGGCGTCGGAGATTAGAGGAAAGTAGAAAAGCCTTGGGCTAGGAATCAAGGTTCAATTTCTGTCTGTCAGTCTTTTAAGTGATGCTAGAAGCTGGAGGGGGTAGATGTTGCCTGTGCTATTGATCCTGGATGCCCCATTGTCCTAACGTACTGTCTTTACCTGTCTTCTGCCACTTCTCACGTGATACCCTCATGAGTCATCAAATGCACCTGCCCGCCCCCTGACGGCACCAGGAAATGCCGTGAGGAAGGGGGTGTAGAACCCGATCTGTACAGGGAGGCTGGCATGCAGAGAAAGACACAGATCAACAGATAACCAAGGCTCCCTAAGTAGGGAATGAGGCACATGACTTTAGAGACACCAAGAACCCTAGGGCTCAGAGGACACACTTCCTGGGCTGGAATTGTCGGGCACGGTTTCCTGCCTGGTGACATCATTCCTTCAAGTTCAGAGCACCTCCTTTTTTGGACTCTTACATACCCTTATTTTAAATATTGATTTACAACTGGGTGAAAATTGAAATCTCTTAGAAGTTTCTAGGAGAGCTATTTACAGAAATAATAATGGATATAACTGATCTTTAATTCCGTGTTCGTTTCCCAGTACTGCTGAGTTCTTAAGTGGAATGAAACTGCACACACTCCCTCTTCCTGAACACTCTCTGTTGGCGCCTCTTTGAGGCCGCGCTCACCTGCTTTTCTTTCGTTCTGTCCGGCATCCTCATTCCCAGGTGCGTTCACACCTTCTCAGACCCCGCCCCGTTCGCGCTCTGTCCTTGACCGAAGGAGTCGCCAGATGGCCGGTGAGGGTACCATCAGCGGCACTGAACGGGCTCTCCAATTAAATGTGCGTTGTCTCTAGACCATAAACATCCCCAGAGTGTCATAAACATACAGACGGGATGCAGCGTGGTCCAGTGGACCACACGTGGACCCCCAAACCCCACAGACCTGAGCTTTCCCACCGCGCGGCCCAACGCAGCGGTTCTGAGCCCCAGACCCTGTGTCCAGGAGAGGGACAGACATCCATTCACCCAGCTCGGGCCTGCCTCAAAGCGCAGCCCATACGTAAACCGCTCAACCAGAAAGGTCCTAATAAGGTACAGTTACAGTGTGGAGTGTGCCACGTCACTAATCACTTTCTGATGTCGTGGAACTTGCAGCCAAAGACTGTCTCTAAAAGAGACATTTCCTATTACCTTCTCACGGGCGTTCGTGAGAAAAACTGTCAGGTGCTCACTTTAGAGCCTCTGCCTCTCCAGCCGTAAGGAGTCGTTCTGTTATTCTCGTTTCCCGTCCACATCTGCCTCCGTAACCTCCAAAGGCACCTGCTTCCTTAGCTAGGAGTCGTAAACTCAGGAAAAGCAGGGTTCTCCAGTCCTCGGTTAATCCCACGAAGATTTCGCCACCACTGAATTCATCTGTCCACTCCATCACCCCCACAGCCTTGCTGACGGACAGACAGCCTCGCCCAAGGAAACCCAGTGCTTCCTAAAACTGCCCGGTTCACACTTTCTAAGTTTGCCTCCCACTGATTGATAGCCATTGATCCTAGTCGATCCTTCTAGAGAAAAGTCGACCCCCTCTCCACACAGTGTGGACTCCACAGCAGTCCACACTCCCCGCGAGAAGAGTGTGCTGTTGCGTGGATCCAAGGGGCCGCTGTAGGGTTGTCAGATAAAAGGCAGCGTATGGGAGGCTATGTTTATACTCAATGATTAAGTTTAAATGTAACTAGATGTCCTGTGCTTTCGTTGGCTGACTCGGGCAGTCTTACCCGTGGTAGCCAAGGGGAACCGGCTGAGGCTGTGAACAGGGGCAGGAGATGAAAAATGGAACTGGGCCCTGCTCGGTTCTGCTCGACCCTATCTTGGCCCTGGGGCCCCTCAGCACCCCTGTGGAAGCCTCCTCAGAGCATATTTCCAGTAGAAACTCTTTCGTTTAAGGTCACTTATTCTTTGATAAATTAGCCTTCTCCACCAAGGAAAAAACCATTTTTCCTTTCCCTCCTCAACCCTTCCATGACCCATAGTCTTGCTTAGCCAAGTGCAATCCCGACTGCAGGGAGAAGAACGGGGAGTTCTGTTGAATGTAGGGGCCCGCATTAGACTCTGCACAGGGACCTACGTCTCCTAACTTGCACATTTCAGTGCAAATAAGAGAAGACAGCTACTGTTTTCACCCAAATGTCATCATCTCCAGACATGTCCAGTCTCTCCCATCATTCCTCATGTTCAGTAGTCAATGAACTTCAAATGAAATAGGCAGAACGAAACCCAGTGCTTTGGATCAGATCTGAATACTGCTTGTGTCCCTTAAGATTGCATTGCATCAAAATGGCCAATAAACACATGAAAAGGTGCTTAATCTCATTAGTGTCAACAGGGAAACAAAGCCGCAAACACCACCACTCACCTACCAAGATGGCTAAAACTTAAAAAGACTGACATTAGCAAGTGCTAGCTGGGATGCAGCACTCTGAATGCTCATATCTTGGTACAAATTGGTACAATGTCTAGGGAAAACTGGCAGGAGCTACTAACGTTCAATATATGTATATCCTATGCCCCAGCAATTCCACTCAAGTGTATACCCAAGCAAAACGCATACATCTGTTCACCAAAACACATGTACAAGAATGTTCTCAGCAACATGAATCCTGATAGCCTAAGACTGGAAACAATCCACTGGTCAGTGGTAGAATGGATAAATCCTTTATGGCATAATCAGGTTGAAGAATACTATACAGCACTGAAAATGAACAAGCCATGATATAGGCACAACAACATGGATGAGTATCACCAACACTAGAGAGAAAAATATATATACACAGCATAATCCCTTTGTATAAAGTTAAAACAACTGATAAATGTGGTCTCTAGTGTTAGAAATCAGGAGAGAAGTTACCTGCAGGGACGGTGAGGGGGTGACGGGGAGATGGCATGAAAGGCGCTCTGTAGTGCTGGAACGTTCTCTGTCTTGCTGTGAGTCGGGATGACATGGTTTTGTTTAAAATCATTCTAGCCACACACTTGTGAATTACACGTTTTCTGCACAGGTTATGGTAACATTGAATTTGCAATAAATCTAGCTTTTCACACCGTAGGTTTATGCATTTGATTTTGTTAAAATTCTAAGTACAGCACTTTGCATTTGGTCTTCTGAAATTTGCTTCTCTGTTAATTAAGATACTTTGAGATCCTGACTGTGTCATTCACTACATCAGCTCTCCTTCGGTGTATTTGTATCTAAGACCCCGGGCACGCCATGAAGGCTTCCCTCTGAGTGATGGTAGAACAAAAAAACCAATATCCTCCAGGTCTGATTGTTAGCCAGCCGACCGCACCTTTATTACTCTTACAGTTGTGTATCCTGCCCACAAGGTTGTGAGAAATGTAGCCAAATGTCCTGTTCAAGTCAAGTTACATAACATCCTCTTGATTTAGAAGTTTAATAGCTCTTCAAACAAGGAAGTTAGGCTAGTTTGCTCTCGGCTCAGAATCCACTCTTAACCCTGGTAATCACCTCTTGCTGCTCTAAGTCTTGCTCGCCTATCACCGTGCACAGTTGCGGCCACTCGCAGGCCAGCTCTCTCCCACTGCGCACATGGCGGGACCGCGGCTCCCCACCTCCATGAAATGACACATGTCTGCGTCACTTGCTTTGGCCAATGTCATGTGAGTGTCAGTGAAATCTGTCACTTCTGGGAGAACACTTTAGGAATGAGTCTGCCCCACTGTCCCGGAAGCCAGGATGTCCCAGCCTGGGTCCCCGAGTGAAGGCAACGATAGCGCAGAGCCTCAGCCCACCTACAGTGGACGTGTAACACGAGCAAAAGGTGAACCAGGAATAACCCTTTGTTATTTGAAGTCCCCTAGAAACCCGCACGTTTGCCTGAAACATGAACTCTCAGAAGGAAGAGCTGCAGGACCGGGCCATCGTCAGAATAGCAGCTCACCTACCGGACCTCATCGTCTACGGGGACATCTGCCCAGAGCGGCCCTCCGTGGATTATTTTGACGGAGTCCTGATGTTTGTGGACATTTCAGGCAAGCAAGACGGAGATGCTCAAAGTGGGCGAGAGGCAGGCTGGCACCAGAATCTTGGGCACAACTCGAAGGCGGAGTGAGCTGCCATTCTTGAGCCGTGGGTGCCGTTCCTGCAGATATTCCTGCTGAGAAAACCTCTTCCCCTCCCGCGCATGTCTGGCCACGGGCAGCCTTTAAGATGCCCCAGTCCCACACCTGGAACCGTAGGCTCCAGTGTCCCTGCCCGGCTTCGCTGACCCAACCCCCAGGCAAACGTGATCTCAGGACGTGGTCCCTCCAGATGATGTTTCCATCCTAACAGTAAAGGGGCCGCCACTTCCGACGTGTTTGCCTCCTGTGTCCTTGTTAGCAGGGGGTGGCAGTTCTAGGCCGCTGGAGGAATGGCAGTCATTCCGCCAGAAGCGGGGGAATCTGGAGGGAGGAGCACCTGGCGCTTTTCCCTGCGCCCCAGGGAACAACCAGGTGGTGCAGGCTGTAGAGCTACCGACTGGCCTCAAAGGCCTTTGAGAGGACGCCCTGCCCGCCGTGGAAAGCGAGGCCCGCCGCCCTCCAGCGTGTCCGCCCCTGCTCTGTCCGCTTCCTCCAAGCAGCCGGGGAACCACTTGCCCGTTCTTGCAGGCTTTACCGCGATGACCGAGAAGTTCAGCACCGCCATGTACATGGACCGAGGGGCTGAGCAGCTGGTGGAGATCCTCAACCACTACATAAGCGCAATAGTGGAGAGTGAGTGTCCCCGCGGGTCCCCGGCTAAGTGCGTTGTTTTTCCATCTGTGTCGGTAATAAACAACACCGGCGTTGACCATGGTTTCCCAGTTTTCTGATTCTCAGTTTTGGTGGATCCTGTTATGCACCCACTCACTCAGGGTCCCTCAAGTCCCAGCTCTTCCTACTATCCAGACCAGTCAAGAGCCTCCATTTTCTAGGAGTAGGGTTGGTGTCTCAGACCTCACCAGAAATCCCACTCCCCTCCCCGTGTTTCCCCTGCACAGAAAGGGAGCGTGTACACAATCTAGTTCAGTGTGCTGAAGACACACACCCAGATGGGTTGAGATATATATATATATTTTTTTTAGAGAGAGAAGGGAGAAAGATAGAAACATGCATGTGAGAGAGAAACATCGATCGGCCGCCTCCTGTTTGCCTCCCACCAGGGATTGAGCCGGAACCCGGGCACATGCCCTGACCAGGAATCGAAACAGGACCTCTCAGTCCCTGGGACGACACTCGGTCCACTGAGCCACACCGGCCGGGCTCAAGACGAGGTTTTAGGACAAGTCTGTTTTCTGAATTGCTGTTCCCTTGACCTAACTTCTATACCATGAGTGAAGAATGAATTCTTCTGATTAGCTTTGAATAATAATCAGAGTTTGATTTTAATTTTTCTTTTCTTTTTTTCTCAGAGGTGTTGATTTTTGGAGGAGACATCTTAAAATTCGCAGGTTCGGGGACTTCCTGAGACGGGAGGGGTGAGGACGGGTGCCGAGGTGCCGGTCCCACCCGGGAGACGGCTCAGGGGCAGCGGGCTCGGAGACCGGGCTGAGGCCTGTTGTGCAGGTTTCAGACGAAGCAGACTGACCCCTGGGGCAGGTCAAGAGCCCCCCGTGTCTGTCCCCTCCAGGTGACGCGCTTCTAGCCCTGTGGAAGGTGGAGCGAAAGCAACTGAAGAACATGATCACAGTGGTCGTCAAGTGCAGCCTGGAGATCCACGAGCTGTTCGGGGCCCAGGAGTCAGAAGGCCTGGATGTCCGAGTCAAGATAGGTGAGCTGTTGAGAAAGGAGGGATGGGCCCGCCTGGTGTGGCTCCGTGGCTGAGCGGCGACCCAGCAGCAGAGGTCACCAGTTCGATTCCCGGTCAGGGCACACGCCCAGCTTGTGGGCCTGATCCCCAGTGGGGGGCATGCAGGAGGCGGCCAGTCGATGTTCTTTCATTGATGCTTCTACCTCTCCCTTCCTCTCTCTCTAATATAAATAAAGAAAAAAATTAGAGAAAGGAGAGACGATAGGCCCATCTAAAGAGATCAGTGTCCCAGAAAGATGAACACCAGCAGCTGGCTTCTGAGCTCTGGGAGAGGAGGCCTTTGGAAGGCCTGCCCCCAGGACGGGCCCCCTCTGGTCCCCCCGTGAAACTGTAGGGACGGGGCTCCGCTCTGCGGCGGCGCCATCGCGCCGACTCCGGTTCCCCGGGCACCCGTGTGGCTGGGCGCGCCCCCGAACCCCGCAGAGCTCTGGGGCGCCCCTGCAGGACTGGCTGCCGGCCACATCTCCATGCTGGTCTTCGGAGACGAAACCCGCAACTTCTTCCTGGTGATCGGCCAGACGGTGAACGACGTGCGCCTGGCACAGAACATGGCGCACATGAACGACGTCATCCTGTCCCCCAACTGCTGGCAGCTGTGCGACCGCAGCATGATAGAGATCGAGAGGATCCCGGACCAGAGAGCTGTCAAGGTACGGGCGCGGCCGCCTGCCAGGAAAGCCGCGGAAGGCGGGTTCCGCGGAGCTCCGGGCTGGGCACCTGGCGGGGTCCGTCTGGGGTGGGCGGTCAAGGCCTCAGTCTAGGACGCCTCCTCTGGGGGAGCCCCTTCGGCTCACTTCCTGGGGCAGTGACGAGGCCTCCCTGGGTCACTGAGGGCGAGGAATTTGGACATGGAGGCCTTCTGGGGGCCAGTGCCCCGGCTTTGGGAAGAGGAGGCATCTCCTGGCCGGTCCCTAGGAGCAGAGGGTTGTCGTTGGAGGGCCGCCACCAACCCTCACCTGCGCTCCACAACACCCTCCGGTCAGGCGAGGGCCCACCGAGGCAGGGCCGGCGAGCAGGGCAGCACCGTGCGGGAGGCAGGGGACCCTGCCCCGTGGCCCTGCCTGGGAGGAAGCGCTGTCGAGTGACACTGGGGACCGGCTGAAGCCCCGCTGTCCTGGGCACGTGCCCACCTAGAGAAGCTGTGCTGTGCGGGTGTGTGAGGGGGGAGCGGTGCCCACCAAGCCAGGGGCTGAGTGATGGAAAGAAAACACCATCCACGCAGACGCTGGCTAAGGTGACAGCCACCATGCCGGCCCCGCCCGCTCCCTCTTCCCGCTGGCTGTCCCAGCGCCCGGTCCCTCCTCCAGCCGCTCCGTTTCAGACGGTTTTGATTTTTAACTCATTTTAGAGTCATAGAAAAGTTCAGAAGGAATCGAGTGTCCTTCTACCCCGTACCCAACCTCAGCTGGGTACAGCTTTCACACCCCGAGAAGAGACACCCGTGCGGCACTGGCCAGGGATTCGAGGCCTGTGCCCAGCCGTGTCCTCGGGGCGGTGGCGGGTTCTGCCCGGCTCTCGCCGCGCCTCATCGCGCCTTTCAGAACCCTGCGCGGTTTCCTTGTCCTTTGTGACCTGGCCGCCCAAAGGGGTGTGGTCGGCTCTTTTGTGGGGTGTCCCTCTGTTTGGATTTGCCTGACATTTTCTCATTACTGGACTCGGGTGGTCTCTTCGGGGGAAGAGAACCACAGGAGTGAGGTGGTGCCCTTCTCTGTGCACCCTCCACGGGGTTCACCATCTCGACGTGAATCGTACGATGGGCGATGTCCCTGATACCTCTGGGCATCCGCCCCTTTTCACCTGTAAGAAGGAAATGGTGAAGAGCTTAGCCAGGTTTTATTGGATTACAATGTTATGAAAGGCAAAAAAGAAAAAGAAGAAGAAGAAAGTTCTGAGAGTGGAAAAGTATGCGGGCTAGCCCCCCGGAACGGCCCTCTGGGTACACGCTGAGATACGAGCTGAACAACGAATGGGAGGGGCTGTACGTGGTCACGGACGGACGACGGGACACCCCTGTGCACGTGCCTGTCTGTCTCCCCGTCCTGGACACTGCGGAGCACACTTCCTGCGCTGCCTTCAAAGGGCCCGTCAACCTCAGAATAACCAAAAACTTCTGTTTGTTTTTACCTTAGGTTAATTTCTTAAAACTACCCCCTACGTTTAACTTTGATGAATTTTTCACAAAGTGTATGACCTTCATGGATTATTATCCCTCTGGAGACAACAAAAGTAAGTGCCCTCCAAGAACCGCAGCCTCTGCCCTGACCGCTGGTCAGTGGGGTTTTGTGCCAATGCCAAGGGCCCCGGCACACACGCTGGCGTCCTCGGTACGACGTCCGGTCCTGAGCAGCACACGGGGGACCTCCTGCCCATCCCACTACGGCTCCCCTCGAGTCCCTACCTCTCCCTGGGCAATGACTCCCTTCCGTCATCATCCACACATGGACTCTCCCCCATAATGAGAGAGAAAATTAAAACGTCCACAAACTCTGCTTCCCTGATCTTCACAACCGAATGTCACAAGACGAACCCGGGTCCGTGCCTCTCTCCTCTCCAGCCGCTCACGCATGTTCTCACCCCGCAGAGACCGTCTGCGTCCGCCCGGCGGGTGTGCTCACCTGTTCTTCCGCCCTGAGCCCCTGACATCTGGCTCCTCGTCCCTTCCTCCTCCTGTCTCCTGAGACCCCATGTCAGGGCCACTGTGACCATCGACTTGCCGGTCCCGGTGGCCTCTCCTCCGGCCGCATCCTGGGCACTGGTCTTCCACTACTCTCTTTTCCTGGACGCTATCTTTGCCTCTTTCCTTGTGTTCAAGAATGTTCCTCTTGAGCTTTGCTGTTACCCCCGCGAAGCCTCCATTTCAGTGCCCTTTGCTAAGTCTCCTTCTTCCGTAAATGTTGGGGATTCCGGGACTTGTCCTGGACCCGCTCACCTCTTGGAGGACACCCGTCCAGCCTCGGCTTCCTGCAGGGCTGGGACGAGGGTGAGGAAGGCAGGAGCCGGGGGCACAACGTTTGAGGGCACCCGCCTCTCAGGGTCTTGCAAGTTGCTTGCATCACTCACGTCCCAGCCTGACTTGTGTCCTGAATCGTAGACTCACACACAGAACATCCTGTGGGCCCCCACCGGACGTCAAAAAGGCACTCCAACCTTACGTGCTGTCCAACAATGACCAGCGAAGACCGTGTAGGCGATACAAACTTTATTTCACATAAAGCGGCCGGTTGACTTAGCAGAACGTGAACAGTTCCCCTTCAGAGGACTGGAAGGTGGGGCGGATGGCCAGGAGCGTTATCGGGGTCGAGAGTAAAGGAAGAGAAGAGACAAAGAGGAAAGGTCTGGGTGTCTGGGGCCGCGTGCTGGACCTTGTTTGGGGTGAGAAGGCCCAGAGTAGGCCTTGCGCTTGGGGATTGGCTCCTTGGGTAGACTGTTTCTACGGGGACAGAGGTCATCCGAGTTCCGGTTTGCTCCCACCGCAAGCAGGGCAGTGGGCGACCTGTCTGAGCTCACACCGTGAGTTGCCATCAACCCTGGGATGAGAAGTCAGTCTCCTAGATGTTACTCCTGCTGGTCTTTCAACCCTATCCCCTCCTCCTGTCTGTCACCATCGTCCGCTTCCATTATCCCTCATCTGTTCATTCCCGTCACCTGTGGCGACAGTTTTAAGTCAAGTCTGGAGGTAAAAGTCTCCCCAAGTCCCAAAGTGTGAGGATCATTAGAGCAGCGCTTTGAGCTACACGCAGTTGAATTTTGGGAAACCCACAACCTCTGAGAGCGTCTCACCAGGTTCTCCTTGGCCCTGTTTAGTCACTCAGTGTCCCAGAGTCCCCTGCCTGCCCTGCGCGGACCACTGACCGAGGGGAGGGGACTGGGAGGGCCCCTCCGCTCTGCCGGGCCGGGCCTCTCCTGAGCTGCCCCTCCTGGCTGTCGCAGACCTCCTGAGGCTAGCCTGCATGCTGGAGTCCGACCCTCACCTGGAGATGTCCCTGCAGAAGTACGTGATGGAAAGCATATCAAAACAGGTACTTGGACAGCTGGAAAGACCAGGAATCCCATAGCTGGTCGTCTGTTTCGCTGAGAGGACAGGGAGGCTGACACCGCCTGTGAGGGGGACTGCGGGATTTCCTGTTCCCATCAGGGTGCTTTTCAGAGTTCAAGGGGCGTCACTCGTTGTTGTGCTGGGACAACGAGCGTAAACTCGGACTCTGCTGCCTTCTATGTCGGGCAAACTGGAACTGTCCCCAGGGTTCAAGAACCTGTGGCCACCCTTTCTGTATGTCACATAGCAAAGAGACATGGAGGGTGAGCTGCAGGACACCCCTTCTCCTGTCCTTGAATGAAGGTGCCACCCCGGGTGGGGTGTGCGGCAGGTGAAATGTCGGGCTAGGAGTCCGGAGAGTTTGGGGTGTAGTTTGCTGCTGTCTCCCCAGGTGACCCTGAAAAACTTGTGGTATTTCTCCATGCCTCCGTTCTCTCATCAGGATGATAGGGCGCAGGGTAACAACGCTGATTTTATTTCATTTGAGGATAAAGTAGGACAGACTATGGAAATATTCTGGGAGGGATCAGGCTATGAAAATACGAGGTTGAATTGCATAGGAAGCTATTCTTATCCCTAACCTGCAAGAGGGCGGAAAGGAAGGTAGTTCTCTCTCGTTTCAACGGCTCACAGGAGGGGCAGCCACGGGGCGGGGGTCAAGGAAGTGGTTGCTCTCCGGAAATTGGCAAGCGCGTGAGTTCCCATTGCGAGAGGTGTTGCTAGTGAGTCCATTTCCATTTGCTCAACTTTGGGCCGTGCTCCACCATGTGGGAACACCTTCTGATAACTTCACAGCTTCCCCAGAGAATCTCAGCAGGCCAGTTCCCACCCAGTGGTCAGTTCTCGAGTGGGGGTGGGGGGGGTGCTGGGAGGAAGAGCCACAGCCAAGGACAGATGCTGAGGAAAGCGTCTCTCTACTCGGCAGATTGACGACAAACAGCTTCGGGGTTATTTGTCCGAGCTCCGTCCAGTGACCATTGTGTTTGTGAACCTGGTGTTTAAGGACCAAGACAAAGTCGAGGTCATAAGCTCGGCCATCCAAGATGCCTCTGTGCATATCAGTTCCGTCCTGCGTGACCTGCGTGGCCAGATCAATAAAGTCTTCATGTTCGACAAGGTGCGTGTGAACTGAGGGGTGGGAAGCGGCCAGGGCTTTGAGGTCCACACCGCGCCCGGGGACGGTGGTGAGAGGAAGGGAGTGGACACTTCTCCCCTGGACACGTGGTCTTCACTTATGCGGACGGTAGTGGACGCAGCGCTATTGGTCCAGCCGCCGTGCTCAGCGTTCTGCCTCTATGAACGCATTTCAGCCTCATGACTCCTCTGAGAGGTGGGTGCTCTCATCATGACCCCCATCTTCCAGACAAGGATGCTGAGGCTGAGAGCAGGGTACCGACACGAGACAAGACTCCGTTTTGCTCATGGCCATCCAGCTAGTAAGTGGCAGGTGGGCTGGGATTCCAGCCGGCCACGCGCCTTCCCAGCCTGTGCCTGGCCAGCCTGGCGCACAGGGCGCCCCCCAGAGACTCTGGGTCAGGGGTTCCATGACCTCCACACCCCAGAAGCGTGTTTCCCATCATGCCCACCTGCCATATGTACACTTGCAGCTCAGGGAAACCCAGGAGTGAGAACCAAATTGTCACAGAATTGCTGGTGACAACGGCTGCTCCATCTCAGGTGGGCTTATTTTTATTTCGTTTTCGTATCTTAAGACCAGAGCATTTCACGACTGCGCTGCACTAATTCATTAATTCCACAATCACTCACTGAGCCTTTTGCGGAAGGCGGGAAGCTGGGACCGGACGGCCAAGAGGAGGAAGTGACACACTGACACACATCCAGGCCGAAAGAAGCAGGTGTCCGTACGGAGGGCGAGCGCGGTGCTTCGGGTGACGCTGGGCAGCGGTGACGCCGGCCTGCACGCTCCAGCACGCGCTCGCACACACGTCCATTCGTGTCATGAGACCAGCCCCTTGTGTGTGCAGACATGGCCCCGCCAAGTCCTGCACGTCTCTGAGCCTTGGCTTGTTCATGAGTAGTAGGAGGTGTTACTGGAATGGGGAGAGTACTTGCCTCGAGGGGTTGCTGCACATTTGGAAAACGTGGGGAGCACGGGGAGCAAAGCCTAGCTCACAGCGCCCCTTGCAGGCAGTGTCCAGGCAAGGCAGGCCCACTGGCCCCCACATAGTCCCCCTAGTCCCTACACAGACCTGGGATCAGCCAATCAGGACCCGACCCGTTTACATATATAACATTAAATTCACACTTTCCATATATACTATGAAGCATATATGCTATAGAGAACATATAGTATACTACATATACTATGGTAAGTGTATGTATACCATAAAGTAGTTTACAAAGCGTGTGCGTTAGTTACGTGTATCTGTCACATGTAACATTGTAGGGAATGTTTTAAACAGTTGACACTAATCGTTTCAGTAGCCAAAGCAGCCCCCTGAGGGCAGTGTTTGTTCTCTGGGCCTCCAGACCGATGAACTGAGGTTCATGGAGGGTGACTGACCTGCCCAGGTCTCTGCACAGATGTTCTGACCCCACTGGTGCCGTGCGCTGCTCTGTGCTCTCTGCAGACTCACCCGCCCCTTGCACGAGGGACTTTGCTCACGGTAGCTCGGCACAGCCGTTACCCCAGCGCCAGAGCTCAGGCCGCGCCGGAGACCTGCTCGGGGACTTCCGCGGAGTCCCCGCGAAATGAAGTAGGTGGAGCGCAGTCATGCCGAACTCGACTGGGACACGCACACTGCGCCCGCCCCTGGGCCCCCGCGGGTCCAGCTCCAAGCGCCCCGCCCACCAGCCGTGTTTGCTGACTCTCCCCCGCAGGGCTGCTCCTTCCTCTGCGTCTTTGGCTTCCCTGGGGAAAAGGCCCCCGATGAGGTCACGCATGCCTTGGAGAGTGCTGTGGGCATATTTGACTTCTGCTCTCAGGTCCACAAAATCCAGTGAGTGTCGACCCTGATCCCCCCTGCGGGGCCCTGACCCTTCTGTGGGATACGGGGAGTCAGGACAAGGGTCAGAAAAGCAGGGGAGGGCTGTTCTCGACTGGCTGCCCTTCCGCCTGCCTGCTTTCTCCTCCTAGTATACCTGCAGAGTAGGCCAGCCCAGCCCTGCCAGAGTAGGACCAGGTGGTGGGAGCAATGCGGGGAAAGGACACCCCTCAGAAGTCAACGTGTGCCGGGTTTGCAAGAGAACCTGACTGGGTGTCTCTCTGTACTTCGGGCTTGCCTCTTGGACGAGCCCGAACTCCCAGCACCATGTTGGACACCTGGGTTGGTTTCTAACAACTGGAGACAAAATGAGTCCTTGGGTCCAGGCCTCCAGCAAAGCAGTGAAGGTCAGGTTCCCCACCCCCAGCCTGGCTGCCCAGAGCCAGTGCACTCGGGCTCCGCCAGCCTGAGCACCCCAGTGGCCAACGGGTCACCCCTGCCCTAAATATTTCTCCCCCTCAACCCCTGGCGGACGTATCAGCAAAGCCGGATTTGACGCCATACACCTTGTCTGAATTACAATAACCGGGAGAGTTACATTGTCTGCAACTAGTCCATTTGGGTGATGAAAAGTTATTTTCCAGAAAAGTAGCTCAGATGAATACTTAAAAGTAGCAGAAATGTCAACCGAGTTCCCACTTCTAAGAACCTAGTTCTGGGTCCCAAACTCTTCCCACCTCCAGGTCCCCTGCAATCGCCCTGAACTAATTCCTAAGAGAAGAGAGTCACTGGTGTAGAACCCTTCCCCACCCCGACCACCCAGGCAGCGCCACGTGCCCCCTCCCCACCGTCTCTGCTCACTCTCTCTCACGCCCCTCTTCTTGCCGGCGCCAGTACCGTTTCCATCGGCGTGGCCAGCGGGACTGTCTTCTGTGGGATCGTCGGACACTCTGTGAGGCACGAGTACACAGGTGTGCAGAGCTGGCCTAGCCCTGGGCTTTCCACCCTGGCCCCTGGGCTGTGTGGGAGGGAGGACACACAGAAGCCTTGTGGCTCTGCCCACTGGCAGCCGGGTGCCCGCACAGCGTACATCCTGGGCTGGGCGGAAGGCATCGGGAGCGGAGAGCGAGCAGGGAGGCTGTTGGCACACGGGGTGAGGGGCCTGAGTGATGTCCCGGTAACACTCACCAGCTGCTCTTCCTCGTCCCTGGAATCGGCGAGGGATGCCTTTTCAAAAGTCTGGGCTGATCAACAATCCTGGTCTCCAGAGAGAACAGGAAACAGGTGTTACTCAAGAGCTTGCTGCCTTTACTATTATTTCCCTCGTCGATCCTAACAGGATTTCTGATGTTCGGAAATAATACATCTAAAATACCGAACAAGTTATGTCGGACATGATGCGGTTTCTGAGATGTTCGTCAAAGTCCTACAGGGGGGAGAGTGGATGGGAGTGAGGCTGGAGCAGGGTTGGCCGTGGGTAACTGGCTTTGGGGACTGGGTGATGGGTACCTGAAGATCCAGGTCACTGTGTCTTATCACACGGTCAGATTTCCCCATGATAAACGGATTTTAAAGGGGATGTCTTGATCAGAAATGTTTAAGTGTATGTTCCAGTGTGACATGGAATACCTAATTAGTCGTACTAGCCGTCAAGGGCTTACTAGCAGCCAGGCACTGTTCCAAGTGATGCATGTGTGTTAACTCATTAATCTTCATAAACTACCCTCTGAGATAGGGACTGTTAGCCCCATTTTACAGGTTAGGAAACTGAGGCATGGAAGAGCTAAAGTAATTTGGTAACATGCTAGTTGGAGGTAGAGCTGGCGTTCCGAGTCCGTGCACCACAGTGCATTACCCCTTAAAACACCCCCTAAACCAGCCTCTCACACACCCCTTCCAGGCCCATCACTCGCCCTTAGGAATCACCAGATGACGGTGATTCGTTTCCAACGTGAAGGGCATTGAAACGTACGGCGGTGAATGTGTGCCGCCTCTGGAGGTCAGGGTCCCAGGCCCGAGCCGGTGCAGGACCAGCCGCACCTGCCCCGAGAGCCCCTGGGCCTGCGGTGGGCCCGGCACAGAAGCTCTCCACACGCAGGGCCCTTCTGTCTCTGGGCAGACTGTCCGCACGGCCTCCCCGCTGAGGGAGCGACGTTGCTCGTGGCTCATTGGGCTCACCGCCCCGTGTTTCCCCAGCCGCTGGCCGGCTGTGGTCGTGGCAAGTGCGTCCTTCAGGAGAGGCGAAGGGAGACAGGGGTTAAAGGCCACTCAGGGACAGGACTGCTCAGAGGGTCTTCAGTCCCTGGCCGGTTCTCCCCACCCTCTGCTTTTCTCTTCCTGTCGCAGTCATTGGTCAGAAAGTCAACATAGCCGCCAGAATGATGATGTGCTACCCGGGCATCGTGACCTGCGACTCCGTTACCTACAACAGCAGCAACCTGCCGGCCTACTTCTTCAAAGAGCTCCCAAAGAGAGCCATGAAGGGGGTCGCGGATTCCGGGCCCGTCTACCAGTGCCTGGGCCTCAACGAGAAAGTGTGAGTGCGGGCGGTGGCTCGGCAGCGTCTCCTAGTGACACGGGTGGGGAAGTGCGACCGTCACCTCTCAGATTCGAATCCCGTGTATGACATTGAGACCGGTTCCTTCCCCGGATGAACGCCCAGATTCCAAAATTCTCCATCCTTGTCCGTCCTGCTGACATAGTGGAAGACCCCATTCCACCCTCAGTTCTGAGAATCTTAGGGTGACTCTGCAGTGGTTGTGCAAACAGAACAGGGAGCCCCCACATGTGAGTATCTCTTTGGACCAAGGTGGACCAACCACTAGTGTTATTTATCGTACTGACTTTCCGCCAGCGTTGGTAGGACTTGTAGAGTATAAGACAGCGTCCCTCCTCGGGGCCCTAGTGAATGATATTCCCCCAGAGCCCAGCTTAGATACAAGGCATCCCTTTGGGGCTCAGGATCCTGCAATGTTTCCAGTCACTTTCGTGATGATGTTGAATTCCTGGCAATGACACACAAGGTCACCACCTGCCTTTCCAACCTCACCTCTGCCTGTGTCCCCTTTCTGGGGTGTCTAAGTAGATCGTCCTCCCCATCACTCACCCACTTGGAAAACCATAGTCAGCTTTTGAAATTCAGCTCAGGGCCCGTCCTCTCGGGGCTGGCTCTGGAGCTACCTGGCTGCAGCTCAGCCCGCCAGCTCTCTCCTCCTCGTGTAACCAGCTCTGCTTCGCCCTCCTCACACTTGCCACAGCCGCGCACCTCGCGAGCTCTCTGAGGACTGTGATCATTTCTAGTTCAGCCTGGTATCCCCGGTGCTCGGCGCGTAGCAGGTGCACACGTGACGAGTGAATGAAGGGCTCCCCTGAAAGGTGTTGTGCTTCATGTCTGCTGGCTGCAGTCTGGGTCTTAAAGGGCCAGATAACAGAATCAGAACTGCCGTAGGTTCGGAAAGTCTCTGTTGCTCACCGTCACATCCCCAGGCTCAGCACTGTTGTTGGCACGCACAGACCATCGATAAAATGCTGTTTCAATAAGTGAATGAGTAGTCATAATTCCTTGTGAGCCCTTATTAAATAATAATAGGTACTTTATCTCAAAAAAATATAAGGTAGTCTTAATATCAACCATAGCAGGTGGAAATGATCATTATCTCCATTTTATAAATGAAAAAGCTGAGACTCACAGATGTTCAGAGACAAGCCAAACGCCACCACGCCCTGCACGTCAGCACCCGCAAGAGCGCGGTGGCGTGCAGCGGGTCGACGGATCTTGGCTGGATTCGGCTGGTCTAGCCTCGCCTCCTTCACGTGCCAGGGTTCCGCAGGTTGCTGGCTGACCTAGGACGACCCCAGGTTGGATAACTGGGCAGTTCGATTGGCATAACTGGGACAGTTGGGCTCTGGGTGTCTCCTCCTCCCTCGGGCACACTGTCCTGGCCCTATCAGAAGAGGAAGAGAGAGCTAGCCCAAGGCACAAGCACGTTTCAAGTCTCAGTGTTGTGTTTGCTAGTATCCTGCTGGCCAAGGCATCCCCGTGGCCGAGCCCAGAGCAGGTGGGTACTGCAAGTCACCCGGCAGAGGGCACAGAGACCCAGGCCAACCTGCCACAGAGACCCAGACTGCCTGATCCCAAAGCCTGCCTTCTCTGGGGTTTTTCTATACCGTCTCTGCACATACGCGAGTGCAGAAACACACACACGTATGAGCAGCGCCTGGTTCCCGCCCCGAAGGCTGTGCGGGGGAAGACCCACCGGCACAGGCTAGCGGCCTGTCCCACGGGGGAGTTGCCACGTGCTATCCCAGGTGTAATGACTCGTGTGACAATGCAGGCCTGGGGAGGAGCCACCGGCCCGAGGAGGCTCCTTCGGAGATAGCAAGGGGCAGGTCTGCCACAGGCTCCCTGGCCTAGTCCCACCAGCACAGGGCCTCGGGCAAGGTAAGCGCTCTGTACCTCCGTTTCCTTGTTTGTAAAACGGACATAAGAATAGTGTCTTCTGCATCAGGTGTTGTCAGGAGTGAAGGAAAGGGTACAGGGAAAGAAACTGCCAGGCTCGTGGAAGGTGCTCAGCAAAGCTGAGCGGGGCCCTCTGAACACTTGGCGGACTCTTCCCAGGACAGGGGACAATAGGCCGCGTGCCAGTCGGTTGGGTCCTAGTTGGTCTCTGGCTTCCCTAGAAAGGGGTCGGTGCTACCAATGCAGACTCAGTAGGCGTTCAGGGAACAGTGCACCGGCGCTGGGAGAAGGTGGCCTCCAAATACCCCTTTCCCTGCCCCGTGGCATCTGCAGCCCTCGGGGCGGGGGGCGGGGGGCAGACTCTTGCTCGAGATGGGAAAGGAGGCTTCCGGGAACTGAGAGCCAGGCCTGGCTCTCCCCCCTGCTCTGACACTAACACCTCTTTTCTCCTCTCCAGCATGTTTGGCATGGCCTACCTCATCTGCAACAGGAGCGAGGCTTACCCTCTGTTGGGTAGGTAGTGGCCTTGCTGTTTAAACTTCTCTGTCGAACTATAACAAAACATACAGAACAGTGCACCGCTGATAAGTCTGCAACTTCATGCATTATCACCAATGAACCTATGATCACCATCCAGGCCAACAAATAGACAAAGAGAGGCTCTTGGGGCACCCCTCCAAGCTTGATCTCTCTCCCTCCCCCAAAGACTCTAATTCCCTCCCTCCCCACAAAGACTCTGACTCCCTCCACTTCTTAGGCCCATTTTAAAAACTCACATCAATGAAACGCTACCTCGTATAATTGTGCATGCCTTCTGTGAATCAACAGAGAACAAGACTGGGCCCCCCACAGGGGATCTAGCCAGAAAGGAAGATTAGGCCCCAAATGAGTGTCCAGCTCTTTTGATAGAATTTGCTCATGCCTTTGAAATTTCAGCCCTGCCTGTTCCTTCCTGTCCAGGTTTCAAAGAGCGTGGCCGACTTTCAGATTTTAATCTGGGTATCCCATTATATATATTTAAAAACTCACAAAATAACAGTGACGGGGTTGCAGCCCAAGCTGACTCCTATTGTCTTCCTTTCCTTTCTTAAGTGTTCCATATTTTCCACAGGGAGCATGTGTTCAATTTATAATCACACACACACAAAAGCTACGATTTATTATTACTAAAAATTTAGGTGATTCTTATGATAGGAGTCACTCTACAGGAGTTTTAAAAGTGCATTGAATTTCCTTATCACCGACACTGCTCCTAGTAGCCCCAAGATACGTATACTTTCTCATTTACAGAGAGGGCATTTCCTTCACAGAATTGAAAATAAAATGTTGGAAATAGAATATTCTATCCATAATTATTCAATATGGGAACACAGACTATAATAAATGTATTTGCACCCTGGCCGGTTTGACTCAGCGGTTGGAGCGCTGGCCTGCGGACAAGTGAGTCCCAGGTTCGGTTCCCACTGGGGACATGTACCAAAAAAATAAAAAATTTAAAAAATTTAAAATGTATTTGCTTGTGCAATAATCGATAAATGACGTCTGCTGTGTTATAGAACTAAAAAAAAAAAAGAAAGAAAAAGGGAAGGAAGACAAGAACTGGAGTCAGCCGTCCCTGGTTGACTCCCGGTTGTGTGACCCTGGCAAAGCTCGCTCTGCACTGAAATGAATGGCCGTTCTGATGCGCATTCTAAGCATCACAGATACAGTGCCCATTATCCTGGGGATCACAGGATGACAGAGTCACAGAGTCTGAAAAGCTCTAGGAAAAGAGGTTGAAACGTGTTGACGCGCACAGTGCCCCACGAGAGTCCGTGCACAGTGCCGTGGGAATTGCAAAGGTGCTCTTAGGCGGCGTATCACTGGGTGCGTTTGATGTCTCCGGACTGTCCCATGCTGACCGGATCTGCTCCCTTTTCACAACACGGGAACGGCAGGCCGTGAGAAGGAGCTGAAGTACTTCCAGTCCACCATGAAGGAATTCCTGACGTCCAACTGCAGCCGGATCCTCATGTACGAAGGATCGTCGGGGTACGGCAAGAGCCAGCTACTCATGGAAATTGAGTACCTGTCCCAAGGTGAAAACCACAGGTGAGTGTCTCGCAATGACCACGTATCTCTTGTCGACCCAAGGAATCCTGGTGTCCTTAGAAGTTTCGTCTGTTTTAATGATGGACACTACACAACACACAACCTATCCGTGATGGGGCGCCATGCACCCTCGTGCTAAATAAATAATTAATAATAAACATAGTGGAGCAAGGAAACGAGAAACCGGGCTGACCCCTGGACGGTGACCAAGATGCTGAGGTTCATGTCCCAGCTACACCTCACCTGAAGGCTCTCAGGGGAAAATGCTTATTAGCCTTATGTTATTTCTAGCTGTGTTTCTGCTCTTTTTAGATGTCAGGCCTAAGAGCATCCAGTTTTAAAATAGTTTAATAACCTTGTTACGGAGATAATTTGTAACAACCAGAAGACATTCATTCATCCATCCATCCATCCATCCATTCATTCCATCACTTAATTGAGTAACTACTATGTTCCAGGAACTGTTAAGTTTTGTATCTGTTTGCTAGAGCTGCTGTAACAAAGTCCCATGAGCTGGGCAGCTTAATCAACAGAAATGTATCCTCTCTGAGTACTGGCAGCAAGAATCTGAGAGCAAGGTGTTGGCAGGGTTGGTTCCTTCTGGTAGCCGTGAGGGACCCCTGTCCGCACCTCTCCCCTGGCTTCCGGGGCAATTATTGCTGTTCCTTGGCCTGTAGGAGCATCACCCCAATCTCTGCCTCTCTCTTCGCCCAATGCTCTCCCTGTGCGTTGTCCAAATTTCCCCTCTTATAGACTCACAGTCCGATTGGGTTAGGGCTTACCCTACGCCAGCTTGGCCGCTGTAATGACCCTAGTCCCAAATAAGGTCATGTTCTGAGGTACTGGGGGCTAAAACTACAACATATAAATGGGGGGGGCATGAGCCAACCCATAACATGCGTCAGCACCCCGAAGACAAGGACTGTCGGGCTCCTGTCCTGAAGGAGCTCTCACGGGAGAGAGCTGACAACAGACATGGAACGTGGCGGGGACAGTGACAGAGGCCGAGACGGTGGTGGAAGCTGACAGGGAAGGGTGTGTCACCTGACCTTGGGCCATCAGGGAAGGGTCAGGGGGCTGTCCCTGAACTGAGACGTGCAGGTGGACAGGAAATGATGGTGATGGCACTCCGGGCTGGGAGCTGGCGAAGCCACCGCACAGTAGTAGCTCTGGGTGCGCTGTTTGTTGGTTGCAGTGGGGGAGGGGGGCACTGCCCGGCAGAGTGTGGCAACAAACGACATCATGAGGCCTTGGAGAGTCTGGCATGTCACACAGAGAAGTCCAGACATACCCCTGTAGAGGACGGAGCCACTGAGAATCGAACTGGGAGGGAAGGTCTGCACCCCTCTGGGGGCTCCAGCCTCAGCACCAGGACACAGGCGGGGAGAGCGTGTCACTGGGAGCACAGGGGACAGAATGTGGGCGGCACCCTGGTGGATAGGACTGGAGAGGACAGACAGCGAGGGGGACCGGGGCCCAGGAGCTCGGTGGAAAGAGGCAGGATCCGCAGCAGGAGTAACGGCTCCGGGTCGCTCGGCGACTGTTGTGACCACTGAATGCGAAGAGTCAAAGCTCTCAGTCAACCTTAAATTTTTTTTTCAAAAAAATGTGTTTCCAAGCTCTCTTCTGATTCCTGACTTTCTCGTGCACAGGACTATTGCTATCGCCTTGACCAAGATCGGCTTCCATCAGAACTTTTACACCATCCAGATCCTCATGGCCAACGTCTTGGGTCTGGACACTTGCAAACACTACAAAGAACGGCAGGCCAACATCCAGAACAGAGTGACGACGATGCTGGACGAGAGGTTCTACTGCATCTTCAATGACATCTTCCACGTCCAGGTGACCGCCCCGGTGACTTCTGCACGGAACGGCGCTGGGGGCCGCAGCGCCTCCTCCCTGAGGCTCTGAGCCTTAGCGTCCCTCTGACCTGTGTTTCCCTTTCCTTTCCTGACCCGGAGAATCTGGGTGGTGGGAATACGGCCCCCAACGCCCCCGAGTGAGCATCCCCTTCCTGACACATGTTAGACGTGTCTGGAAGTAGCAGATGCCCCCACTGGTTCGTTTTGCTCTGTACTATACACTCCCGGCCGGCCCGCCTGCCCCACGGGTGACTGCCGGTGTAGACACAGTGCCCGGCCCTTCCTGCGCCTGCTCGGCTCAGTGACAGAGGGGACGAGAGCTGGGAAGGACGTATGATTGTCTAGCACACGAGCCCTTCGGGGCACAGAATAGTCCATGGTTTGCCCAGAGCCGCCCGGTTGCTGGCTCCCTTGCCGTCTCCCCGAGTTTGATGGCCTCACTCTCGTTTACCCAGTTCCCGATTTCACGAGAGGTGTCCAAGATGAGCAGCCGCAGAAAGCAAAAGCAGTTGGAGGCGCTGTTTATGAAGATCTTGGAGAAAGTAAGAACGTCTGTGGGGCAAGTCACGGGGGACGAAAGCGGGGTGTCTCGGCACAGGACAGGCGGCCTGAGCGGCAGGAAGCTTTGAAGTGTGGGGAAGCTTGCGCCCTGATGTGTTTCCTTCTCCTCCGCCCTTCCAGACCTGGAGCTGGGGGTCTAGCCCGAATGTAGCTAATTGACGGAGTTCCCTAGCCTTCCCCCCGGGAGCAGGCCTCCCCTTCGGACGGCCTCTGTCCTCTCTGCACAGACAGCAGCACGGCTCGGGGGCTGTGGGTGGAGGCTCTGCAGTCAGACAGCCCAGGCTGGGACCCGCAGGCCTCACCTGCTACCTGGGTCACCGTGAGCATGTGACACAGCCACCCTTTCCTTCTCTCACCTGGACGAGGGAAGCCATGGAGCCAGCGTGCAGGGGTGTGAGGTCTCAGTGATGCAGGAAACCGGTGTCAGCTCTCTGTCTGTCCATGGTCACCACGTTTATACCCCAGCCCTGGCCGGTTGGGCTCAGCGGTGAGAGCATCAGTGTGCGGACTGAAGGAAGGGTCATGGGTTCGATTCCCAGACAAGGGCACAGACCTGAGTTGCAGATTCGATCCCCATGCCCAGTCGGGGTCCTGCAGGAGGCAACCAATCGACGTGTCTCTCTCACATCGGTGCTTCCTCCTTCCCTTCCACTCTACCTAAAAACCAATGGAAAGCCCTGGCCGGTTTGGCTCAGCGGTTAGAGCGTCGGCCTGCGGTCCGGAGAGACCCGGGTTCAGTTTCCACTAGGGGCATGTACCTCGGTTGTAGTTTGTCCCCGGCCCTGGTTGGTCGTGCGGGTGGCAGCCACTCGATGTGTCCCTTCACATCGATGTTTCCCTCTCTCTCTCTCTTCCTCTCTCTCCCTCCCACTCTATCTGTGCAAAAAATGGAAAAATGTCCTCGGGTGAGGATAAAAAAAAAAAAAACAATGGAAAAATATCCTCAGCTGAGGATTAACACACAGGAAAATGTCTACGCCAGTCCCCACCTCTCTTACAAGCACCAGAACTGCATTTCCAAGAACTTTCTATTCCGCGAGGAGAAAGTAACTCCCCCTGACTTCAGTGTCTAACAGGGACCTGCTTTACTCTGCTCCCACACCTGCCCTCCTCCCTCCTCCCGGACCCTCGACGTCCCGACAGCGAAGTCATCCTGCAGCAGTCCGGCATCTCTGCTGCCCTCCTCGACGGTCGCCACCGCCACCCCTTACTCTGTTGCCAGGCCCCCCACTTCTCCCAGGGCGGCCTCGGGGCTCTCCTGTGCTTCCCTCTGCTGCAGTTCAGGCCCCCGCCACAGCTCTTCGCCCCGCCCCTGCGCCGCACACCACCGGGCTCCGCTGCGTCCCCCACACACCCCGAGTCCTGTGCAGATCACACCGGCCCGCCCCATACTGCCCGAGCGCTTCTACTGCAAAGGAGATTCTAGCCAACAGGTTGTTTTTCTAAACCTGGGGAAATGCTACCCGTCCTTCGACGTCACCTCGCTGGGGAGAACTCCCCAAATCATTGGGCATCACTAGCCCCTCTTCTTCCCGCTTCTGTAACACTTGGAACGTATTTCTGACTCTGTCTACCCCACTGTATCTGTGGGCTTCTGAGGACAGGGAGTCTCTCTCTCATTTGTGTATCACTGTTGAGCAGCACTGTGTCTGGAACGTAATACACGTGCATTGTGTCGGGTTTAACATACGAGGCCGTCCTCCTCTGTCCGGGCCAATAAGAAGGCAGTGTGGGGAGTTTCTGACTGCCAGGCTCCGGACCATTTGCATCACAAGTATCCTGGAAGCTTCTTAGAAAACCAGAGCTATGAGTCCCTGTGTCTAAAGAGTCAAAGGGGCTTGGATTGGGTTTAGGCATCTGTTTAGCTCTTTGCTTTTGTTCTAAAACTTCTCAGTTCGCTGGCCAGTTTGGCTCAGCAGTTAGAGCATCGGCCCGAGGACCAAAGAGTCACGGGTTCGATTCCAGTCAAGGGCACATACCTCGGTGGCAGTATAATCCCCGGCCCCAGGGTTGTGCGGGAGGCAGCCAGTTGATGTGTCTCTCTCACATCAATGTTTCTCTCTCTCTCCCCCTCTATCTGAAAATCAGTGGAAAAATATCCTCGGGTGAGGATTTAAAAAAAAAAACTCAGTTGGTCCCGATACACACTTTAGCTTGGAAACCATTACTGAAGCTGCAGCCACAATCTTTGCAGTGACCACCGTCTTTGCATCGCTTGCTCTGTGTGACTGTGGCAGGTTACCTAACCTGTCTGTGCCCCATTCTCTCAGCAAGGAGACTTAGCAGTGCCACCTGCTCTGAGCCTTCTAAGGATTCTGAGCTGGTTTATGTGATGAGCCCGCACAGTGCTGGGCACAGCGTGAGCGGTGTCTTTGTGGCATCTACTTACTTTATAGAGTCTGATTCACTGTCCTCATTTACAACTTTTTAAATGTTTTTACTGATTGTTTTGGAGAAAGAACGGAGAGGGAGAGAGAAACATCGATGAAACAGAAGCATCAACATCGATCAGATGCCTCGTGCACGCCCCCTACTGGGGATCAGGGTCGCAACCCGGGCATGTGCCCTGACTAGGAATCGAACTGGTGACCTCTCAGTGCACGGGACCATGCTCAACCACTGAGCCACAGCAGCCGGGCTGTCCTCATTTTATTTCTATTTGTTATTGTTTTTAAAAATAATTTTTCTTATTGATTTTAGAGAGATAGGGAGGGAGAGAGAGATAGAAACATTGATGAGAGAGAACATCGCTTGGCCGCCTCCTGCATGCCCCCATAGGGGGATTAGGCCCATAACCTGGGCATGTGCCCTGACCTGGAATCAAACTGGCGACCTTTTGGTTCATGGGTTGACATGCAACCACTGAGCCACACCGGCCGCGCCAGACTGTCCTCATTTGAAATATGAAGAAACTGGGGCCAGTGATAGACGATTGAATTCATGCGTTTCCTGTCCCTACTCTACTCGTCCCAGTTCACAGATAGTACTGTCAACACCGTCATTACAATGTCCTCGGGGTCAGTGGACAGCCGTTTCTGGTGATGGGGTGGGACGGTCATGTGTATGTGACAAGGCAGGTTAGAATGACAATGGTCGTCTCGGGGGATGTGAAGTGTTGCCGTGGCCTTTGCTGTGTTTGTTTATAAAAATACAGAGGAAAAGAACGAGCAACCCCACCTCTTCGCAGAGGGACCACAAGGGGCAGTGAGTGGGGAGGTGTGTCCCTGACACACCTGCGCAGAAATGAGGGTCTGCTAGGCAAGGTCTGCCTCTAAACTGTAAAGGCATCGGGGACCCAGCACCCACACAAGCCTGGCCCACCCAGATGCCCTACGGATGCGAGTGAGGGAATGAATAGTTCAGACCAGGTGGAGAAGGGCCAACTGCACAGGAGGGCCACGCGATCTACTTAAAGTGTAACAGGTGCGGAGTTCCGGCGGAAACAGCATCGACAGCCATTGGCGCGGGGCTGGCTCCGCCTCCTGAGCCCTGTGTCCCAGCACCCAGCCCATTGCATGCTGGGTATGTGCTGGACATGCATCGGTTGAATCAATGCCAAGCAGATGTCCCCAGGGGGCCTTCCCTTGCCAACAGGTTAAAAGGACATGTAGCAAACACCTGTTACTTTATGTAACGGGTGCTTTCCCTTGGTCACAGTCCCATCTCTCCTACAAATGTGCATTTTTACCTTTGCACAAAGATTGGTCCAAGTAAGAGTCTGTCGCAGCCAGCTCTATCCAAATTGCCACAAATTCCAAGTTAGTGGACTCTACATTAGCACAGGGGTATTGGGAAGAAAAGATTTACTTCGACCCCACACAGCCAATGGATACGTGTGCAGACCCACGCACAGATGAAAACCCAGAGTCGTGCAGCATTTTCTTTGTGTTTCTCTACTGTGTCCAGACAGTGAAACAGGAAAGGATCATTTTCATCATCGATGAAGGCCAGTTTGTAGATTCGGCCTCCTGGGCCTTCCTGGAGAAGCTGATCCGGACCGTCCCTGTCTTCCTCATCATGTCCCTGTCTCCGTTCGTGGAGACGCCCTGTGAAGCTGCCAATTCCATCATCAAGAACAGGAATACCACCTATGTCACCCTCGGCGCCGTGCAGCCCAGCGACATCCGCAACAAGGTCTGCCTGGACCTCAACGTCAAGGGCATCCCCAAGGAACTGGACTTGTGAGTACTTGCTTCTGTCCAGGGGGCTGGACACCTGCGCTCACTGCCCGGGTCCAGACCGCGTCAGATTCCTTAGGATGTGGCTCCAAGCGCCTGTGTCGATAATCTTGCGGGGCCACCTTCCCTCAGGCTGGGTGGGAGGGAGGCTGTCCCCCTTCTCCTTGTTGTGGTCCCTGCGGTGTCTGGTCAGACTGCGTGGCGACGTCAGGTTTGTCTCCCTTTCATCTTGCTGGGTGTGAGTTCGCTCTAATCATGTCTTAGGACAGTCACGAGCAAGAGACACGAAAGGCAAACCAATAAGCGTGCAGGGCCACTAGCTGCAACTAAGCCAGGTCCTGCTGGGCGGGCAGAGGCGTGGCCCGGTGCTGGGGTTGTCTGTCTGTACACACGGAAGGCTGGCTGTCCGGTCGGTGCCCCCCGAGATGCTCAGCCACCCCCTCCTGGGGCTTGACAGGGGTCCCCTGGACCCCACGGCCAACACCTCTCCTTTAGCTGCCGGTTTACAGCTCACCTGCTACCTGCCTCAGTTCTTTCTAATGAGGTTGTCTTGCTTCTGGAAGAAACGTTGAAAATATAAACCAGAAATTAATGAGAATGGCCCCTTACAAGGTGAAGAAGGGAAGTGAGGCGGGAGATGGACCTTGTGGTGTCGTTTGGACTTTGGAAAGATGGCAAATGTTTTATACGATTAGGACAACGAAAGGAAAACAAAAGCAATCCCTAACAGAGGAAAATAAACAGAAGGCGATGGAGAATGAGAAGAGATGATTTTCAAGTGGTTGGGAAGATGGAATGTTGTGCCTTCCCGAAAGGCGGCTCCTCCAGGTGAGCAGGTCACCTTGTGTCCCCTGCAGGTACCTGATGGAAGGAAGCTGTGGGATCCCATTTTACTGCGAAGAGTTGCTGAAAAATCTCGAACAGCACAGGGTACTTGTTTTCCAGTCAATGGAGTCCGAGGAAAAAGCCAATGTGACTTGGAATAACCTGTTCAGTAAGTCCCACCGGGCCAGACCCTTCTCTGTCCTTCTGCAGAGAGGACGGCAGGGCTGGGCTTTTGCACAGGCTGCCCCCCCTGAAGGTCGGAGGGTTTGGGGAGTCCAGGACTGGGACCTGATATCTCCGACTGTGAGAGAACAGAGCATTTTGGAGTACCAGAAATCAAAATGACTAGGCAAATTTACTCCTCAAACCTCACTATTTCTAGTATCTCCTCCTGATGCTAACCACATCATAGGTGAGTACCATCTCCTCAGGAATGTGTTGGCATCTGAGTGTGGGTATTTGTACATGCATAAAAGTGTAAGTTGTTACATTCTTTTTTTTTATCCTCACCTGAGGACATGTTTGCATTTATCTTCAGATAGAGCAGGAGGGAGAGAGGGAGGAAGAGAGAGAGAGAAACATCCATGTGAGAGAGACACATCGACTGGTTGCTACCTACACAACCCCACCAGGGGCCAGGGACGAACTGCAACCGAGGTGCATGCCCTGAGCGGGATCCAAACCCGGGTCTCTCTGGTCCGCAGGCCGACGCTCTAACCGCTGAGCCAGACCGGCCAGGGCTAAGTTGTGCTCTGTAAGATACATCCTGATCATCTTTCATCAGTTTTGTGTAAAACTGCATGTACTTCCAGCACAGTGGTTCTCAACCTGTGGGTCGCAATGCCTTGGGGGTCAAACAACCCTTTCACAGGGGTCGCCTAAGACCATCGGAAAACACCTATTTCCAAAGGTCTTAGGAACCGAGACACCGCTCCTCTGTCGTGCAACATGAAGAACTGTATTCAAGGGTGGCGGCATTAGGAAGGTTGAGAACCACTGTGCCAGTAGGTTTGGGGGGTGGGTAGAGGGTGGACAAAACATCCTTTGAGTAAATTTAGATGTTCCTATATGGGTTTTCCTTACGACACAGTGTTCCAAACTGCCTGGGGAGCCCACACCACGCGAGACCCATTTCGAAGTTCACTGCAAAGTCCGGACGACGCCGGACGATGACCGTCGGCTTTTCTTCCCTTTGCTCTCCCCACAGAGTCTGTGGCTAAGCCAACAGAGGACTTGAAATCATTCACTCTCGACAGCGAAGAGGGAAACGACGAAGTCTGCAAACTTGCCAGCGGTGTGAGACTGAAAAACCTGTCACCGCCGGCCACGCTGAAAGGTAAAGACACCTCGGGCCGGTAGCAGATGTAATACTTTCCAGGACCTAGACCTCTCCCCGCTGCTTTCTCATCTAAAGTGAGAAGAGAAGGTGGGAACCCCTGGGCTGCTTGTGGGTGTTGCCCTGGGCAGGGGAGGCTCCAGGTAGGCTGGGCTGGGCTGCTTCCAATCAGGAGCCTCTTAGCCCCTGTGTACACTCCGGAGTCAGATTTGAGCAGGTTTCTTCAACTGCATAGAAGAAGGAGGTGCACGACATTATCTTGTTTTAAGAGAGAGTGGAAGGGAGCTAGGGAAGGGGAGAGAGAAACACCGATGTGAAAGAGACACATCCATGGATTGCCCCCTGCTCGAACCCCGACTGGGGCCGGGGGTCGAACCTGCAAACCCCAGGTGCGTGCCCTTGACCAGGAATCAAACCCGAGACCCTTAGGTGTGTGGGCTGCGGCTCTAACCACTGAGTCCACCAGCCAGGGCATATGTTTTCAATGACACGGAAACCAGGTAATGAGAGGAACTGTAACCCTGAGGCTGTCTCTGCGGTCTGCTCTGATGAGAGACGACAGACGGGAATCTGTATCAGATGTCACATTGTCCCTTTAAAGAGAAGCCACTCCCGAGCAGATCACATTCTTGCAGACCACTCGGTTCCAATCCATGCCCTCTATGAAGAGCTTCAAATGTGTCCAAGGACAACCTGGGGTGGGGGTGGGGGGCGGTGCCTCAAGGTCCTCCGTCTCCAAAAGCGCATGGAGCTCATTGGAGTGTTTTCACCCACGCGCGACGTCCGCCAGCGAGGGAAGGTGGCCTGGCTTGGCCGCTGCAGGGTTCTGTGGGCACACTGAGAAGTTCTAATGGTGCCCCTGGTGAGAGGCTGGGGTTGGCGCCGGGAGCTCTCTGACATGTGTCGTGAGCAGAGAGGTGGTAACGGGCTGTCACAACGAGTCAAGGGTTCGATTCCGGTCAAGGGCATGTACCTCGGTGGCAGTTTTGTCCCCAGCCCTGGTCGGGGTTGTGTGGGAGGCAACCAATCAATGTGTCTGTCACACATCGATGTTTCTCTCTCTCTCTCTGTTGACGATAAATGGAAACATATCCTCGGGTGAGGATTAGAAAAGAAGACTCGGGTTGAGTGCGAGCGGTTCTGATTTGGAGTTGACGTGCGACAAGGGTGGGCCGCGGGCGGCAGAAGGAACAGGGCCGGACGTCCTTGTGCTACACGGACTCTAGAGCGGGGCCTGAATCTTCTTTACAGCCCCCTTCCTCCGGGAGCCCCCCAGCAACAGGGCTTTCCCTCTGCCTTCCCCAGAGACGCCTTTGTTCTTGTGACAGTCACTCACCACCTCTCTGCTCACGACACATGTCCGAGAGCTCCGGGCACCGACCCCAACCTCTCCGCTAAGCTCAGCGCGTAGCCCCCGTGGCCTCCTGGGCACCTTGACCTGCGTGTCATTGCCTCACCCTCCTCGGGGACACCATTAGAACTTCTCAGCGTGCCCACAGAACACCGTAGAGGCCACGCGAGGCCACCTTCCTGCGCTGAGCCGAGCCGGCCAGGCCTCCGACCTCGCCCCGTCTGGCCTTCGTGCCGCGCATCTGTAAATCCATCACCCACATTTCTTGTGCTCACAGCGCCGGCCCGGGCTGGGGAGCAGGCTCTAAGCAAACACTTCTGTTGGCCTCCCTTGGGTTTCCGTCACCAAGAGCAAGGCTGTGGCCCACCCTGGAACGTGTTTGACGGAGGCTGGTGATCGGTTCCCTCCTGTACGGCTTTCCCCCCGCAGAGATCTCCCTGGTGCAGCTGGACAGCATGAGCCTCTCCCACCAGATGCTGGTGAGGTGCGCGGCCATCACCGGCCTGACCTTCACGACAGAGCTGCTGTTCGAGATCCTCCCGTGTTGGAACATGAAGATGATGATCAAGGCTCTGGCGACGCTGGTGCAATCCAACATCTTCGACTGCTTCCGGAACGGCAAGGAGCTGCGGGTGGCCCTCAAGCAGAACTCGTCCTCGTTTGAGGTGAATTATCGCTCCCTGTCTCTGAAGCCCATGGAAGGACACGGTGAGTGGAGCCTGGAAGGGTCCCCCGTTTCCTCTTGGTGGGAGGCACATCCGAACCCCAGTGCTGCTCTGCGTCTGCCCCCGCCTGGCTGAACGGCCGCTGTCCCTCCAGCCTGCAGGGAGGACGAGAAGCTTCGCGAGCTGGAGAGCGAGGTCATCGAGTGCCACATCATCCGGTTCTGCAGGCCGATGATGCAGAAAACCGCCTATGAGCTGTGGCTGAAGGACCAGAAGGTGACCATGCACCTGAAGTGTGCCCGCTTCCTAGAGGAAAATGCCCACCGGTGTGACCAGTGCTACGGCAGGGAGTTCATCCCCTACCACCACTTCACCATGGACATTCGGCTCAACTCCCTGGACATGGACTCCATCCGGAGGATGGCCAAATCCCAGGGATTTAAGAGTAAGCTTTCTTCTTTCTCGATGAGTCCTAACCATTCCCGGGGAATGTGGGGTTTCCATGTCCCCCCAGGGCCCAAGCGCCCTGAGTCAGGAGGCCGCAGAGGGGCGGGCAGAGCTGGGCCCGTGTGGTGGAGCCTGGCAGAACCTGTCTCACTGCCACACAGACTGTCGCGGAGGATTTGGGGATAAAGACTCTGGCAAAATGGGGTGTGGCCAGAGTTCAAATGGAAGTGTCCGAGGGGATCAAACCTCCCCAGCTTCCTTCACACCAGGGATGGAGTCCTGGGGGTGGGGGAGTCTGACCCGCTGACCTGGTGAAGCGAGAGCAAGAACCAGGCCCACGAGGGTAGAAACAATGTTGCTATTTTGTCCCTGGAGTTGGGAACAAGGTTCCAGCGAAGGTGAGGGGGAGAGAACTGTGGGGGCCAGTGAACAGGGCTCAGGGCAGGGACTCGTGGCCATTCCTGAAGCAAAAGCAAAAATGTTGCAAACTGAGAACACTGACCAGCCACATGATCTGGGGAAACACAGTGGGGAATTCAGGGGTGTAAGACCCAAAGGGCCCGGGGACTCAGCTCCCGCAGGCAGGAGGGACGTCAGACCCCTTCCAGCCCGCCTGTGGGTAGCCCTAGCGCCGGCCTCGGTGGTCGTGGCCGAGTGGACCTGGAAAAGCGGAGGCACGGGTAGCCAGTCCTCTACCATACGGACACTGACAATCGGGAAGAAGTACGTAGTGGGTACAGAATAAACCCTGTTCTCATCCGTCCTCTCTTTGACATGCATTCTCATTTCATCCCCGCATCAGCCCTGGGGGGGAGGGCTAGGTTCATTTCATTCATGAGGAAACCGAGGTTCCGGCAGACTCGATTCTTTCCCAGGTCAGTTCACTCCCAAGCTCACGCCCTGCCCCTCACACTGAGCTTCCTAGTGCGCAGGGTGGGCCCCGGAGGGATCCCGGCCGGGGGACAGAAGAGGTCTCAGGGACAGCGCCAGGGGTGAAGGTGTGAACCGCAGCATGAGGAAGGCGATGCCCTTTGGATCCTCTGTCGGTTCTTGATGGAGGAGGCTTTGCACTGTGGTCCCAGCCTGTGGTTGCCACTGCACCAAAGCTGGCCACGCTCCTGCTTTAAACAGAGAAAGAAGACCGAGAGCCTTCCGGTGGACCCAGAGAGCCTGTAGGTGAGGGTTTCAAGTCCCCCTTGGGCACAAAGATAATGACCCTTTGGCTGCCGTCTCATCCCACTGGGGCAAGGGAGATGTCAGGGGATGTACATGTGGCTGAATCTAGGGTTTATCTCTAGTGTGTATCACATTTCCCCTCATGCACTATAGTTTTGAAGAATTAGAAATATATATATTTTCTGACGATTTCTTTATTTTAGTGATTTTTAGAGAGGGGATGGGAGCAGGAGAGAGAAACAACCACGTGAGAGAGAAACCATCACTTGCTCCGCACACCTCCGACTGGGGAGGGAGCGCGAAAGCGGGAATCAAACCGGTGACCTCTCGGTGCTTGGGATGATGCCCAGTAACTGAGCCACGCGGCCGGGGCGGAAATCATTATTACAGAAGTAATATATGTGTAACACGGTGTTGACACCGAGATTTGTACCAAGCACTAACGTACAATGGGTGCAGCAAAGCCAAGTCAGGTCCATAGATGGATACACGGGATGCACAAAGGAAACAGCTGGGGATCAGTGGTAATCCCGGAACGTCCGTGAAGATCCAAGACGCAGATGTGAGGGAGAGTGTGCAGAGGGCCAGGACTTGTGAAGAGATGTCCTTGCTGAGAACCATGATGCTCCCTGTGCCCTCAGACTGGTTGTTTCCTTCACCACCTCAACCCTCGTAAGGTGTCTTCCTTGGAATGGGTTCGAGGACACAGAAGACGGGGCCTACCTCCCCCTAGAGGGCTAGAGTGGCCTGTGGCCACACTGGGATCACACTGCCCTCCCGGAGTTTGGTAAAGGGTGTGTGAGGAGTTTTCAGGGATCTGTAGGTAAGGGTAGGTTTCAGGGCTTAGAAATACACAATGGCAAGCCATTGACGTATGGATGGACTTGAAGTCAAGGGCAGACGAAATACCGAGGAAAAAAGCTGGGTGGAGAAAGGCATCCAGCACCCCACGGAAGCTTATATTTGGAAGCTTGGCAGACACCTAGGAACCAAGGAGGGAGGGAACAAAGGGACGAATGTCCCAAGTGCCAGTTAGGGGAGTGGTCAGTTGTGTTGAAAAGGCTACAAAGATGTAACCTTCGGATTGAGCAACATGGTAACCTTGACAAGAGCGGTTTTGTGGGTGGATCGAGACATCATTCAATGTATTCAGTTTCCATTTGCTAGAGATACATTGGATGGCAGTCTGGGCCAGGGGCGGGGCCAGGGAGGTGGGCAAATGAATCCTTTAGCAGTCTGAGAAGGGCCATGATTTTAGAGAAGAGAGAGGGGGAGGGAGAGAGAGAGAAAGAAACATTGATGTAAGAGAGAAACATCAATGCGAGAGGGAAACATTGATCAGTTGTCTCCCGTACGCCCTGCCTGGGTATCAAATCCCTAACCTAGGTATGTGCCCTGATCGGGAATCAAACCTGAAACCTTCTGGTGCACAGGATGACGCCCAACCAACTGAGCCACCTGGCCAGGGCTGATCGAAAGCCTTAAACGCAAGAATCCCTGCCCTTTGTAACTAAACACCAGGCATCCGTGCCGGGCAGATGAGTTCACTGACCTGCACAATGCGTGTGTTTATTTTCTAGCCGAAGAAGAGATCAACTTTTCCAGAATAGAGATTACAAGGAAGCATGAGATATTTTCGGAAGATCTCAGGTACAGGCGTATATAAGTGTTCAGAGGGTTCCGCGCAGATAGGTTGCCTTTTAGTTGCCAACATGGCCAGCGTTGGGGTCTGGCCAGGCCTCCGGCCTCCGGAGAAACGCGGGGGCGTGAGCGGGGGTGAGGCTGGGCCCGCGGCCCGCATGTTAGGTTTTCGTGTCTTGCTCTTCTCTTAGTCTTTAAAGATGTGTTCCCATCGAAGGCTACGCCGCCTCTGCACGTCATCACCCCTGTTTGTTTCTGCCTTTGGACAGTCCCGAGGAAATCCGCGAAAAGATCTTGAGTTTCTTTGACATCATCGTGACAAAGATGAGCCCGTCGCAGGAAGACATCGTCCCGTTGGAAACCTGTCAGTGTGAGGAGGTCCTGGAGCTGGTCCTCATGCCGCTGGCCTACCACTTCCTGGCTCTGGGCGAAAACAGCAAAGCCCTGTACTACTTCCTGGAGACGGCGTCCGCCTACCTCAAGCTGGAGGACAACTACATGGTAGGCGGCCGTCCCCCGCTGCCCCCGCGAGCCCGCTCCCCCCAGCACCCCTGCCGCTGACAACCGGGACCAGTGGCGAGTGGCACTGGGGTCATTTAACATCCGGCCACCTGTAGAAACCGGCCGTGAATTGTCTGCCTGTGTTCGGGGGTGGGGACTCTGGCACTCCCCAAATGACACGCAGGACGCTGGTGTCATGCTTCGGTCGCCCCGGCCTGGCTCAGCGATGCCGCAGCAGCTCGTGCCCTCTGCCTTCCGAACCCCAGTTTGCTCTCGGGACCTCCCGCGAGGCTCGCCCACTTCGGTCTTCGCGTAACTTGTGCCCAGTGCTCACACCTGCCGCTGCACCACCACGGCCCTGGCGGGCGTTTCTCCAGGAGGGTGAAGGCGGTTCCAGGGTGATCCGACCCGAGGACTGGGGACTCGGCCCGGGGAGAATCCAGCGTTCGGGGAGCTGGGATCACCGAGCTGAACACGGCTGAGTCGGTTTCTCGCCAGCAGATAGGTCGGGGCCTTGAGACGCTCAGATGCGTGTCAGTCGGCCCGAGGGTCAGGCTAGGGCTGGGGCCAGTTGTGTGTCTCCAGCGCATTTGACCTTGGGCCACGCCATGGAGCAGCTGGCTGGACTCGCCGTCCTTGAGCTCACTGGAGGAAACGCCCTTCTGGGCCTGGCTCTGCCTGACCCCAGCCAGCTTCCCGGGGAGCTTCACCCCCAAGGGGCCAGGCCTGCAGTCCCTGCCCACCCTGGTGGCCTGCCCGCCCCCGATCTTACCGCCGCTGTCACCGCAGCCCAACCAACCCTCACACCTTAGATTTACGTAACGTGTCAAATTAAACCATTCAAAAGGTCAGTAAGTCCCAGTGCTCTCAACGTTTACGTTAAGAATGAAAGTCTCGCCCTGGCCGGTTTGGCTCAGCGGTTGGAGCGTCGGCCTGCGGTACAGAGAGACCCGGGTTCGGTTCCCGTTAAGGGCATGTACCTCGGTTGCAGTTTGTCCCCGGCCCTGGTTGGTCGTGTGGGTGGCAGCCACTCGATGTGTCCCTTCACGTCGATGTTTCTCTCTCTCTCCCTCCCGCTCTATCTGAACAAAAGTCTCCTGGGTGCCTGTCACACACACATGTGAGGAGGGGGTATGGCCAGTGAGTCCCGGGAAGGGGACGTCTGGAGAGCCCTGCAGGGAGGGACATACTCAGGAAGACAATGATTGGACGCTGAGCCCAGAGCAAGGTTCCAGAATGTGCCATTGGCAGCCCTCTCCCATCAGAGAAAATCTGGCAGGACCAGGGCTGGCCGAAAACTCTTGTCCCCCTCCTGCCTCCCACTCATGCCCCTTGGGCTGCGTGAGGCTGGGGAGCGTGGCTTCACCTCGTCACTTCTCCTGCCTCGGTGGCCGCACATGCCGGGAAGCTGAAGATGAAGTGAGGAGAGTTGCTCAGGGCCTCACCTTCCTCTCCCCTTCCCCAAGATGGCCCTGGGGAGGGACACGGGCTGATTCACACCTCATCCCAGCGCAGAGCGGCTTCTCGGAGGCGTGGGAGGTATCGGGGCCATGAAATAAGGAGGTGGGGGTGGAATTCCTCAGAGGAGGCATTTGCCTGCAGACATTTCAGGGAAGGTGACTGAAGTGACCACGGGGAGAGGTCTAGATTCATCCTCTAGAATGAGGGACCCAGGAGACTGAGACGGACAGGAAGGTGGCCTGTGCCTTCCGCGGGGCATTTCTCGTCCTGTTCCTGTCTAGAGTTTGGAGGCCCTTTCTCAGCAGGGGCCAGTGGAAGTGGAGGTGGGACCTGGCCTGGCTCCTGGTTCTCCCCTTCAGTGGCGTCTGGGCCCCCCAATCTTTGCAGGCATACACATATTTGAATGAGGGAGAGAGGCTGCTGAAAACCCTTAAGAAGAAAAAGTCTTGGAGTCATACTTTTGAGCTTGCCACCTTCTGTAGCCTCAAAGGCCAGGTAAGAAACGATTAACGTGATTATTCTGTGATTTGCCGCGAGGCTGCACAGAGTAGACGCCATCCCTGTACTTTGTGCATCCTCCTCCCCGCCCCCACCTCAGATCCTTTCCCAAGACCCCAGAACCCCAAGCACCGGGGCTCAAATCTCACTGTCATTTGCCAGCGGCAAGATCTTCCTTGTCTTGACATCCTTATGAAATGTTGCTCTAACGGACCCCCCAAAATGGACATGAGTGGGTAAACATTTTCTCTGAGGTAGATAATTCACACTAAAGATGCCAAAGCCTAGTCATTCCACCATCCTTCCACGTACACATGCACTGACCACTCTGCATGGGGGAGGGGGGTTCCTGGGTCATAATGACCGTCTTCTGATTCGAATCCCTCGGGGGGCTGTTGTGGGAACAGACCAGCCAAGCCCCGAATCCCTGCTTGTCCCCCTTTCCCCGTAGGTGTGTTTCAACATGGGCCAGATGATGCTCGCCAAGAAAATGCTGAGGAAGGCCCTGAGGCTCCTCAACCGAATTTTCCCTTACAACTTTGTATCCATGATTTTCTATACCCATGTCGAGAAGAACAGACATCTTTACTACACGGGTCTGCAGGCCCAAGAGTGCTCACCCCCAGGGTAAGGGAAGGAGCCGGGAACTGGGCTTCTCGCCTCACTCCCCAGGGGACGAGACCCACACACATGCCAGCGGTCAGACCCACAGCAGTTGGGGAGGCCGGAGGTCTGAGCTCAGGGTGCAGCATGCTCCCTGAGGGCCTCCTGGGGTCTCAGACTTCTCACTGTGTCTCCATGGGGGAGGGAGAGGGGACTCTGTGGATGTCTGGTAAGAACCCTAATCTCACCCCTGAAGGGCTCCACCCTTATGTCCCATCACTTCCCAAAAAGGGTTTGGATTCCACATATGAATTTGGGGAGATGCATACAGACCACGGCAGAATGTAGTTGTTAAAACCGGTCAGTTCCTCGGCTGAGCTGAGACCCCCCCCAGCCCAGAGCGACGTGCGGTGGAGGAAAGGACACGCCAGGCTGGAGGCGGACAGGTGTGGCCCTGGCACCCCCGCGTCCTGGCTGTGTGACTTTGAGTTCATTACTTCACCTGTCTGAGCCTTACCTTCTGCTCGTGTAAAATGGGGTTAATTACAGTCAAACCTCGGTTCTCGAACATCTTTCATCTCGAACAATTTGGTCCTTGAACAATTCGGTTCTTGACCAAGTTATTCATGGGGGAGGATGTCTTGGTTGTGGAACAAAACTTCAGGGCTCACCCCGACAACCCGTCCATGCCGGTACCTATACAATCAGTCTCATGTCTCTCAGGTGACAGACCAAGGAGAGAGCATGTATATGAGTCAGTCGACTGCTAAAATCCACATTGGTAACATCTCAGGAAAGAGTGCTGTGAATGTTTTTGTGAGCACTTTTTTTTTTTATCCTCACCCAAAGACATTTTTTCATTTTTTTGTTCAGATAGAGTGGGAGGGAGAGAGGAATACAGAGAGAGAGAAACATCAACGTGAAAGGGACACATCGAGTGGCTGCCACCCGCACGACCAACCAGGGCCGGGGACAAACCGCAACCGAGGTACGTGCCCTTAGTGGGAACCGAACCCGGGTCTCTCTGGACCGCAGGCCGACACTCTAACCGCTGAGCCAAACCGGCCAGGGCAGTTCTTTTGTTTTTTTATGTGTTTTGTTTGTTTGCTGCTTATTATTATTAAATACAAAGAGAAGGTTGCCATGGGTCCTAAGAAGGTCAGTGGCAGCAGTGAAGTGAAAAGCAAAGTCGTGAGCACAACGATAGTGCTCAGACCCGTTCTGTATACAGCAAGGGTAACACAGGGGGTCATGGGGGGGCCTGGAGCAGATGGATTCAATTTACATCATTTCTAAGGAGAAAAAAACGCTTCGGTTTCCGAACACCTGCTCTTGAACAGCCTTCCCGGACGAATTCCCGGCACCGCGGCGTTCCGCCCTCCCTCCAGGCTGCCCCGGGTCAGGTGTGTCGCATGAGGACATGGCACCTTCTCAGTGGCTTCCTGCACTCACCAATGACCGGGCAGCTGACGTACATAACTTATCTCAACCCTCGCTCAGCCGCTGTTCGGCGCCCTGGTTTGCAGCGGAGGGACCGTGCTTCGTGAGAACTGGGGTGCGGGCCTGCGAGGTAGCGGGGCCTGCGTGCCCTGCAGCCAGCACGGGGTGCCCACACCTCCACTCTGACCCGGGCCCCGTGGGCACTCTGTCCCACAGGAACAAGCGGCTGGCGGAGCTGTACCAGCAGGCCATCTGCCTGTCCTTCCTGTGGAAGATCTACAGGCTCAACTACTTCTTCCACTACAAGTACTACGCCCATCTGGCAGCCCTCATGGGGCTGACCACCGCCCTGGAGATGCAAGACGACTTCCAGGTAGGCCGCTTCTGCGCCTGCGCCGCTGCGCCTGCGTCGGGGGGAGGGCGAGCCGGCTGGGGGCAGAGGTCGGGGCGCAGAAGTCGGGGCCCCAGGGCGAATGCAAGCCTGCTGCGGGACTGTCCGAGGCCCGCGGTTCCCAGAGGCTCTGGTCCCGGGTCCCTTACATGCCGGATCCTTGCTGAGGACCTCAAACAGCCTTTATTTCTATGGGTTGTTGATCTATTGGGATTATGATATAAGAAACAAAAATAGATATTCAAAAGTATTTTTTAAAAAGTAATACATCCAACCCGCCTGGTGTGGCTCAGTGGTTGAGCGTGGTGCCATGGACTGAGAGGTCCTGGTTCAATCCCCGGTCAGGGCACATGCCCAGGTTGTGGGCTCGATCCCCAGTGGGGGGCGTGCAGGAGGCGGCCCATCGATGTTCTCTCTTATATCGATATTTCTCTCTCTCTCTTAACAGTCAATAAAAACATATAAAAAAAGTAATAAATCCATTGCATATTAACATAATTAACATTTTCATTGGGGGGGGAAGATATTTCTCTAAGCAAAAAAAAAGTGGCCTGTGTTACATCTTTGCAAACATCCGAATGCCTGACTTCACACAAGAGAGGCTGTCCCTCCACTCTGCCTTCGCCCCCTCGCCTCACCCTCCCCTGGAAAACGTCTCTCTGTACCCGTGAGCGGTGGAGGGTGACTAAGGAAGATGTCCAAGGAGAATTCTTCTTCAAAAGCTAAAATCCTGACCCATGAGTCAAAGACTTGACCGACTTGTCGTTCACCGAGAGAACTAGTAAAAAGGTACCAGTGGTTCCCAGGGGAATTCTGTTTATGAAAGGATGCAAAACTCTTCTGGCCAAAGGGCGATGGTCACTTGTATTTCACCAAACACTTACCCTTCTGCGAGGAAGAATCATTTACATCATTGCTACAGCACACGGCATTGTGACCCGGCCCGGAGACAATGCGAGGCAGACGGCAACGATGGAGCCAGACAGACCCCCGCCACGCCTTCTGGCTGCTGCTGTTTCGGCCCATCTTGATCTTCCACGATTTTTCCCGACACCAATAACGCCTTGACGTGACGAAACTGGCTTTGACCTCCGTGTGTTCTCCCTGAAAGGGTCCCCAGGACCACACGCAGGGAGAGCCACTCATGGAGGGTAGAAGTCTTTGGTCAGAGGAGGGCTCCAGGAGACAAGACCAAGACAGGATGAAGCTACATCCAGCTCATGGAATCAAAGCGATCTGGTCCCTTGATAAAGGGACATCAAGTCTGGGCTTCTCCTGGGACCATCGTTCTCTCTGAGTCATCGATTATGGATAAATGGTTGAGGAGCAAGGTACGCGTGGCAGGCTACGGTTCCCACCACCAGTTCCTCTCAGAAGACCAGGGTGTGTAAGAGTTTATAAGGCCCGTCCGACTGGGCCTCTGCTGGCATCCTGTAACCCTCTCCTAGCCCCCTGGGTCACGGACGGGCCGCCTTTGATTCCTCAAACATCTAAGTTCACTCCCATGTAATGGTCCCTCCACTGGGTGTTTGCTCTGCTTGGATGCTTATCCCTTGACCTTGACTGGACTCTCTGCTCCTCATCTTGAAGGTCACCTCCTGAAGCCCGAAACCCTAGTATGTGCCTTGACCGGGAATCAAACCAGCGACCTCTTGGTACATGGGATGATGTTCTATCCACTGAGCCACACCGGCCAGGCAATGATGCCTTTCTTGGCCACCTCACCCACTCACTGTCTAGCCAGTTGCCCCGTTTTAGTGGCCGATCACCACCTGACGTGTCCTTTCCTGCTCCTTCATTAGTGTGTCCCCCGCCAGCCGCAGACTCCGCGAGCATGGGAGCCTCGTCTGCCGTCTTGTTCAAAGCTCAGTGCCTAGAACAGTGCCTGGCACCTCGTCGGTGCTCAACAAATATTTATTGAATGAAATGCACCACTTCTCCTAGACATGTGGGGCCCTCTCCTAAAAAACGTGGTGGGTTGGGGGGCAAAGGAGGATGAGATGGAAAAGTCGAAGTTGGAAAGTGAATTAAAGACACTTACGGAGACGGCGCTGGCTGAGGGGTGGCGTTCCGACCAGAGGGGTCAGCCAGCGCCGCAGAGAGAAGGGAGGAGCATGAGGGGGCCTTCCAGGGCTCCTCCCTGCGGCCTGACCACCGGCCAGCAGGAGCCTCCCAGCTCTGCGTGTTTCCCGTGGATGGAAGCAGTCACCCTGAGCTCTCTAGTCTGGGCAGCCCTCGGCTTTATCGCAGGTTCGAACTTTCCACTGGCCCAGTGGTCCTCTCCCAGCCACGGATGTCTCTGGCCCGCCTTCCCCTCCAGCAGCACTATTTGCAACACGCTCTGAAACAGCAAAGCAACCTCTGTGTTGTTAATCCTCGCTCGAGGACATGTTTTCCATCTATCTTCAGATAGGATCGGAGGGGGAAAGAGAGAGAGAGAGGGAGAGAGAGAAACCTCGATGGGAGAAAGACATACCGATTGGTTGCCTCCTGCAGGACCCTGACCAGGGTCAGAGACCCAACTGCAACCAAGGTACGTGCCCTTGACTGGAGTCGAATCTGTGACGCTTTGGTCTGCAGGCCGCAGCTCTAACTACTGAGCCACACAGGCCAGGGCTCCAGTGATGTTTAGATAGAGTGCGAGGGAGAAGGGAGGGAGAGAGAGAGAGAGAGAGAGAGGAACATCGGTGTGAGAGAGACACGTCTATTGGTTGCTTCCTGCAAGACCCCAGCCAGGACCGGAGATTGAACCTGCAACCCCAATACACGCCCTTGATTGGAATCGAACCCGAGACCCTTCGGGCCTACGCTCTAACCACTGAGCCAACTTGGCCAGGGCTCTCTTCTGTTAGGTTATAAAAGTAGTCCGTGCAGCCAGTGAAAAGCCAAGTCCCTCTTCTCCCAGTACTCTTGGTCCAGCCCCGAGGGGGTAACTCCTGTCTACACCTGGGGCGACTCCTGCCGGCTGCAAGTGTCCACACACATAAGCTACCGCTTCCCTTTTTTCCACAGAAATTAAAATTCTTGTTTAAGGCCTCTGGGCAAGAGGGGCCATCAGGCTCGCCCTGGGGACTCGGCAAAGAGGTGGCAGAACCCCAGTTTAGTGTCCTTGCCTCAGCCCCCAGCTGGGCCAGGTGGCCTGTTCCGTCCCCAAGCAGAGGCGGGCGAAGTCTCCGGGCTTTCTGCTCGGGGTCCCACCTCAACCTCGCCCCTTCTCTCGCCACTTCAGATCATTAAGGCCTACCTGGACTACGCACTGCACCAGCAGCTGGCTGGCTACGAGGGCTTGTGGTTAAAGCACGAGATCATGGCCATGGAGCAGATCTTCAACCTCCCGCTGAAGGGCAGGGGCGTGGAAACCGTGGCGTACGTGGCCGACACGCTGGGCTGCAACAAGTTCCTGATGGGTCACCTGGACTTGGCCATCGACCTGGGTAGGGGCTGGCGGCGCCCGGCGGGAGGTGCAGAGGTGAGCGATGCCCAGAAGTAACCTGGGATTGTGTGTTTCTCAGGCTCCCGTGCCCAGAAGATGTGGTCACTGCTCCGGAACCCCTACAAACAATCGAGGGTCCTCCGCTGGCTCAGCAGATGTCTCTACATGAAAAACAGGTGTTTATAGAGAAGCGTTTTCCCGGACTGGGGGAGGAAGCCGTAACGACTGAGTGTCCTAGGCTCCCTTGCCCTGGCCATCAGCTGGGTGAGGGAGGTGAGTTGACAGCAAGGGGACATCACTGCTCATTGCCATCCTCTGGGGGTCGTTGCTCCTTCCCCAGCATCATTCCACACTTAGCCTCCTCCTCCGACTGCTCTGGCCAAGGACGGGAGGGTCAGAGAGCCACCCCCACTGTGGGATCAGGCCTGCCCCCTGCCAGGTGGAGGGAACAGGAACAGCCTCCTGGGGGAAGCAGTGCCCAGAGACTAGCAGCCCGGAGGAGAGGCCCAGCGTGGCCTGACCCTGACTGCCCCAATGTGGAGGTCCACGAAGGCCCGATTTAAACAGAGAGTCAACTGGAGAGATGTAGGGGTTTCAGGGTTGCCTTTGGTCCTGAACTGGCGGGCCCTGTCTTCCCGGCCCTTCTGGGCCCGACCACAGGTACAAGCAGCTGGTCCAGGTGCTGGGCTTTCTGTGGGACATCTCCGTAGCAGAAGGCCACATCTTCAGCAGGGCATTCTTCTACTTCATCTGCCTGGACCTCATGCTGTATTCTGGTAAGCGTGCCTTTGGCGTTGATGAGACTGGGGCTGACACTCCCTCTGGGTCAGTGTGGCAGGTGTCAGGGCTGGGGCTCCAGGCCAAAGGTTTCTGGCTAGAGAGAGGTGGGGGACGGGAAAGGGGAGGCCTGGGTGCGAGCGGAAGGGCTGTGTGGAAGGCACACGGACTGTGGAAGCAGCAAGGGAGAGAATTCGGTCTGGAGAAAGCTCTTGGCCAGCGCGGCCAGGGACCGCGTCCCACCACTTCACACACAAGTGACCGGACGGACAGTGTCACTGTGTGTCTTCTACTGGGGCGTTCGATTACTCAAGACATACTGAGCGATGTCCTGCTCAAGGACGACGAGGTTGCTAAGGGTGAGGGTTTCGGGAGCGGGTGGCTGTTGGTGATTCGGGAAACAAACCAACCCTGATAACCTTCAGGTTGCCCCACGGGGGGCCCACCTGGGCCTTGCCTTCCCCGGGGGGTTTGGAAGGGGCTGCAGACATCGCGGTGACGGGAAGCATGGGTGGGGTGACGGAGGAGTCCCAGGAGGCACTGAGGCCGGCCAACTGCTGGGGCTCGAGCAGGGAGGGCGGCCGGAACCCTACTCCCGCCTGGTGGACACTGTGGGACGGTGTCATGTCTGCACATGTCCACGAAAGCTGGGGCTCAGCCGCCACAGGCGTGCAGTCCCGTGGCTGTGGCGACCCACGGGACCCCCTGGGCTCACAGGGAAGTCAGAGGTGCGGCCCCTCCCTGCCAAGGGCAGGTCCCCGGGAGCCACCTCCCCAGCAGAGCTCCGTGTCCCTCCCTCCGCGCAGGCTTCGTGTACAGGCCCTTCAGCGAGTGCATGGAGTTCATCCAGGAGAGCCAGGACAACAGGATCCTCAAGTTCCAGAGCGGCATCCTCCTGGGGCTCTACTCCTGCGTGGCCATCTGGTAACGGGGCTCCCGCCGCCCCCCACTCGGACCCCGCTCAGTCCGGAGGAGAGGTCTTTGAGATTAAAAATGAAAGAGAGAAAGAAAGTAAAACTATTTATAAATCGCACCTGAGACAGATCGAAGGCATCCGAGTGGCCTGAGGCTGAGACACCTTGGGGATCCCCTGCTAGTTCGCCCCCCCCCCCAAGGTGGAAGAGATGCTGCCTCAGCTGTGGTCAAGGCGACAAGCATCTCATATGCACGAGGCCCATAGTGCTCTCCAGAGACCACAGGAAAGAGCTCTTGCCTCTGAGGACAGCTGAGGTTTCAGGGAGACTCATAGAGCACCCCTGGCCCCAGGACCTACTCATATGGAGGAACATTGTTGGTAGAGCTGGTGTGGGAGGTATGACTGATACCCGCCACAAGGGGGCTTCCGAGCGCGGAGCCCCAGGGTCAGATGCACCCACGAAGCAGCAGGTAGTTCTCCAGAACCAGTCTGCCCCCTGGAGGCGCAGGGAGAGCAGTGCCACACTCACTGCGGGCACCGCGGGCTCTCACGGTGGAGAGGCAGGAGCTGAGGTCCACCTTCGCCCGTCCTCTTCCCGGGTCCCCCACCAGCCAAGTCCCTCCTTATCGCCAGAGAGGGCCCTCACCTCAAAGGCGAGTTCAGGGGTGAGGAAGACGCAAGCCTGTTCCCCGCTACCCCAGTGAGCTGAGGCTTCACCCTCTACCCCGTAACTCAGCAAGCCCGAGGCCATGGCCTTGACTTCAAGGAAGTGGACCAGTAAGGCTCAGAACATGAATGAAATTTCTTTTTTCTTCTTTATTGACTTTATTTTTTATTATTATTATTTTTTTATCATCCTCACCCGAGGACATTTTTCCATTCTTTGTTCAGACAGAGTGGGAGGGAGAGAGAGGAACAGAGAGAGAGAGAAACATCGATGTGAAAGGAACACATCGAGTGGTAGCCACCCGCACGACCAACCAGGGCCGGGGACAAACTGCAACCGAGGTACATGCCCTTAGCGGGAACCGAACCCGGGTCTCTCCGGACCGCAGGCCGATGCTCTAACCGCTGAGCCAAACCGGCCAGGGCTTTATTGACTTTAGAGAGAGAGGAAGGAAGAGGGAGAAAGAGATAGAAACATTGAGGCGAGAGAACATCGACTGGCCGCCTCCTGCACGCCCCCACTGGGGATCGGGCCCACAACCTGGGCATGCGCCCTGACCGGGAATCGAACTGCCGACCTCTTGGTGCCTGGGCTCGACACTCAGCCACTGAGCTACACCAGCCGGGCTGAACGGAATTTCTTCAGAGCCATCCCCGAGCCTGGAAGGCGTTCCCTGCTCTGTCCCAGCTCAGATCACACAGGCAGCCCTGTGAAGAGTTAAACGACAGTATGAAGACATTCCTCTCTCAAGTGCCACACACTAGAACTGTCCCCAATTTGAATAGAGATCACCTCTTATTATCAACATTCCCTGGGAGAAATTAAAGTCCCAAAGTGAATTACCCTTGCCAGGTAAAGTCGGGGGAGACGGAAGTTCAAAGTCAAGTTAACTTGCCATGTGAGCGCAGCTTCAAGGGATCTGAAGCCCAGAAGTCCTCCTGATGTCTTGTTCTGCTCTGCTTTACCTGGAGGCCTCCTCCGGCAGGTGTGGGCCAGGCCAGCGCCCTCCCACCCAGCCTCACAGTCACCTGGAGAGCTGTTAACACAGCGTCCCGGCCCATCCCCAGAGTCTGTCCTGCTGCATTTCTAAGGAGCATCCACGCGACACTCATCACGCCAGTCTGTGGCCCACACTGAGTGGTCCTGGCCGAGGCCACTCCTCTCTGGAGTTGGAGCAACGTCTTCCAGCCCTAGGAGTTACAGCTCCAAGTGCCTGATTGACGTCACTCTTTAGAGTCCAAAGAGTTAAAAGTGGTAGCTAATATGACCCGACTGTTCCCAATGGTTCTGTTCATCACAGACCATCAAAAAATTCGATTCTTTCCTTGCTCCACCCCACAGACTCCCTTGAGTGGGGCTTCCAGGGGCCCACGTGCTGGGACCACGGACCACCTGCAGAGTGGCCAGTTTCAGCAAATCCGCCCATTCCAGGGTGACCCTGATGTCCCCTCCTTTCCCTGGTTGTGCAGGTATGCCAGACTCCAGGAGTGGGGCGACTTCCAGATATTCTTCAATAAAACTAAACATCTAGTGCCGAGGAGGACGCCCACCACCCTCTACTACCAAGGGATATGCAGGTACATGGAGGCCCAGGTTCTGCACTTGCAGAAGCAAATCGAAGAACAGTCTGAGAACGCTCAGGACAGGGGCGTGGAGCTGCTCAAGGTGAGGCCGCCCTCCGGGTTCCGCGACCCGTCGCTCCTCAGGTGGGTTCCCGTCTCCCCGGGTGGTCCTCCTTCCTGGAACCTCATACCGTAAAGCCATCTCATAAACTTTCTGGAGCCCGTTCCGGCCCAAATGCTTAACTGTCTTCACGCCACGCACACGGGGTCCTACAGTCTCCTCCTGGGAATTCTCCCATGGCAACTGAAATGTCTCTGTGGAGACGCCCTTCAGAAAGAAGACTGGTTAACTCAGGAGTGGTACCTTTCAACACTGGGGCGTTTCCTGTTTTTTAAAAATCTGAATTTCTGACCTTTCTTTTAAAAACTGGAGTGGCTGACCACCCGAGGCCCTCGCCCCTGGAGGCCAGCTGATGGCTGGAATTGACAAGGGCGCCCTTGGGGCACACCCCTCTAGTGCCGCGTGGGCCCCCTGCTTCTCAGCTACACCCCGCTGCTTACCTGGGCCACTCGCCTGGCCCCTGTCAACATTTGAATTCATGAACCCTGATGTAGAGGAGTCATGTCATTGAAAAATGTCCGTAACAGGATGTTAAATGAAAAAAAAAAAAAGTTACGTGCGATTAGTATGCTCCCAACTGTGGTGGGTGTGACTCTGTGTGTGTGTGTGTGTGTGATTGTGCATGTGAGTATGAGCATGTGAGTGTGTGTGAAGGCAGAGAAATAAAATAGTGAGAAAGCATGTACCCAAATTTCCTCTGGGTGGTGCTTACATTTTTTGCTGTTCTTTTCATTCTGCCCCTTATTGTTGAACAGCCGACCTCTATTGCTCTGGTAAGCAAAAGAAAGCATTTGGTTTTTAAGTGGCTGCAGGAGGGGCTAGTGGGCCCACCCATTTCGTGCCCTCTGGTCTGGGTGAAACACCTGCCGTCCATGTCCTGTCTCCGCTCCTGCCCTGTCTGTCTCTGGAGCACGTTTTCACCGGTCACCTATACCCTCGAAGTGCCCCCACGGCCCCTGTGGAGCGAGCTGGGGCCGAGGATCCTCTCGGGTTCTGACCCGCCGTCTTCTCTGCAGAACCTGGAGACCCTGGTGTCTGAGCACAACATAAGCCTGGTCATGTCCCCGAGGCTGTACCACCTCATGGCCTACGTGTGCATCCTCATGGGCGACGGGCAGAACTGCGACCTCTTCCTGAACACGGCCCTGCAGCTGGCGGAGGCCCAGGGCAACCTGCTGGAGCTGGGCTGGCTGAGCATGAACAGAGTGAGCGCGCCCGCCGCGGGGGGCGCCGGTGCCGCCCTCCCCGGAGCCGGCTGGAGGCTGGGCGGTGGGGCCGGACCACAGGCCTCCGGACTCTTCCCGGGAGGGGCGCTGTGTCCACAGCGCAGGGGTGCACCTCCTCTGCCCCCCTGAGCTCCCGTGGGCCCTCCGCTCCCCAGCTCCCTTGAGCGGGGTCGCTGCCCCCCTTACGGCCTCCCCACGTCTGTGTCACATTGGCCTACGTGCGCATCCTCCGCGCTCGGGAGCAAAACCACGCTCCGGCTGTGGACCGAGTGAACGAACGTGCGCGCCTCCGCGTGTCTGCTCGGCCAGCTGTCCGGAGTCTGGGCGCAAAGTCCATTCTCGGGGTGCACGCGGCGGCGAAAGCCCCAGGACCCCCGACGGCTCCGGGTCTGAGCCGCCCGGGTGGCCCCGGCCGGGCCTGACCGCCGCGCTCTGTCCGCCCCGCAGGAACGGTGGTACTCCAGCTCCCAGATAACCGAGGACACGTGGGCGCAGACGCTCCAGAAACTCCCGCCGTGGGAAAAGGTGGTGTCCGGCAAGGTGAACGCGCAGGATATTCAGAAAAACAAGTTCCTCATGAGGGTGAACATCCTGGACAACCCTTTCTAGCGCCCCTGAGGGACGACGCTCACCGGAGGGACCCCGCTGGCACCGCACCCCCTGCCCGCCGCGCCAGGCGCCCACGCGCTCTTCTGCGCAGACGCAGAACCCGCTGGTTTCTCGGTGGGGGGCCCAGCCGACCGCCCCACACCAGCCCTCGCCCCTCCGCCGCTCCGCCTGGCCTGTGCCCAGCCCACGCGCAATGGTAGCCCGCGGGAAACAGCACTATCAAGGCGGAACGCGCAGCCACAGCTACACTCCTAGTTACTCGATTAAACCGAAAAGGTCTGTTTTCACACGTCCAGTTGTTGAGTCTTGTGTGTGTAGACGGGGTTGCAAATGGTGGCTCCCCACGCGTGGGCTGTGAGATCCAGATCTGAAGAGCCCTGTCCCCTCCCAAAGCCCTGCCCGCCTGCGTGGCCAACCCACTAGCGAAGGAAAGGACATTTATTTTATTAATATTTTTTAATCCTCACCCGAGGACATTTTTCCGTTTTTTGTTCAGATAGAGCGGGAGGGAGAGAGAGGAAGAGAGAGAGAGAAACATCAATGTGAAAGGGACACATCGAGTAGCCGCCACCCTCACGAACATCCAGGGCCGGGGACAAACTGCAACCAAGGTACATGCCCTTAGCGGGAGCCGAACCCGGGTCTCTCCAGACCGCAGGCTGACGCTCTAACCGCTGAGCCAAACCGGCCAGGGCAGGAAGGGACATTTAAAATGGAGACAGTGGGCGTTTGGAGGGGGGCCTTCACCTGCATGAGTTTATACGTCCTATTGTTGCCAAGTAGCAGCATTCGCTTCCCGAAGCCGGAGGAGCTGCCGCAGGGCCAGCCTGCACCTCTGTCTCCGGGCAGAGAGAACAGCTCCCCCTGGCCTTTTGTGCCCCCGCGGTCCAGTGCATTGTGTGCCGGTCCAGCCCATCTCTGCAGCTGCCGAGCCCTCGTGGCGCGGACGCAGGCGCACGCGGATGTCCGTCTGCTGATTCCACTCATGTTCTGACCCTGGAAGGCGGTTCCTCTGACGGCACACCCCGAGATCTGTCTTCTGCATAGGTAGCGCCCACACGGGTATTTCATCGTCCTTCTGCAAACGGCGCAGGTGTGCACATTTCTTCCTGGTAACATAACCGAGCTCCACAAAGGAGGTGGGACACCCCCTTGGTACCTCGAGGTCAGCCAGAGGCCCGGGACCCTGGCACCGCTGCGGGAAAGCAGGCTAGGAAGCCTGAGCTCTCCGGAAGCGACCGGACTCCTGCAGCCGTCACCTGACCTCTCTCTCTATCCAGCACTCGCACCCGGGAGACGAGGTCCTCGGTGAGCAGCTGGAGCAGCGGGGGGCAGGAGAAGGGAGGAATACACAAGCCCCCTCCTCCAAAACGTCACAACTTTCTTCTGACCAAGTGAAAGCAAGACGGGCAAGGCCGGAAGAGGTGGGTGGAGAGGGCCAGCTGTCACTAGAAGGGGGGTGATGAGATTCGGAGGGCTGGTGAGAGACACTGGGGACAGAGGAAGAGGTGAGCAAGGCTGGAGGGCAGCTTGAAGAGTTTACCTTCCACGTGTCTGAATGCAGAGGCGCGTGCATCAGGCTTCGCAGGAAGCCGACTGTGCCACCAGGCAGTTGGCTATGTGACCTCAGCAAGGTCCCTGCCCTCCTCATCCTGCTGCCATTCCAATGGATGGCGGTGCGTGCATCCTCCCTCCGGCCAGCAGATGGCAGCACCCACTCCTTGCTGCGTCCACCATCCAAGGAAGAGCTTCTGGCCCGCTTCTCCAAGCTTCTGTCTCCAGAGACACAGTTTCAGCACTGAGTACTTGGAACCACTCCAGCTTCCACATTTCTTCCGGAAGCTTCCAGCATAAGGTCCTCTGGAACATTTCTTGAGAAGGTAGAGTCTGGCTGGAGTTCTTAGGAGAAGGCAGACAATCCATGAAGGCCTCGGGAACAGAGAGGAGTGGAGAAACAAGTTCTGTTTTTGTTTTTTTCCCCCCCTAACACGAGCCTTTGACTTCTGAACATGTCTGGGAAACCCCAATGGGCAGACGCTCTGCTCCAGCGCTGTGCCAAGTACTGCTCAGAAAGCTTATGAATTCACGAGTGTGCTGGAGAATTCCTTCAACTGATTATCTCGTTAGTTCTTACGGGAACCCTGAGCACAGTGGTTCTCAACCTCCCTGAGGCCGCCACCCTTTAATACAGCTCATGTTGTGGTGACCCCCAACCATTAAATTATTTTTGTTGCTACTTCGTAACTGTAATTTGGCTACTGTTATGTCTTAGGCGACCCCTGTGAAAGGGTCGTTCGACACCCAAAGGGGTCGCGACCCACAGGTTGAGAACCGCTGCCTTAGAAGTAGGAACCTAATATTTATCGAAGGAGTAGCTATATGGACCCTCATGGAGATCAACAAAAACTACTTAACACCAACACTCCCAGGGTTACAACGATGAATAAGAAACAGTTTGCAGCCCGGCCGGTGTGGCTCAGTGGTTGGGCATGGACCCATGCACCAAGCAGTCGCTGGTTCGACTCCGGTCAGGGCACATGCCCAGGTTGTGGGCCCGATCCGCAGTGGGGGGCATGTAGGAGGTGGCCAGTCGATGTTCTATCTCACCGATGTTTCTATCTCTCTCTCTCCCTTTCTCTCTCTCTCTAAAAATAAATAAATAAATAACCAGTCTGCATGGTGGTTGCGGATGTGGGCCTGGGACCTCACGGGATCGGACCTCCATGCCGCCAATTGTGAGCTTTGTGCCCTTGGACAAGTTATTTAACTGCTTTGTGTCTCAGTTCCCTTGCTTGTAAACTGGGGATGATAACAGTATTTGATATGAGTTCATTCAGGTAAAGAACTCCAAGTTCTGCTGAGGGAACACACAAGGAACTAAATACAGAACTATAAAGGGCGCTGCTGGAGAACAAAGCATAGAGACTGGCTCCGTAGGTGGCTTCAGAAGGTTCTAGAAAGCTTCCTGGAGGAGGAAATAAATCTCAGCCAGGTGAAGACTGTCCAGGTCAGGACCAGGTGTTGAGTGCTGGAGAAGTTTGGGGGAGGCCATGAAGAGCTTGGGTCTTCCCACCTGGCCTGGGCGGAGTTCTGTTGAGTGAGAGAAGCTGTGAGTGATGACGTGGGGTGGGGGGTGGGGGTGGGGGTGGGGGGGGGTCTGGACCACTGAGGCCTGTGGACCAGGGGGCTTCGGGGTTGGGACCTTAACCTGCCAGCAACGGAGGAGTCATGCAGAGGTCCTTTACGGAGGAAGTGCATGGACCAGGTGTCTCTTAGAAAAACCACCCCTTTGTGGAGAGTGACTGGAAGGGGCTGGGCCAAGGTGAGGGCTGGGAGAGATGGTTGCTGCTGCCAGCCTGGGGTCTGGCTGGCCCGACGTAGACGGGGCGGTGGAGGCAGAGATCGGTGCTTTGGTCTGGAAGACGCTGGAAGAGGTAGAACATAACCGAAATCAGAGACTGGCTTCGGAAGGAGGATGACCAGAAGTCATGGATACATGGAGAGGGGCCCCCTCGACTAAGGACGGAGGGGCCAAGCACCTGCTAAATGGATGATGGTACCCCCTGCCCTTCCCTCGGCCGCCCCAGCTTGCAGCCCCGCTCCCCCAGGGTCATCAGCTCATGGCCGACCACTTGCTGCTGCTCTTGGTGGCCAGTCCTGCTGTCCTATGCTCCGCCCACACCCTCTGACATTCTCCTTCTTAGCATCTCGCCCCACAGCTGCTGAAAGCCCAGTGCCCCGTCTCTGAGCTCCGCAGTAACCGCGTGACCTGCCTCTCGGTTTCACATCTGCACCCTCCACCAGCTGGCAGGTGAGCTTGCTAACAGGCAACCCCGCTGGTTACTCCCCCACTTAAAATCCTGTTTGCCCCCGGACATCCCAGCTTCCTGGCCTGGAATGGGAGGCTGCCGCGTCCAATGCTGTGACCACACTGGCCCCCTTTCCCCGCACCGCTGGGCTGGTCCCTCCCATGGGAGGGTCTTAACCAGAGTCTTCTGGGTTCCTCCCAATCAGCTCTCCCAGGCTTCTGCCCCGAAGCACCTTCTCCCTGAACGCCCCACGGGTGGGGTTCGCCAGTCCGTCCTTGTAATCCCCCAGCAGTCTGCTCTTCCCGTCCGGCTTCTCGCACACGACTGCCTGGCACTGTGTGTTTGGGGCTGTCTCCTCTCTGAGCTCCTCCAGGGCAGGGTCCTGCTCCCTCAGCTTTGTCTCCCAGCACTTGGCAAGGTCAAGCGTTCCGAGGCCTCGGCAGGCTCTGTCTTGCAGACAGTTGCACCGGGCGCCACGTGGTATGTAGGACACAGCACCAGTGGACACAGTGAGCACGCGAGCGACGGGGTGCGTGCTCTCCACCCACCAGAAAGTGGCAGCCACGGGGGTCACCCTTGCGAGGTGCACCCCCAGCCCCCCACCCTTCCACAGCAAGAGGAAAGGGGTGTGTGGGGAGAGCGTGTGTGTGACCTGCACACCCATCTAAGAGGCTGCCAGCTCCCGCACAGCTGGCCCCAGCGCTGGCTGACAACGTCCAGTGACGAGCACGTCCCCCCTTGGCCCTGTCCGTGCCACAAGCTGCTCCCACCTGAAATGTGGTTAGTGCGACCGAGGGTCTGAGTGTTACATTTGATTCTTTTTTTTTTAAGATTTTTTTCTTTATTGATTTTAGAGAGAGAAGAAGAAAGAGGGAGAGAGAGAGAGAGAAACATCGAGAGAGAACATCGATTGGCTGCCTCCTGCACGCCCCCCACTGGGGATCGGGCCCACAACCCGGGCATGTGCCCTGACCAGGAATCGAACCTGTGACCTCTTGGTGCAGGGGTTGATGCTCAACCAGTGAGCCACATCAGGCTACATTTGATTCACTTTTAATTAATATAAAATGTGACGGCTGCATGTGGCCCATGCAGTAATGACTGCAGCGACCTTGAAATGCCACCGCAGAGCCGTGGAAGGTTGGAAAGGTTCATTGCTACAGCAGAAGATACGACCAAAGGCGGGAGGGCGGGGAGCTAGTAACAGCCAAGAAAATGTATCTGGACAGAGCTTCTGAATCTCATTTCTCCACCTAATGTGAGTCCGGGGGCCTAACTGGCGCTTGATAGTAAATTTGAGGTTAATCCGACACCTCCCCCCTCCTCCTCTCGGTCCCGGGCCGCCACAGGAAGGGACTTCAAGGCCAGGGGCAGGGAGGAGGCCTGAGGGCGGCCTGGGAAGAGCCACCAGCTGAAAGTTTGAATTGCAACAGAACATTTACAGCAGAAACCCAGCTCTTCCTTTGCTTGTGGGGGATTTTTCAGAGGACGTGGAAGGGAGCCCTTCATTTCTAGCCAAGAAGTTCTATTCCAAAGTCACTTCCTCCTCCGCCTCGGGCTGTCCTCTGTTGCCAAACCTCCAGGAGCCAACATGAACCTCCTCTCCCAGAGCCCGGTGTCCCGAGGAGCCCTGTGTCTGCGGGCCCCCGGCCACGCAGGGCTGGGTCCGGCCTCCCTGGCTGCAGAGACCAGCCGTGGGGCCCTCACCGCTGCCTCCCGTGTGTGCCGCGGAGGTTCCCCACTCTCGGAAAGCCCTCCCGTCTCCCCTCTGTCCGGGCGCCTTCGCTCAGCAGTGGCTCCGTGGGAAGGAAAGACCGGCTCTAACTCGGGCACATCCAGACACGTTCCGAACCAGCCACCGGGTGCTCCGCGGGTCAGCAGGAGCAGGAACGGGCTTCGCGGAAGCTCCCACATTCCTCCGGGCCTAAGCGCACATTCTGAGATCCCCTCCCAAATAAATCTCGACTTCGTTTCTGTTTATCTGGTTGCAAGAAACTCTGTAGTTAAAAAACAACACACACAAAAAACAGCTCTGTCCAAAGCCAGAGAAAGCACGGAGACTGGATCCACATTCAAAACTCTGTCCTTGGAGTCCCTCCTCAGCGGGGCAGCTCAAACCCCGAGCAGGCTGGCCCTGGCTGCGCGCTGTCCCCACTCCCACAGGGGAGGGCCAGGCAGGTACACGTGCCCGAGGTCACTGACGCCCTGAGGGGTGAAGAAACCACACAGGCCTGGCCCCACAGCACCAGAGGGCAGGGCGCCCAGCACGCAGCAGGATTCGAGTGGCCAGGCTTCCTCTTCGCAGACGCGGGGAGATCAGACACCGCAGCCTTCCTTGCGTTCTGGAGCGCCAAAGGCCAGCCCCACACTGAGGAGGGACAATGGACAGGGTTTCACATCCTGTTTGCAGGAGGAAGCCAAGCGGGAGCAGCAGCTCCCCCGGGGCTCCCTGCGCTGCAGACTTGGGTTTCCTTCCATGGAGCTCCCTCCCACCTGTGTCCCCAGTTGTTTTTTCTTACAAACCGAGACCCAGCCGGTCGCAGGGCAGCAGCTCCGTGGTCAGCTCGCGATGGCTTCAGGAAGGATGTGAGGAGGGAGCTGGGCGTGGTAGCTGCCTGCACGGTCTCGGACGGGGGACCCCATTTCCAAGGGGCCAGGAGTCTTGTTTCATCCAGGGCTGCCTTAGACTTGTTTTTGGATTTTTTTTTTTTTATTTCTTTCTTAAATAGTTCATAAGGACTATTCCGGTTTCACTTGTGATAGACAGACCTCAATACCCCGGAATTCAGGAACAGTCTAAACTATGACGGTCCATCTGGGTCAGAGAAGGCCCCGGAGGGCTAACAGCCACTGGCCTGTCCACCTGTGCCCATGGGGAAGCCCAGGGGAGAAGTGAGCTGCAGGGCACCGTGACCCCGTTTCTGTTTGTGAAATATGCAAGACAGCTCTCCTGGAACCCCGTTTTGATCCAGATTTGAAGACGCCATTTGTAAAATGTCCTTTTGGGGACGAGGACATCTGAGGATGTCCTCAAATGGGTACTAGATGACATCAAGGAGTTATTTAAATGTGTTTCTTAAATGTTTCCATTACAGCCCTGGCCGGCTTGGCTCAGCGGTTAGAGCGTCAGCCTGAGGACCAGAGAGATCCAGGTGCGGTTCCCGCTAAGGGCACGTACCTCGGTTGCAGTTCGTCCCCGGCCCCAGCTGGGGTCATGTGGGTGGCAGCCAGTCGATGTGTCTCTCTCACATCAATGTTTCTCTCTCTCTCTTCCTCCTGCTCTATCTGGAGATAAATGCAAAAAAAAAAAAAAAGGCCTCGGGTGAGAATACAAAAAATAATAAAAGGAAATAATAATTCAGAAAAGAGGAACAAGACAAACAGCACGGGTGGAGTGATGAAGACGGGTGCGGGAGGCTGGCTTAACTATTCCCTCTTCTGCGGTGTTCAAGGCTCTTCGTAGTAACACGTCTTGATACACAGCGAACAAGTGGGGCTGATGGCTGCGGCCGCGAGATCATGCCCCCTGGCGGCCCTGCAGCCATGAACGCTTTCTCTCCCGCTCAAGAAAGTGCCTGGATGCCCTGGCTGGTTTGGCTCAGCGGTTAGAGCGTCGGCCTGCGGTCCAGAGAGACCCGGGTTCGGTTCCCGATAAGGGCATGTACCTCGGTTGCAGTTTGTCCCCGGCCCTGGCTGGTCATGCGGGTGGCAGCCACTCGATGTGTCCCTTCACATCGATGTTTCTCTCTCTCTCTCTTTCTCTCTCTCCCTCCTGCTCTATCTGAACAAAAAATGGAAAAATGTCCTCGGGTGAGGATAAAAAAAAAAAAAGAAAGTGCCTGGACACAGTGACTTATAAAGTGAACACGTCACCGGAAAACACCAGTGCTTTATCAATCAGGGATCAGTGGTGACACAGATCTCCGCAGACTGAGTCACCATGTGGAGACGAAGGTCCCAGGCACCTGTGTCTCCAGCATCTACACTAGCGCCCCTCCCCCCGAGCCGAGGTGCAGGGAGACACCGGGTGCCAGGCAGCCGGCTGGCATCTGTGAGGGCGTGGGGCTCCCGTCCCCGGTGGAGGGTAAGAACGAGGCCTTGGGTGGGACAGCGCGGCCCCGGCCGCCTCCCTGCGGGCCACACGGAAGCCTGACGCGGTCTTTCCGGAAGGGTCGAGCTCAGCGCAGTGCTGACGCAGGCCCCGGAGAGGGGGGTGCCAGGGCTGGGCACACAGCTGTTCAGTTATCACGGCGCCGCCTTCCGTCACCCCGCTCTGGGCACGCTCCTCGATGCAGGTCTGTCGGAGGGGGAGCCCCGTCCATCCAGCGAACCCCACGGCACCAGCCCGGACCCCCTCTCGGCACAGAGGACGGAGCGGTGAAGGGAGAGCCGAGTCCTGGCCTCTCGGGCGTCTGGCCTCGTGGGGAACAGACGGCAAAGTGTCAGATGAGGTGAACAGAGCAGTATGACGGTTAGGAGAGCCGGGGACCGGTGCCACTAAGGTCCCTCCGAGAAGACGGCACCGGCAGGGAGACGCGCAGGGGAGCAGCCCCTGGACGTGCGGGGGTGCAGGGCGGTGCCTCTGGGACACGGAGGCCGCTGGGGCTGGGGGGCGTGAACAGGAGGCGGCTAACCATCTCCCTGATCCAAAATGAGCACACGACACAACTCCGTCGTTGAAAAAGATGTATTAAAATATTCACAAAAGTACAACAGTTCAAACAGAAAACAATGAACCTGATGGCTCTCCCTAGCCGGGTGCCTTTCCAGGGAATGTCATCACTCAGGGACCCCTTGGGGCAGACCGCCTTCCGAGTCCCGTGTGATTCCAGTTCTCCCACCGATCCTCAGACGTGGAGAGGGCTCTTCCGTTCAGAAGCAAGCCCGCTGTTGTCACCTGTTGTCACCCGTGGCCGGGGACAGGAGCGCGGGGATGCAGGAGAAAGGCCCCGCCCCACAGGAGGTGGTGTGAGGTGACATGAGGCGGAGGCACCACCAGTGCCCCTCAGACAAGCCTGCCCCAGAGCCAAGCAGGCGGCTGGTGACGCCCCAGCTGGGCAGGCCCTCTGCCGGGTGCTGCCAGTCTGAGGGCCGGCTGGGTGGGGAGGTGACAATCAGGCAGGAGGTGGCCTGGGGGGCTGAAGGCAGAGGCCCATGGCAGCTCCCAGTCCTCGAAACAAAAGGAGAAATTAGGACCCCTGCCCTCCGGGGACATTCACCGGAGAAAAGGAGAATGCCCCTTTCTCTGTAAAAGTGCCGGTCAGGAGACATCCCACCTACAATCCTTCCTGCCTTAAGGACAAAGGTGGCCTGGAGTTCTGTTCTCTGGGCATCGGTTTGGAGAACAGTGACAATGTCACAGCTGGGCCTTCTCTCCCAGCACACACGGGGGCGTGTGGTCTCCACACCGGGTGCAGGAAGGTGGAGGCCAGGAGGACCATGCGGACGGGCCCGGGCCATGAGCGAGGAGGACAGAGGCCGCAGGGCTGGGTGCTTCCCTCCTGCCGCACAGAGCGCGCAGCCCAGGCACCAGCTCCTGCACACTGTCCGGCGTGGGTCACACGGCCCCTCCCGGTGACGTCCAGACGGAAGGAGCCAGCCTGGGGAGCGCCTGGCAGCTCGGCTTTCTCACGTCATCCCCAGCACCCCTCCCCTGACCCTCCTTTCCTGAGTGCTCCGGGGCTCCGGACTCCTCACGGTGACAGAGGCCGGCAGGAAAAGGAAGCAGCTCATGGCAGACCCCAAACGAAAGGGGGAGAAAAACACTGCCGGTCACTCCCACTTCCCCGCGTGTGTCCTGTGACCTCCCCGTCACCGGGCTTTCAGATCAATAAAAAAAAAAAAAAAATGTGTTTAATACAGCAGAACCCAGGAAATGGAGAAATGACAAATATAAATAAGTGTTTAATGATCTCACTTTGTTTTTCATTCCCAGTAAAAGCAGAAATCACAGGCTCGTGGTGGGGTCGGGGTTGTCAACGGGACAGAGTGAGTTCTGGGAAGGGAGCCCGGACTGCCCAGATTTCTCCTCATCTCGCTGTTCATCCACTCCATCCGTGGGGGAAACAAACAAACAAACAACAACAGACAGGAACAGAGAGGAGATCCCCAAAGCGGAAGCACTAGCCCTACGTTCGGATCTACGCGATCTCGATGGCCTTGAACCTCAGGGGTCCCGGCAGCACCTTGGAGCTGTGACTGAAGTTTCAGAGGGAAGCCGGCGCCCTAGAGCGAGCTGGGATCCTGCAGACTGGCCCGGGGAGAATCTAAGGACACCCGCCCCTCTGCTCCAGCAAGGCCTCGTTTCTACCGCAGTCACGTGTAAATGGCGTTGTTGAAAGTACCGAGGAAGACGTGGCCTCCCCAGCTCTCCGTCCCGTGCTCGTCACGCGAGGACGAGCACACAGGCGGACGTGAAAGGTGTTCAAGTCCGTGTGCACAACATATGAAGCCAAAGACACCATGTTTTAGAGAGAGAAAAAACATCAACAGACACTTCTCAAATGGTCTCCAAGTGGCACCGCTAGGAGGTGTTTCCTAAGAACTACAACCGAGTCGTCGGAGCAGACAGCGGGGCGCCACCCGGGCACGTCTTCGTTCTCCAACTACGATAAATGCTACGACGGGTTAAGCCCTTAGACAAAAAGGCCAAGTCTATCAGGATACTAACCGACCGCTACGCCTCCCCTAAGGCACGCCGCACCGAAACGATGAGGACAAGACTGCGGCCGAGTCGCCCCACCTGTAAATGACCCTGCTCGCAAAAAGGTACGGAAAACAGCAAGACAGTCTATATATACGTAGCATCACACCATCTTTTCTCGCCATGCACCACCGGCTCCTCCCATCAGAGGTTAAATAGATATTTAGACACAGCCTTTCTTTCTACACATCCTTCCCTCCGGGTCTTGTTTTGTCCGAGGCCACACGTGGCTCTGGGCTGCGCCGCTACGAGGGTCCAGTCGGCATCTGTTCCTGCTTAGGGTGTGGCCCGGGTCTTCTCTCAATGCTTCCGGATGTCCGCGTACACCACGGACTCCGACTTGTTGATCTTGTCGCTGTGATGTCCGCCCGAGTGGTCTAACTGCGCGTATATGACTGGGCCCTGGAGAAGAGAGGCTGGGTTAGAGGTCGGGAACACTGGGTGGTCCCTCCAGGTGCGATCGTTAAAGCGACGGCGTTAGGGATCCAGGGCAGACTTCCCTCTTTGGAAGGTGTTTGGGAAGAATTCTTAGGAACCCTGTGTGCCGGATGGACCCCAACACGAGACTGTCGGTCACTGTGAGAGCTGGTGCGTGGAGACCTGTGACGTGACCCTGTCTGCTTCGTCTACTTTGTATCCACTTGGGAATGTGTGTAACAATACAATACTCCTTCTCGGGAACTATCCTTATCTGACAATGCCTGTCACACAATTCCTCAACCCTGGTGTTGGGAGCACAGTCGTAAAGGGTAAGACGGGCACTTCTGCCAGCCTGAGGGCCCTGGAATGATGAGCCCCAGCATGACACGGGCACAATCTGAACTGGTCACTTTAGACAACTAGATACTCAGAAAGATTCCAATGGATTTTGAGAATTTGTGACTTTTTTTATTGTTGCAGTTTTTTAATGGAATTTATTGGGGTGGTACCGGTTAATAAAATTATATAGGTTTCAGCCCTGGCCGGTTTGGCTCAGCGGTTAGAGCGTCGGCCTGCGGTCCAGAGAGACCTGGGTTCGGTTCCCGCTAAGGGCATGTACCTCGGTTGCAGTTTGTCCCCGGCCCTGGTTGGTCGTGCGGGTGGCAGCCACTCGATGTGTCCCTTTCACATCGATGTTTCCCTCTCTCTCTCTTCATCTCTCTCCCTCCTACTCTGTCTGTACAAAAAATGGAAAAATGTCCTCGGATGAGGATTAAAAAAAAAAAAAAATTATATAGGTTTCAGGGGTAAAATTCTGTAATATAATACATCACCTGTATATTGCGTGTTCACCACCCCAAGTCAAGTCTCCTTCCATCACCATGTATCCCCCCTTTACCCCCTTCTACCTCCCCACCCCCCTTCCTCTGGTCATCACCACACTGTCTTGTCTATGAGGTTTTTTGTTTTGTTTTGCTTAATCTTTCCATCTTTCCACCTCTCCCTCCCCCTGGACAGCTGTCCGTCTGTTCTCTGTCTATGAGTCTGTTTCTATTTCGTTTGTTCATTTATTTTGTTCATTAGACTCCACATACGAGTGAGATTATATGGTACTTGTCTTTCTCTGACTGACTCATTTCACTCAGCATACTGCTCTCTAGGTCCACCAGGCTATTTCAAGGGGGCTATTTCTTTCTTTTTTACCACTGAGTAGTATTCCATTTCAGATATTCTTCCACATACCTTTCAGCCCGATCCTATCATAACTAATAAAAATATTGCTTGGTTGATATTACGTAACCATTTTTCCCACTTTAAAGTAAAAACACACACACAAGTCAGCATCTAGGGACGTACAGAGCAACCCCAGGGGTCTGCAGTAGAGAGACAAGGAAGAGAGCTGTCAGGGACAGTGGGGCTGCTCGGGGCAGAGGCCACAGTTCAAACACCGGACAGGTGGCCATACGTCTCAGCCTCACAGTCTCAGAGATTCTAAAATTATAAACAGGAACAAGATCAACAGCCCTAGTTTCAGAAGATAAGTTTAGTGGAGCCCAAAGCCAGCCCAGGGCAGCCTCCCGAGAAGTCTAATACTGTGCGGAAGCTTGGAACTGGGAACTCATAAGCTCAGTGGCTAAAAGCATGTGGCTAAAAATAAACATGCTGGCCCCAGCTGGGTAGCTCAGTCGGTTGGCGCATCGTCCCGTGCACCAAGGTTTCAGGTTCGATCCTCGGTCAGGGCACACACAGGAAGCACCCAGTGAAGGCACCCCCCTCGTCGGTATGTATTACTGTCATGTCTGTCGTGGGTGACAACACATCACGCTGTGAACACTGAGTCCCAGACCATCAACATTCATCTCAGGAGGCTGCAAGTTAGGTGCAAACCCAAAGGAAAAGAAGTTAAAAAACCTATTTTCCACTCTGGCTGACCCTTGAACGACACGGGTTTGTACTTCGCGGGCCTACTTATATAAACAACTTTCTCAGTAAATATATTGGAAAGGTTTCTGGAGACTTGTGACCATTTGGAAAACCTCGCAGATGAACTGCGTAGCCTAGAAATATCGAAAAGATTAAGGAGAAGTTAGGTATGTCATGAACGCATGGCATACGTGTGGCTACAAGTTTATTCTGTCATTTAGTACCACAAAACCTGACAGTAATACACAGTAGACTGGTGGTAGCTAAGTTTGGGGGAGTCAGAAGTTAGACGTGAATTTTGAAGGCACTGAACGGAGCCCCTGACCCCCGGGTCACTCAAGGGTCAACTGTACTAGGGCCGGAATGAAAACCAAGTGATCTCTCGGGCATTAACCGTCGCCTGGTGACGGTCACTCGAACAGGACAGACCCTGAAATTAAGTCATGTAACTTCCTAGATAGCAACCCCCACCCCCGCCATAATTCATATACACTCAGAGGGAGTTCTGCGGTGTGTCCGTGGGAGAAGGAGCTTACACCCTGAGACACACTGTAAACACGGCTACAGACCCTTTCTGAGCGCCAACCTGGTGGCACAGACGCTGGGAGGTGACAGTGACTGACACCGCGGCTGGATCGCTGCTCGCTGTCCTCCGGAAAGTGCCCGGGTCAGGCCCGAGCGGCCCGGGGTCACTCTGGGGCAGCCGAGCCCGTCTCTGACTCAAGGGCAGCAGACACGCAGGGCGAAGTGTCGGCCCTGAAACCGGGTGGGGCGGGCCGGGCCACCCCCTGAACCGCGCGCCCCTTCCCCCCTCCGCCCAGCTCCGTCGGGAGCGAACAACCAACTCCAGGGAAAGGACCCTCAGCGACTGACACGGAGGCCCCCACGCGGCCAGCACGGTTCCACAGGACCCGGGCTCCCTGAGGGTGAAGGGGGAACTGGGCACCGCGGCGCATTCCAGGACAGCTTCTAACAGGACAGGACACCACAGCAGGAGAAGGGAACTCGGAGAAGCAGGCAAATCCAGTGTCGGACGAAAGCTGTAAAAGCAGAGTCGCCACGAGAAAGGTGATGTGCTCGAAGGGACACGACGACGTACCCGTGAAGACGGGCAGGAGCTCTGGGGACCGGGCCCTGCCCAGCTGGCCGGGACGTCCCGGGCACAGCTCGCCGCCTTGGCCAGTGTGCCGGGCTCTTCCTGCCCGTCGGGCTCCAGGGGCAGGACGGCCAGTGGCGCTTTCTGGACCCCGGGGCTCCCGGACACAGCCTGGGGGGCCTCCCCGTTTCACACCAGTCCCTTCTACCCATCGCTACTTCTAAAGCAACTGCACCCGGAGTCCTGTCAACAACTCTTATTTCCTCAGAGTCTCCCTTAACCTGTGAAGTGAGAAGGGCCGCTGAGTAGGGGGCTGCTTCCTTTTCTACTCCTTCTCCTGGGTATAAAAACACGGATTTTTTGTGCTTCCCCTGCCCTGCCAAATAGCTCTTGAAAATAAAAAAAATAAAAAAAGGCAGATAGTAAATACTCAATAAAACTTGGAGGATAAAGTTGAAGACATGTTCACCCTGGCCAGTTTGGCTCAGCGGTTAGAGCGTCGACCCGCCAACCAGAGAGACCCGGGTTCGGTTCCGGCTAAGGGCACGTACCTCGGTTGCAGTTTGTCCCCGGTCCTGGCTGGGTCATGCGGGTGGCAACCACTCGATGTGTCTCTCTCATGTCGATGTTTCTCTCTCTCTCCTTCTCACTCTGTCTGGAGATAAATGCAAAAATGTCCTCGGGTGAGGATTAAAAAAAAAAAGTTGGAGATGTTTTCTAGGGAGAACAAAAAAAGCCAAAAGAAAAAAAAGAAAAGAACTAAAGGACTGAGCTAGGACATGGTCCAATTCCTAACAATTTCCCAAAGAGTAACGGAAGAAAATATCCTGACACAGAAGGCCAGTTTTCAGATTAAAAGCACCCACTGAGCGGCCAGCACAAGGAATAAAAAGACCCACAACTTTCAGAGGAGTGAACACACCCTAAGAAGAGGGCAGCACACCCAGCGCCACACAACGGGCAGGGACCAGAGGGCAGCAGCTCAGCCCCGACGGAAAGTGAGTCCCGGCCTGGGACCCGACCAGCGGGTCTCCCTCAGCTCGAGGGGGAGACACCATGTTACACCTGCTGAAAGCCGACGTACTGGCTCAGCGCGGGGGCTCAGAGGCTGGGCTGGGCTCACGGGGCTGCAGCCAAGCTCGAGGGGGAGACACCATGTTACACGTGCTGAAAGCCGACGTACCGGCTCAGCGCTGGGGCTCAGAGGCTGGGCTGGGCTCACGGGGCTGCAGCCAAGCTCGAGGGGGAGACACCATGTTACACGTGCTGAAAACCGACGTACCGGCTCAGCGCGGGGGCTCAGAGGCTGGGCTGGGCTCACGGGGCTGCAGCCAAGCTCGAGGGGGAGACACCATGTTACACGTGCTGAAAGCCGACGTACCGGCTCAGCGCTGGGGCTCAGAGGCTGGGCTGGGCTCACGGGGCTGCAGCCAAGCTCGAGGGGGAGACACCATGTTACACGTGCTGAAAACCGACGTACCGGCTCAGCGCGGGGGCTCAGAGGCTGGGCTGGGCTCACGGGGCTGCAGCCAAGCTCGAGGGGGAGACACCATGTTACACGTGCTGAAAGCCGACGTACCGGCTCAGCGCTGGGGCTCAGAGGCTGGGCTGGGCTCACGGGGCTGCAGCCAAGCTCGAGGGGGAGACACCATGTTACACCTGCTGAAAACCGACGTACCGGCTCAGCGCGGGGGCTCAGAGGCTGGGCTGAGCTCATGGGGCTGCAGCCAAGGTCAGCGGCTGCGTTCCGCTGGGGCTCCAGGCAGGACTGGCCTCCTGGCCTTCCCGGCGGATGGAAGCTGCCGGCACTCCTTGGCTTGCGAGCCCTGCCTCCATCGTCAAAGCCATCAGCTTGACGTCTTCCCGTCTCTCCGAATCGGACCCTTGGCCTCCCTGTGGTCGCCCTGAGCCCACACAGCTCATTCAGGAAAATCTCCCTGTCTCCAGATCCTCAAGCCAGACATAGGGCCCTTCTGACCGCAGGGTCACACATCTCACAGGGTCCAAGGATGAGGATGTGGGCACCTGTGGAGGTCTCTACTCTTTCTCATGCACCTTTCTCAAGACGCCACGGAGGACACGCTCCACCACGACGGGTGGAGACCTGAGGTCCAAGGTCCAAGGGAGGAGGGGAGGCCCAGGAAGACAGCGACCCAGCAGCCCGAAGCAGAGCAGGGCCAGCGACGGCCACAGGTGTGTCCCCAAGAGCAGAACGGAACCAGCGCAGTGTGTACGTGGCTGAACCTGCTCAGAGGTTTCAATGGGAGAGTCTGGAGACGGAATGCAGACACGTACTGAGAAAAGTAAGCACATGGAAAACAAAGCACACATGAGCTCCACGAAAATAAGACAGTCGTCCAGAAAAGCAGATGTCGGTGGCACGGCGGTGGAAGAAAACAGGAATCGTCACATTGAAAACCCCTCCCGGGACCAGTACGAGCATACGTGTGCTGGGCAGGGCTGGGGGAGAAAGAACCCAATTCTCATTTCTATATGGTGGATCTAATAAATAGCATCTAGCCCAGCCGGTGTGGCTCAGTGGTTGAGCATCGACCCAGGCACCGAGAGGTCGCCAGTTCGATTCCCGGTCAGGACACATGCCCAGGTTGTGGGCCTGATCCCCAGTAGGGGGCGTGCAGGAGGCGGCCAGTCAGTGTTCTCTCTCCTCGATGTTTCACTCTCTCTCCCTCTTCCTTCCTTTCTAAAATCAATAAAGAAAAAAAATTAAATATATATATATCTAAAACTGAAAAATCCAGAAACACAAATGCAGTGGTAAATACCGGAAGAAATGGTGGAAAGAATGGAAAGGGCTCGGCTCGTTCCGCGAGACATTTTCCCTCTTTCCCTGCCTTCTCAGACGGCAATGAGGCTCGTGGAGTCGGCCACGCCACATTCCCGTGGCCGCAGCGCAGCCCGGACACGAGGCGAGATGCCGGCGGGCTCTGCGGACGAGTTAACGTCTCTCGGGCACTTTCCGCCAGGGTAGAACCCTAACCTGTGCTTGCCCGTCAGACACCAGACCGCTTTCCATCTCTTCCAAACAATTCACGCAAAACAACCCTTCTGTTACCAAGACCACGATCAGCTCCCCCCACTCAGGCCTGGTCGTCCAAAGCGCCTCTGTGGAACGCAACTCGCTGGGTTCACTTCCCCACGCACCTGAGGAACCCCCCGCCTGACAAAGCCGCTTCCCGACTGCGCGTGGGCTGCGGGCGCCACGCCCCGAATGGACGCCTGCACTGGGGGGAACCTCTGCTCAGGTCAGACTCATGCACGTGCGTGCGTGTGTCCTCCCCAAGCAGCCCTGCACCCCCTCTCTGCGTCCGTCCGTCCGTCCGTCGCTCCCCCGTGCCCAGGGCAGTGACAGCGCCCGCCTGCAGAGCCCCAGGGGCAGGCGCCCATTACCTGGTGAGATCCTAGACCCTCCGTGTCGAAGGGAGACTTCCGTGGAGCCTGCTTAACCGGTGACACACTCTCTGAGGTGCTGCAGCTGATAAGTTGGTAATTTGGAGAACAAACGTGAAAAAAAAAAAGGTTTTAAACAAATGGAAACAAAAATAGAGAAATGCAAGTGACGGTAGGTGAAGGAGCACGCGTACAAGAACAAAACACAGCAAAACAGCGGAGTCCGAACAGCGACGTGTATGAAACTCATCCCTGACCCAGGCGGGGTTCCACACCAGCGAGGCTACTGCCGGGAGGGCGAGCCCTCGGCCCGGTTACAAGAGTAACATCTGCTGGGCGGGGCTCTGCGATGATGGCCGTGTCCTTGGCACGCCCCCTTCGCCCCTGCCCTCAGCCCTCCCCTGGGGGAAAGAATAGGGGGAGCAAGTGAGTCCTTCCTGAAGGCAGTTCACTTTTGCAATCAGCCGAGGCGAGCCTCTTCTGAGCGCCTTCCAGACGCGACAGATACACACCCAGGCTCAGAGATCGGGCGTCTCACCCCTCCCACTCCCTGGTCCCGCACATGGTTGACCAGCAGTACAATAACCAAACTACAGAAGCCCAGGGCAGTGCGGACGCTCAGCAGCCGTGGGATGCACGTCACGTGGGCTGAACTTTCCTGGGGCCTCGGGGTCTCGACCCACAAGCCCGACGGCATCAGTAAATCGGGCAAAGTGAATGCCAGGAGAGATTCATCGGGGACCCCTAACGGGCTGTGTCATCAGCAGAGCTTCAACGCTTTATGTTTTTTTCTTTTCAATCTTAGGCATTGGGGGAGGGCCACACTGAAGTGTTCCTATTAAGACTGAAGCACCCAGGGTGTCCTGCTACTGCGTTCTCAGAAACGGGAGGTTCTGTGACCCAAACCAGAATGGGCGGACTGTTCTAACACAAAGAGGGTCCCAATCATGAATAATACAATTCACATATAAAATGGAACACACACACACACACACACACACACACACACAGAGGCACTGTACATGAAGAACACGCCTACTCTGATGACCTGCAGTCTCCACGGACCTGACAACCCCATCTCCTCGGGGTGCTGTGCTCAGCATGTCTCTGATACAGACACGGGACATATTGGTGGACAAACCACAATAGCTGTTGGGTTAGCTCAGAGCTAGCTGGTTAGTGGCCGACAAGGAAAAGGGGCAGAACACACACAAGATTAACAGTGATGGGCGGTGGGATTAGTTACCATGTGTCTAGTGGGAGCAGAAGGAGCCCTGGCCCTGTTACCGTCCCCATGTCGTCTATGTCAGGTGTTCTTAACAAGCGGAAGGTAAGCAGGACCTGATCCCGGCACACCGAGGTAGAGAAGGCGGGGAGGGGAGAAAAACGAGGTGAGAAGAACCGCAGCATTCACGATGCCATGCAGGTCTACGGCACGCGCTCTGCCCCGTCGTGAACCCAAAAGCAAGAACTCCAGAGACCGGCATGTCACCACCTTGGATTAGTCTCGTGTTGAAAACCAACACTCCAGTTACATGTCATCAAAAATCACTCACCATGCAAGGGGGTAGATACAGGTCAGAGGCATTCCAAGCAAGTAGTATCTGAATTTGAACATTCAAACTCATTAAGACACAGCACTCCTCCTAAACACCAGAACCGCAGAGCCCGGAGAGAGAGGTGCCCACCATCCACCAGGCCGCAGTCAGGGCATGCGAGCCCAGAGCACAGTCCCCCCGGGGTGGTTAAGCTGGCCATGCACCTGTGCCCCAGCTCGTGGGAGGAATCCAGCCTTCACTCTGTCTCACCACATGGGTCCTACAGTTTGTGTGGGTTAGCTTTCCCTCTGGAGTGGGGAGAAGAGAAGGTCCTTCGATTAGACAGACACACACCCTGGGCTCAAGTGTGTTCTCTTTGAGAAGAGATAAACAAAAAGGTCTACTTTTCTTCACTGCTGGTGTGTGTTGGTGTTCAACACTTATTATCCCCACTGCAATAAGACCAGCCATGCATTCAAGAAGGAGCAAAGCAATTCAACTGCCAACAAAACTATAAAAAAGAGAAGCCCTGTGTGTGTGTGTGTGTGTGGGGTCATTCATTAGCACAACTGTCCTTTATTTGTTTATATCTGCCTAACGGAAAAGAAGAACCTTATAAGGTTACTGCCAAGAGATAAAAATGAAACTCTGAAACTGGGTAAGTGCTGTCTGTGGCTTATGAATGCCATGGGCAGAGTGGATGGTACTGACACTCGGAGCCCAGACAACTGAGCAGCTGGCCGCACCAGCCTGGCGGAGAAGCTGTGGAGCAGGAATGAGCATCCCACCCCACAGTTCACTGCGGGCCACTGATCTCCCCTTGCCCGTGTCGGAACACCCGAGGAGAGCTGATTCTGGCTTGAAAGCAAACAGCAGCTAATTCTTCACAATTCTTTTTCCATTAAAACGTACAGAAGTGTGCATAAACCCTGGGTCCTCCCCTCCTCCCTCCCCCAGAAGCTGATGCTCACCCAGCGTAGTCCTGTTTGGAGGCTCTCCTTCTGTAGAGAACAGCCAGAATCATGCTGATGAGCAGGGTGAGACCCACGACCACAGCAATCACTATACCCACCACCACCGTGACCGGAAATGTGGGCAAATCCTCTGGAGAGAAAGAGCAAAAGAGTGTTAAGGTCCACTGTGACGGAGAGAAGAAATGGAATTTTATTAAGTGAATAAGTGAATAAGTGAATTTTATTAAGTGAATAAGCATGTCATCATACACTCTATCCGTGTCCAGATGTGGAGACCCTAGAATCTAAGGACAGCCCTGCAAAGAGCAGCTGGTAAAAGCAAGGATATGGAACGAAGCATCTCCACACCCGTCGCCCCTCTCCGTGCCTAACACCGAAGGCCAGCTGAGACGTGAGTGCACCTCCACCTGCTTGCCAACGAAGCGGACGCTATCTCAGAAGGAGACACCGGAACCTGTTTTCCCTGCCGCTTCTCCGCAAGTGGAAGAATCCGCTGCACTGTTTGTGCACATGTTAAAACTCTCTCCTGGCCTCTCGGGCATTCACCTCTTCCTTTCCCACCACTCAGCCCATCACCCATAGTGAACGGGGTCTGACTTCCCATTCGCACTGAGAATCGAACACCCCTGAAATCAGGTCCCCGGGCTTCAGACAGCAGGTGTGTACACAGCGCCCAGCTGCGTGGCTGGCGCGTGGGCAGCAGTCCCCGCCCCCAGGCCCACAGAAACAGGATGCGTGACCACGTGGCAGGATGCCCCCTTCCACACACACCCTACCACGTCACTCTCGTCTTCCGCCTCAACACAACACAGAGGGGGCTGCACCGTGACTGCAGAAATGCTCCGCAAGTACCTTTCTCCACCACGTGGAGGCGAATGTATCCTGGATGGACGACGATGTCAGGAGGGTTTTTGACATCACAGATGTAGGTGCCGTTGTGGGAAAACTGCGTATTTTCTATGTTGATCGACGCGTCTGCCTGGTCCAGGTTTCCAGCCCAGCTGATGCTGTCCTTGAAGGGGGGGTAGTTCCCGACATACACTTGGCCTTGGGAGTAGTGGAAAAACTGCAGAGAAAGGACACGTGAGCTCTTCCCAAAGGCAGACGTTTTCCACGCTGCGACGGGCGCGGCGAAAGCCTCTCTGCGGAGACTCACGTGGAAACAGACAGCCTCTGACACCTGTCATCTGGGAGCAGAGCCAGACCAGGCGCTGGAAACCAAGGGTTCCATCCTGCTTCGGCTGAAAAACTACGCTCAGATGTCATCTCTCATGCTCTGGACATCCCAGCAATGGAGGTCGCCACACAGTGTTATAAATAAGGAAATGGAGACTCCGAGAAGCCATGTGCCCAAGGTCACACACGATAGGAGGTGGTGACCCAGAGTCCAAGTCAGCACCATCCTCAAAGCCAGTGCTCTGATGACGACACCATGACGGAGCCAATGCATTCAAAGGTTTCCGTCTTTGCCACTGAGATACACAAAGGAGCCTAAACATCACCACCGATCGGTTAACACGGTGGGTTCCCATGGCCCAAAGGAACGAAGCCCAGATAACGCAAAGTCCTCCCCTGCCTTAGAGAATTCAGCCTCTTTGTTTCCCACCCTCACTCGCTCCTCAGAACAGTTTTTGGCAACGGAACTCATTCCTCAAAGTAACTTTGTCAAACCCAGCACCTTGGCAGCGAGGGGAGGCCTGGTGGGCGCGGACCGATCCTGAAATCGGCTTCAACCCGAGCAGCTCAGCGGGAGGCTTCATGACTGTTCTTATTTGGGGGTGGGGAGACAGTGGGGCTGGGGGAGGCGTCAGCATCCGAGTTCCACTGGCATCACACACGTTCTCAGAACCCCTTGGGTACTGCACCCCTGTGCAACCTCATCCCTGTGACATAATGACCATCTCTCTCTCCCCATAGTGCCCGAGTGCTAGACGCCTCACCCAACGGCCTGACCACTTTACCACCCAGCTGCCCCCCTCCAAGCTCATCACCCTCTTCTATGAACTTCATCTTCTGCCTGTGAATCTCAACCCCCACCCCCGTGAATCTCATCTTGACTGACGGCTACATGCAGGCTCCACACCACCAATCTTGGAGTAAGCCTTGATTCCTCTGTCTTCCTTCCCACCCAGTTAATCTCCTAGTACTTCCAATGCGACCTCCTCACTTTCCCTCTCTCCTTAATTCCCACTGATACTCCTACTTCATGCTCCCATCATCGTGGAGTATGGCCTGGTGACTGGCCTCGTGTCCTCTAGTCTACCCTTCACGCTGCCTTGACGACCACTGAGAAACAATGTCAATCATACGAACCACGGAAAAAACACATACCCTGTGCGCAACAGAACCTGCTGCTTGTTAAGAACTATGAAGGCTCATTCTTTACACTTCTTGCAAGTCTGCCACAGAGGCTGGCAGGACACCCACGGCTCCTGCAAAGCTTTCAACTCCTGACTCGGAGACAAAGGACCTTATTTCTTCCTGCCCCACGCAGCACGATGCTACCTGTGACCCTTGTCCCCCAAGTCCCACAGGGACGGTCTGGAGGGGCTCAGGTGGATGCTGCGTACTCAGAGGCTTTGACGACTGCTAAGGAGCTCCAAGCTTCGGGAACCCAAATCTTTTATAACGGGCAGGAGTTCATCTGACGTTTGCCCTGCAGGGAGACATTACCCCTCCCATGCGGGACAGGAAGCAAGCCTGTTCCTCTGGTCCAGACTAGTCTTCCGAGGCTAATGTCACTGTTCAAGAAAGGCCGCCCGTACCTCTGCTGGTAAGAGGTGCAGAAATGTGAACCGCCCCCCTGTGGGAAACGATGCTCCGAACCGCCCTGCCAGGTGAGACTCACCTGCAGATACTCACAAAGGAGGAGGTGAGGCTCGAGACTTCAGTGACTTGCTCAAGATAATAGGTCTTAACCCCCACGTTATCATCACGACACCCCTCTGTGGGAAGTTCTACTGTCTCCCTTTTACAGAGGGAGTCGGGACTGTCTGGCGGCAGCTCAGAAGCCCCCAGCCTCACCAGCACCCAGCACCCAGCCTCACCAGCACCTGGCCTCACCAGCACCCAGCACCCAGCCTCACCAGCACCCAGCCTCACCAGCACCCAGCACCCAGCCTCACCAGCACCCAGCACCCAGCCTCACCAGCACCCAGCCTCACCAGCACCCAGCCTCACCAGCACCCCGCACCCAGCCTCACCAGCACCTGGCCTCACCAGCACCCAGCACCCAGCCTCACCAGCACCCAGCCTCACCAGCACCCAGCCTCACCAGCACCCAGCCTCACCAGCACCCAGCACCCAGCCTCACCAGCACCCAGCCTCACCAGCACCCGGCCTCACCAGCACCCAGCACCCAGCCTCACCAGCACCCAGCCTCACCAGCACCCAGCCTCACCAGCACCCAGCTCCCAGCCTCACCAGCACCCAGCCTCACCAGCACCCAGCCTCACCAGCACCCAGCACCCAGCCTCACCAGCACCCAGCCTCACCAGCACCCAGCCTCACCAGCACCCAGCCTCACCAGCACCCAGCCTCACCAGCACCCAGCACCCAGCCTCACCAGCACCCAGCCTCACCAGCACCCAGCCTCACCAGCACCCAGCCTCACCAGCACCCAGCACCCAGCCTCACCAGCACCCAGCCTCACCAGCACCCAGCCTCACCAGCACCCGGCCTCACCAGCACCCAGCCTCACCAGCACCCAGCACCCGGCCTCACCAGCACCCAGCACCCAGCCTCACCAGTACCCGGCCTCACCAGCACCCAGCCTCACCAGCACCCATCTAGGTTGGCTAGCCCTCCTTTCAACCCTCTGGCCCAGGATTCTGTTCAGCCCCGTTCCCCGGGTGACCTCATCGACAGTCTACTCTTAATGAGGCCCCGAGTGAGAACACAGGTTGTTTTCACATTTCAGAAGACCTTACAGACTCACTGCACCGTGAGCTTCCAACAGCTATTGCTGAACCGGGTGGACCATCATTTAAATCAAGAAAGTCATCATTAAGTCAGAAAGCGTGTGTGTGTATAGTGTGTGTGTGCGCATGCAGAAATACCTAAAAGAAATACAGATAAAAGTGGGGCAAATGAGAGCTGAACAGACGCAGCATGATGTGAGATCAGAGTCAACAAGGTCACTTAGGGGCCGCTGTCTGGAAAAGGTAAATTTCAAAAGGGAGGTGGGGGAGGGGCAGGGCAGTGTCACACAAAGACAAGGCAAGAAGCTGCATTTAAGCCGAAGGGAACTCCTTCCGGAATAATGAATCAAGAGCAGGGCCTGGGTCTGTAACAGGACGAGCACACTTGGGGTGGAAGCGAGCACTCGGAAGGCGGGCCACCGAGCTCGCTGCGAGGACCTGCGAGGCACCCCCAGCCACGAGCAGCCAGGCGCTCCTACCGAAACGGTGGTGTCGGTCCCCACGGCCTGGAAGCTCCAGGAGACCGTGGTCAACCTGCTGGTGATGTTTGCAGACTTGAACCTGCACGACAGCTTCCCCTGGGTCCCATTTGCCACGTAGATTTCTTTTGGGGTGTATATCTCCATGGCCGACACGCCAGAAGTCACTGGAGAGAGAAACAGGAAGAATTAAGACTAGGATTTAGTGGCCCTGGCTGGGTAGCCCCGTTGGTCAGAGCGTCATCCCAACACGCCAAGGTTATGGGTTCAAGCCCAGTCAAGGCACATACAGGAATCAGCCAATGAATGTGTAAATAAGTGGAACAACACATCGATGTTTCTCTCTCTCTCAAAACAATAAATAAAAATGTAAAAAAAAAAAAAAGAGCAGGATTTAGCATGAATATCATGGTGCACATCTATCAATCTATCAGAGAAGATGACAAAGATACAAGAAAATTACTAGATAGATACAGTAACCTGCTGCATTGTGTGCTGTTTCCTGCCGAACAGTCTACAGCCAGGTACTTCCTACAAACAGAATAAACTGCTGACAGTCTGGGATCATTTCATTTTTGTTATTTAGTAACAAGATATTTTTCACTAGCACTATAGTTTATCCATTCACCTGCTAAAGGACATCTTGGCTGCTTTGCTAATGATCTGATTTTAATAATGTGGAAGCCATAGCTTTCTTTCTTTCTTTTTTAATCCTCACTCAAGGATATATTTTTTGATTTTAGAGAGAAAGGAAGAGGAAGAGAGAAACATTGATCGGCTGCCTCCCTTACGTGTTCCTGCTGGGAAATCACGCCCACCACCTGGGCACGTGCCCTGACCAGAAAGAGAACCCGTGACCCTCTGGTGCACAGGATGATCTAACCAACCTATCTCCCTGGTCAGGGCTCATCTTCCATAGCTAAAGCAATGAAAACTACTCTGGGTAAGATGATACGTCATTTTAAATCCATGCTGTTTATTTAGCTGACCCACAGATCATGCCTTCATTAATGAAATCAGTGAGCTAGATACACACACGCTCAAGAAAGAGCTGCCCACGCCGGGTCCCATCTTCACGCACACGTTGAGTTTTTCCCGTTAGCCTAAGCCCAAGAGATAGTACTTAAAATGTCTATCACTTGGCATTTAAAAATAGCTCTTTTTTTCAAGATCTATAATCAGAGGCAACTGCAGGAATTATTAAGGACTGCAGCTAAAATAAAATAATCTTCACTCAAAAAGAGACTCTTTCATGGAAACAATGGAGGTTAGAAAAAAAAACCTATTTGGCCTAAAATCGGAAACAATGAGAGCACACCCAGAAAAGATTAAAAACATCCATCTTCAAAATAGGATATTTTAAAAAGAAATCGTCTGGAGAGAATCCGTATCAGCAGTGTTCCAATTATTCTTAGATTGTCACAGACGGAGCAGAACAAGGAAGGGGTGTCAGCCGGGACTGAGGGGCATAGTCAGAATTTTCCCTCCAGAGGTCTGAACTGACTCAGGGCCAAGGAGAACAAGGACTCCCCCAGCCCTCCCAACCATCTTCCAAATGTTTACTCTCAGGACACAAGAGGCGCTTTTGGCTACTCTTTTAAATAAACTGATAGCCACACAGCATCAAGCAGATTTTTTCTGCTAAAGAGGGTGGATTATTATTATAGGGAACAATGGATTATTATTTGTGGTCCAAACCTCAAAACAAGACGTCCTTTCACACTCAAGCAAACAAAGGGCATTCCTTGCCATTGTGGGTAGGCGGCAAAGCAGCCCCAGGGCACTTGAGGTCAAACCCAGGCCCGAGCACAAGCCTGGCCCATCTGACCCCCTCACTCCGGGAAGTAGCGGGGCTTGGAAACCCGGACTGAGCCTGTGTGATTCTGCCCAGTTTCCTGCAAGAAAACCCAGTCTGGGAAGTCAATAAACACGGTTTGTCAAGGATTTTCCCAAACTGGATCCCTGCCCCAAGGCCTGTTTGCAAGACTGTCACCCTGAGATGTGATTCCCAGATGGAATTTGGCCAAGTAGCCAAGCTTCCAGCCAGGAATTTTAACCAAAAAGACTAACCAAATTCCTACATGGCTTTCCGGCGGCCTGTTTAAGACGGACTTAGTTACGCCACCGCGTTGGCCCAAGCCCCCACCATCGCTCACGTGGGTTTTCAGTGGCTTCCGGCGCTGGTGGCGTCATGCCCACCATGGCCCACGCCCCTGCAGCCAATGCAGGGAGAGGCCAGAGAGAGCGGTCAAGACGCCCGTCAGCTCTTCCGCTCTTTCTCTAAACCCTCCGGGGCTCCTCACCGGCCAGGATCCCTCCCTGTGTCCCCTCACACACTGCAGCAGCCACACTGGTCACCTGCGCTCCTCTGCCCGTGATGAGCGCCCCAAGTCTAGAGACTGGAGGTGTCCCAGACGACAGTGACGCACGGGCAGGAGGGAAGAGGGACCCACCGTGTGAACTGCCGAGTCTCTGCACGGCTGATCCCAGGGAGGAGGCTCAGCGGATGCCCGTTTAAAACTCTCGTGGTCACCATGACAGGACAGAGACCCAGAGCGCTTTCACCAAGCACAGGACGGCGGTTTCCGACCGAGCATGACCTGAATGACAGCTGGGAGGTCTCCCCAGTGGGTAATGATAGGAACTAGACATTGGTCTCCCTCTGGGACCCCACCCCCTGCAGCCCAGGCAGGAGAGAAGCCCCTGGGCTGCTGGCAGCCGGGAAGAGCGTGCTCGCCCGGACTTCGTGGGTGACTAGGAGTGTGACGGAAACACCCCGCGGGGTCGCTGTGCCACTCAGACGGCCTGTCTTCAGTCGGAAGCGGCGTCGTTCGGGTTTAGGTGGAACGGCTGAGAATGAGGACACGGACGCGTGGAGATGCGAAGCCACGGTCCACTCCGTCTCTCGGGGCGCTGCAGCCGGACAGGCCTGAAGACCGCAGGGGGTTCCTTACAGTGAGGGGGGGCACCACGCAAAGTGTTAAAGCTCCCGTTTAAAAACTCACAGACGGGAGAAAGAGTGCTGGATCCCAAAGAACCTCGGGAATAAAAACCACAGGCTGAAGTGGAAGGAGAAGACAAGTGGCACACGACGGTGACCTTCACCAGGGTGACCTTCACCAGGGTGTCCTTCACCGAGGCGGCAGGAGGCAGCAGGAGCGGAGCCTCCGCCTCGAGAGGCCAGAAAACAAACCAAAACAGCCCTTCTTGGAGGACACCCATTCAAACGCAAAGGGCCTGAAAAATCATCTGATGAGTCATCCAAAAGTTTGCGCAATCCACTCACCAGGGGTCACAGCGCTAGCGGTCAACAAAGTTGATAGATTCTTCCAGTTTGGATGGAGAGCCAGAACAGTGTGGGGCTGGGCAGAGGGGAAGCCAGTGGAGAATACAAAGCAACATCCATCACAGCCACAAAGAAAAGATGAGAGAATCTTAAAGGAGACTCATCTTCTGAAATGTTCAATTAAAAAAAAAAAAAAAAAAAAAAAAAAGCACGTACTTTTCCTAATACACAGGATTACCAAATTCCTCCGAGTCCATTCCTTCCTCTCAGGACCACATCCAGCTGGCCTCATCTCCATCCCCAACCTTTCTGCACCAACAAAGACCTTTCTGTTTCTCACATGAGAGATGCGAGCGGCCCTGAATTGGGCCAGTCACTGAGTGACCCCCCCCCCCCCGGGCCCTGCTGTCCCTTCTCCGCCCTCCTCTGTGCGCTGTGCTCGCTCCTCCACGACTGCTTTCCTGCTCTCAACCGTCCACTCTTCCCAACCACGCTGGGACTCGCCCCAGGCTGGGCCGGCAGTCCTGTGGGGACAAGTTCATGCGCCTGGGTGCCAGGATGTCCACCAAGGCCACAGTCCCCAGGCCAGCAGTCACCGCAGGCCACAGGTGTGGTCCACCTGAACGGTCCTCGGCGTCAAGTCCACAGTGAGTACAAGCGGGTGAAAATAGGAAACGGTTGGTAAGAAATCAGCTTCTACTTCTGACGGGTTATGCTCAGCATCAGGACCATGTGCAAAGCCCGGGGCCGTGCACATCGGATACACAGCAGGGTGAGGCTCCCTCGTTTCCCACGCCGTGTCGACACTTCCTAGCCAGCCAGAGCCCACCGGTCCTTAAATCTCTCTTTCCAAGCTCTCAAATCGCATCAGAAGGTCTACTTTCAGTCAGAAGACATTTGAACCCACGTTTACTCCAAAGGCCAATAGAAAAGGCCAACAGAAAGTATCAGAGCAACCGCAGAACAAGAGAACAGCCCTCCCTTCCAAAACGGGCAAAGAGAGAACGCCATGGCCGAACCATCCCGTGATGCGTTTCCTGGGGGTGAAACGTTATTAAACTAGGGCACGTGTACTCTTCTTCAGCAGCACTGTTGGGGGGTATCCACCGGGCAGAAACTCGGAGAGGCTAAACTCACCTGGAACCGTCTGGCTCCCAAGGCCGTGCTGTCATGCCAATCACCAGCTTGCACAGAGCCTTTACTGAACACGATCTGAGGGGAACCCAGCATACAGGGGAGACACAGGCCGTGCTCACACCCGAGGCAGACCAGTGGCCCTCAGAACTTGTGATAACGCAGGAGGCCGAGACCTGCAATACAGCACAATGGCTCTCAGCCGTGGCTGAGCGCAGGAATCACCCAGAGGGCATTAAAAAATACTGTGCTGCCCTGGCCGTTTGCTCAGTGGTTAGAGCATCGGCCCGCGGACCAGAGAGACCCGGGTTCCATTCCCGCTAAGGGCACGTACCTCGGTTGCAGTTTGTCCCCGGCCCCGGTTGGGGTTGGGTGGGTGGCAACCACTCGATGTGTCTCTCTCTCTTCCTCCCTCTCTCTCCCTCCTGCTCTGTCTGAAGATAAGTGCAAAAATGTCCTCAAGTGAGGATAAAAAAATAAATGAAATAAAATAAAATAAAAGGTTCCCAGGCGATTCTGGAGCCGCTCCACCGTCCAGCACCCCGATGAGATACAGGACCCCGCCGACGCCCTTGCAGCAGGACGGCGCTGACGCCGGCGGGCCGGGCCTGGCTGAGTGCCACGCACAGGCATGCTGGCTTCTCAAACACACGAGTGCACATCCGTGGACTTGGTTTCTCCAACAGGTGAGGGCAGTTTTCTCCTGCCGTCGTCATCAGTCGCACATTTACCAGCGCAAACCTGCTT